ATTGGCCCAACACTCTCCCTCTTCCCAGTCCCATCAACGGACAAGGGCCAGACTGGAATGGCGTAATTCCGGGGGATAATTCATGTATAATTTTGGGATAATCTCCAGCAAACCATTCGGAGCGCTGCCACCCAGTTCGCCCACAGCGTGATTACCAGGCTCCCAATGCCAGCCACTTGTAGTGACCAGCACCGCCAGCAACCACTTTACCGCCTGCAAAACAAACAAAACAAGCGAGGGCGTCCAGCAGGAAGAGGTCCAGCTGGGCTCAGAGATGCTCCCCACACACTGCAGGTTAATGAAAAGACAAATACGCGCAAACAGGGCCGAGGCAAGCGCATCCAAAACATCAATGCAAAGGCATCTCGTCACATGCAAAAGCATACGTGGGGAGAGCATACACACACCGAGCCCCCTCACGCCCCCTCCTCCCAACACACACACACACACACACACACACACACAGGGGATTTTCTTTATGTGTCATTGCCATCTGGCGGTAGGAGTGACTAACACCATTAAGAGTAAATGCATGACCACCTTGACGTGTGTCGTTGAAATATACGGCTTGAGCTGAGGCCGAAACATAAAGGAAATTTATCCTTTTTTCTTTTAAGGACTTTTAGCTATAATTTAAAAAATGTAACACGTCTAACAGCCTTTTAAAACGTTAAATACGGGAGTCACGCCAAATCTGAATTTGCATGATACCTTAATGTTAAGATTATGTCGTTACATCGTTAAGGTTAACGATGTAATGACGCTGGTTCGACTCTGGTTCATACGTTGATGAATACTGACACCTAGCGGCTCCACCTTGGAACTGCGTACGAGTCACAGGTTTGGTCAGTAGACCCATGGAACAACAAGATCTGCATCTTTTACACAATTATTTTTAGATACAAAATTCCTGACTTTTCCTACATTACTCTAACAAAGACTTTCTTTAATCTTCTCAAACCAAACCTGGAAAATGAACTCATGCAAATTCTCATGAGGATGCCGTGATAAGTCTCTTGTAACATTTACCCGACTACATAATCATTAATACAATTTTCAGTTGCATCCGTTAGCAAATCCGTGCATCATTTGAGGATGTGAGCATGTGATCATGCACGCAGGTCCGATCTCTTCCCGTCTGCCCACACACACACACACACACACACACACACACAGCTCACGCCCACTTAAATAAAGTGCCGTTCGGGTTTACTCACCATTAGTTAGTACTGTGGGCAGTGAAATCATATCGAACGTTATAACAGTTTCAGAATTTAAGTCATCGACATCATCTCCTTCTACCATCACAACACTTCGGATATAGTCAAAAAAATCAGAGCAATGTAGAAGGATCAGTTAAAGTTTCAGCCGTGAGGAAGTTGTCATTCCTGTAGCATCCAGAAGAAAAGGTGCCTCCAGCCGCACAGTTAGTAAAAAAGAAGAAAGAATCACTCCTCAACGAAGCGTTAAAAAGCCTGAAACGTGACGGTAAACAGCTGCTCAGAGCAGGTAGGAAGCAGGTCCCTCTCGGTCAGCCCATCGCCACAAAGAACTTCAGCCCAGCGCCTTGTGGTCCTACTGGTTGAGAACGAGGAATTCACTGCTCCAAGAGTGCGTTGACTGAGCAGAGGATCACCTCGCCATTATCACCTGTTTCGCCCTGCCAGCCATCGTGTCTCGCGGCGGTGAAAGCCCTCCTGTCAGCTTTATACCACGCGGACCCACCGGGCTCCTCTCTCACCCCCACCCACCACCACCACCCTCCTCCGGCTCGCGGCGTTGACTGATTTGCTCTGCTCCATCTCTGCACTTGACCAATCCACCCTCCACCGCGCTCTCAACTCCACACGGATTTGCAGTGTGCAACCTGCTCGGCTTTTAAGACACACTCACTCCCCTCTTCCCCCCCCATCCTTCTCCCTCCCCTCTCCCCCACTGCTGCCGAACCATTCACCTGTAGACTTCGAAGTACTCGACTCCATTTCCCAATCTCCCGCCCTCCTAGTCTCATTCTTATCTTGTCCGTCTCTCCTATTTGCGTCATTTTCCACCCCAACTCCCACCCGGTTTTCACTTCTACCCACTTTTGGTCCTTTCACTTCCTCTAATAAGTCCTCAGCCTCCACCCAACCATTACCAATTTTCTCTGACCCACTATTTGCCATTAGCCCCTCGTCTTCCTCTTCCCCTTCCTCTTATCCCTCCACTCGCCACCCTTGTCTCTGCCTATCCTCCTTATATATCCTCAGCCTTCGCTTTGCCTTCTCCCCATCTCCAGCAGCATGAATATATTATTATCTACACAATGGGGCCCTGCTTATTGTTTATGAATTACCAGCCTTGCGGCCAAACAAAGCCTATTTTCATAAGAAACCTCCATTTCATTTCAGCTCCAATTAGATTGGGGGCTAAAGAATAGGAGTCCTCAGGCCTCAGCCCCTAAGGATGGCAGGTCCATTCAGCTTCATTCAATGGGGCCTTATTGCTTTCCCATACAAAAGAGCACGTGGACGGGCTTTCAGACTGAAACACCAACCAAAAATGACTGGGAGACAGTACTGTACAATAACAAATCTTTAAAGAAAAGACACTGAGTGCTTATCCTCCCATCCATCAATTCATCCCTCACTCTTTGCTTTCTTCTTCTCCTCTGTTCGTATATTGTAGGACCTGGACATTAATGACAGACAGTTGAAAGAGAAAGAGAGTGAAAGAAAGAAGAAGAAGAAAGAGGCAGAGCAGCTCAGTTTTTCACAATACACGTCAAGTCTAAATGATCACAGGCTGCTGAATAGACAGATCGAAAGGAAAGGAGGTGAGTCGCACGTATGCATGTGCAGCTGAGTGATTCTCCGCTTTGAAAAGAGCGAGAAAGGAGTGAACGAAAGAGAAGAAGAAGACCTTGATGCTTTTTCTGAGCTGCACAATAGTCGGGGAGTGCGAGAGCCGCAGCGTGGAGCACCCACAGTGACAAGCTGTCACTCCATCCTGGCAGGGAAGAAAGAGGCAGGCGAAGGGAAGAGGGGCCGGGCAGGTCACAGCACTGATAATAAAACTCTGCCTCTTCAATTCAAAAGTTTCTCGCCAACCAGACCCTGGACAGGAAGCAGATCGCTCTCAAGTTTCGTTGTGGTGTAAGAAAGTAAAGTTCCACCTGGGAAGACCAGGTAAGCGCCACGCTCCGTTCATTATCGGGGGCTTAGTGGGGGTCGGCCAGCCGAACGCAGTGGGAGCGAGTCAGGCCAACGAGGTCGGAGGGCGACGGCGCTGGCGAGGCTTCATCTGAGGAGATCTGCTTCGCGGGACCAGTGCGGATTGGGCCTTTGTTCGGATGAAGTCACATTCAACGAGAGACAAAAGGAAACTGTTTTCGTTTCCATTGAGTGCAGGTGAGAGTCACAGGGAAAATGTTGACGTCTGTGCTCATTCATCCCCCCCGACCCCCAGACAAAGCTTGGCGCGGTTATCAGGGTGCACAAAGGATTTCAATAGGGAGGTCGTTTCAAAGAGAGGTGGCAGGCACACAAACACACATTTTGTCAATGCAAGCAATATCATTGCCATGCCAACCTATGTTCTGCACTTCTTCGTTTCATACTAAAATTACATCGCTTTCAATGTTTCAACTTGGATTTGTTCCTTACAGAGGAGATTAGGGGGTAATGATTGACCAGGGACTCATTACAGGCTTCACGAGGAAGTTTTATGTAGTCAACATTGCTTCAAATACCAAATTTGGCAAGAAAATGCGGCTGCAGGCGTTAATGCAGTCAGGAGGAAGAATTATAGCATTGAACGGCCGGCCCTTGGGAATAATACAAATCCATGCACAATAGTAACTCACACCTTGTATCCATGTACAATGGTAGAAAAATAACAACCTACACATGTCCATCAATCACGCAATACGCTGACATATGATGACATCACTTTCACCCACCAGGAAAGAGCTGCAGCCCCATTTAGAACAAACCATTTCAATATTTCTCATATCCTTTACTGCAGCATTAGAAAAACTAATGCTTATGTCAGTTGGAAGACACTTTGAGGCCCCATTCCAAACTTGAAGCCTCTAAATATACTAGCATTGACTAGTATTAAAAAAAAAGAAAAGGAAACTAAACAGAAGCAGTGGTGCTCCAGGATGGGTCTGGACGGGCAGCACATACCTGCTTGGTCCTTGGTGAGGGGAAGCATGTGGTTGGAGCGGTGGAGGTCCGGATCTTCCAACAGGGAGGAAAACTCTTCTTTGAGCTTAAAATAAGCAAACAAGAGTCCGGAAACACAGCTGGGCAAACAATACAGAATAAACACTATCGTTTACAGAGCAACTCTTGGCGCGACAACGTTGAAGGCGCGCAGAGGCAACATGGCAGACGGAAACTCGGCGCATAATGAACAGACCGCCTTTTTGCAAAGGGAGCGCTAGATACTATCAGCCGTGTATCACGTGTGGGCGGAGTTGCGCGGCTAGTTCACAACATGCTAGGGGGGTGGGGTTGTTGGTAAAAACTAATAAAGACCAGCCGAACGTAGCTTTATTAGTTTGGGTTTCAGTACAAGCGCGGTTTTGGAGACAACTTTTTCTTTTAATCCAAACCCTGCTCACCTGAGCAGTGACTGATGAAGTTGAGTTTACTCATTGGTGGCGAGTCCTGAAATCCCCTCTTAACTCTCCTTGCTCACCTTTATCATTTCACCTTTACGGCTGCGAATACATTTGACCTGTACATATTGTACTTTTCTCTAGCTGCACAGGGGTACAATACAAAATGAAAAAACAAATTGCAGAATTGATATTCATAAATACATGTTAAAACAAATTAAATAATAGACAAACAGCTAAAAAATATTGAAACTGACATAGATTTGTGGTTGCTTGGTGGGTTGGTAATCCAGCCATGGAGCTTCCCGAGTGAGTGTCTTTGTCTGAGAGAATAAGAGAGCCGAGTTTCCTTGTTCCTCTGTTTTGTCGGAGCAAATTTTGCAGCAAAGAAGAGTCGATCTTTTAATAACACGTTTATTTTTCCCAAAGGACAAAGGCTCATCTTTAGCAGTATTTAAATTATACAGTACAACTTCAATATCTGTACAATTGGTCCCTAGAAGGAAAGTCATACCGCAAAGTGGTCAAACAACAAAGAGGACAAAAATACAATAAAAATGAGTTTTCTGCAGCAATCTTTATAAAACACCGAGCTAAACGTGTGCCAGGGAAAGATGGAACAATCAATGGAAAAATCAATTCAAACAAAATTAAATAACACAGAAGAGGTTATGAAATGGTATGATTTAAGTTCAGACGTGCATGTATGTACCATTGGACAGTTCACTGTTAAAATGATTGTATGTCCTCTCTACCCGTCTTACTGCAGAGGACACCGCTGATGGATGCTGAAGGTGTGGACACACCGAGGGTTCTGTGTGTAATCTCCTCACCATCTTTGCTGGAGTGGGAATGTTACCGTGGCGGTAGACGCTCAAGAGTGAGATTTGTCCTTTGTGACGACACTCCTCGTACAGCGAACGCACACATCCATCTCAAACAAGCACACAGTTCACAGCTTGCAGATTCACTCGTTCTCTCACTCACAACCAACCTGAAATGATGTGTGTGACTGTGTGCGCTTCACACTCTTTCTCTCACACACACGCACACACATACATAGACGCGCACAACAAGCATGACCACACATGTTCGCGCTCTTTCTTTTTCTTTTCCAAGCTGCAGATGGAAATGGTGCACACGATTGTCAGAGGTTGGTCTCGTCCCATGTTGGGTCGTTCATGCTCTTTAACACCCTCTTCACCACTTTTTCCAGATCCTTCCGTGCTCTCTGCTCTTCCTCCAGTGACCTCTTCATTTTCTTGTTATCCTGTGTGGAAAACCGCCTTTTCATACGTGTCATCAGCCCAAATAATGGGAAACACGTTCATGTGAAAATAAACATTTCACAAAACACATCACTCCAAATGCATTTATAAACGAAAACGGAATGCTCTGAAAAGTGTATCAATTTGTCTCTGTTTTTTTCTCTTTTTCTTCACCTTCGTCTTTCTTCTATATCAAAATTTTCTTGAGAGAAACATAACGCTTTAAACCTTTTCAGTCATAATAAATATTGTTTTTATCTATGCTTCATGCATTGTCTTGCATGCAATTACTGATTACTAAAAAACACAAACTCTGAACCATTAGAGCTGAGCTGTGTGTGTGTCATATATTACATAAATCACACCATCATGCTCCTTCATTAAACATCCCATTCATAAAAATGTACCTGTTTCAGCTCCTGAACCTCCTCCCTCAGGGCGTACACCACGTCCACCAGGCTCCTGAAGGAGCACAGAGTACAAGAAGCACATGAGTGGTGCCCACAAGGCTGCTTATTAATGAATAGGTTCATGCTTTTCAGGAATAAAACAGCCCTGTACGCATGTAACTGTTGCATAGAGACTTATTTGAAAGATGAACGTGTATCTTTAAGCTCAGCACAGTATACAGAAGCAGTTGGTTTACCATTACATTCCAATAACAGGAAATACTCTGGAAATAGTCTATTACTCCTGTTGATGTTATGAAAAGAACCAACTAGTCGGATTCTATTGATCCAGAGCGGCGTTTAGTCTATCTGAGGTAACCGGTTAGCATAGGGGAATTTATTTATTTATTTTTGGTCCTCTATGTAATTGTTTTATAATCCTTTTGAGCACAAACTCAACTTATAACCATCAGCTACACTAAAGTGAACATTGTGAATATGTCTATTCCGCACAGCGTTATTTGTTGATGGGTTTGTTCAGTGTGCAAAAACTACGGAAAATTTAAATCGCCCTCCACCCGGAAGTAAATGTAGTTGCTGCAAATAACACTTCTCCTAAAAACCAAGCAAATGTACTATTTACTCCTGTTTCAGTGTCGATCTGATGTCAATAATTACAAAGCTTTATTAATACATAATGATGTACATCCTTCAGTAGGAACTAGTCGGAAGCGTCAGAAATATATTTCTCTATTATCTTACTTTTCTTCTATAGTACTTTGTCCATTGCGACGGGGATCCTCCACCAGGATCTTCCTCTCGCCGGGGACGATCACAAGGAGCTCCGATTCCCCTTGCAGTCCTGTTTCAAAACAGAAGAGCGCTAAACAATCGACAGTGAGTCGGCACAGGACTCCTTATTGGAACAAGTTACAATGCGCATTAGAGAGAACAAGCACAGAACAAAGTTGGTAGCAGTAGCATGTTAGTCGTGCACAGATGAGACGCCAGACAAGAGCCAGACAAAAGAGAAAAGGAAATGAGAGGGTGTGGAGATATCTGGCCTGACAAAAACATCAACAAATACAATCATTCATTCACCTCTTAGAACTAAATGAGTCATCTACAAACACAACCAGATTTGTTGTTCTCACAAATCGACAGAATGCCAGCGTCTATCAAATGACAGATTTATTCAAAACTCATAATACAGCGTTTTGGGACGTCGAGCTCTTCAGCGGAGTAGAACAAGTACGCTGAAGGCTCTGTTTGCAGATAAGACATGGTCACATGTGTGAACTGAATACAGCATTAGAGCACACAGAGGACACCGTTTGTCCCCCTGCCTGTTTGACTTCTCACACCACAGAATACACCTGTCACAGAGAATAGCACATGATATAAGGACAGTGACTCTTAGCTCAAATACTCATTGAAGGGTGGACTCTATTTTCTTTCTCCGTTACAACTAGTATTTACAGAAAGGGAGACTATGTGCTCTTATATTTAAGTCCACTCTGACGTTATTCTGAGATTGAATATTAGCTCACAAATGTCCCTGTATAATCACAGACTCTTGTTTCTATTTTCTTTTTTTTTGTTTTTAACCCTCAATGCTTTGGAAACACCAAAGGTGAGCATTTACACTACGAATGAGCATGTACTTTACAGTAACACTGAATACTCGTCTACCTGTAGGACTACATCATTCACACTCTAGGTAGACAACAATAAGTACAGATATTAACTATTCGATTTGACCCCCCACCCCCCATTGGCCCGTTACATGATTGTGCAAAATAATTTCAACACTTCATGTTAGAATTTTCAGTGTAAACTTTGATACAGAGCAATAAAATTGTAAAATAGAAAATAAATGATTCTTCCAGGGATCATTTTGTAAACATTGACATACAGAAAGAAATATAGAAATATAAATAATAAATAAATAAAATGCCTGCAAAAAAAACAAACGGAAAACACAACAAAGGAATTATTACAGAAACAGTAAATACTACTGTAAGACGGACCGATATATTCCATATGTCAACCCTGCTGCTTGCTGTAAGAGGAGATAGACTCTACTGTAAGTGGATGCCAACCTGTACTTTTAATACCAACACTGCAAAAATACTTCTTCATAAAAATAGTCATTGATGCAAGAGATCGGGAAACCTCACAAGCCGGACAACACTTTAAGGCATGTCTGGCTCGTGAGGCCCTCGCCTAGGTGCACGTTGTGTTGAGACACGAGGGCCGTTTGTCGTCACGTTAAGCTAACCTGGTCAAACTGTCAGAGCCCAGTGACGGCCACCGCAGTTCAACAGCTTGGGAAATGGGCAGATTTACGTTTCTGCTTTGAGTTTGAGGAGATGGTTGATTCTGCTAGCCGTGTCCAATGGTAGAAACTAATTTAAAAATCCATTTAAGGGCACCTCTAAAGCTCGCTGATCAACAGGTTATACTTGGATATTCCTACTCTTAAATATACGGGGGACAACAGAGGTTCAGCTCATATAGTGAGCTCCAGAGGTACTCCCATCTGGACACATGCAGCCCAGATCTTTCCTGCTTCCACTCCAAATGCTGAGCTACGTTAACCTGCTCCTGGCTTGGTTTTAAATGGACAGATCTAAGAAGGCTCTTTTCAAATAACTCAGAAAGAAAGCGAATATGAATATTTTCAAAATATTAAACTATTCCTTTAACTAAAAGGAGAAATTAAACGTTTGATTTGTATTATAGCACTGTAGTTAAAAGTAGTTTGCACAGTTTATTCGTGTCAGGCCAGTGTGCTATGCCTGATTTAAATGAAATAATATTAGGTTTGTCAACGCACTAACTTGAGGTTTCTAATTGAATATAAATGCAGAAGCACTGACAGAAAGCAACATTACCGAATGGAAGATTCAGCTTTTTAGGAAGATTTTAAGGACTTTAAAATGCAGTACAATCTCAAAGTGAATGACTTAATGGGTCAGTTTGCCAAAAAAACCGAACACAACCAAAACACTGTCATTCTGTGACAGAGAAAGTAGTCCAGGTTCTGACTGAAACATCGCATCCACACGATTACCCGGAATTCAGTTTGTGGAGCTCACAGGATAGAAAAAATAAACTTCCAGACAGACGTGCTGGTAAAGCTGTTAACAGCTTTGATAGTTTTTCTGCAGTTAGTTTGAATAAAAATGCTGACACTGAGATTTTTGGAGACGCCGGTTCCAGAAAGACACACTGGTGTGTAAATATCATTTTTCAAAGAAGATTAACAAATAAAACTACATTAATGGCTGGACATAACTTTAGATATGTGTGAAAATATATTTGATAAACTGACCTTTTAAATTCATCACGTTAGTCCACTAGCTCTTATCATTTCAGATACGGTTACATTTTGCAAACATTTTTCAGTATTTAATAGGGCTTTGGTCACATGGTATGTTAAATCAGAACTTACTTAGCAACATATATAAAGATAAAAAAATTATGAAAACAGCAATGTTATTAATAATTTGGATATTTGTTGCCGGCAGCAGGGGCCTGTGTGCCTGAACCTGTGCGTGTGGCTTCTGTGCTATGTTTGAGAAATACATACACGTACCGGAGGGAAGTAGTACGTGATAAATAGAATACACTCATCGTTCCTGAATTACATCTGAATATCAGACAGGAAAAGCTCAGTCCCCACCTCTCCCTCCATTAGTTACCCCTCCCCTATATCCCACACCCCTCTGCACCCTGCTGAGAGTCCACCACATTTATGGTCAAAGAAGGGGAGCGGTCACATTCAAGATAAATTAACAAGAATTACTGCATGACAACTACACAAAGAGAGGAGGCACGCAAAAGGGAAAGCGGCAAAGGCAACAGGGATATGCTTGAAACATCTTCAAACAAACAACAAAATAAATAAACCAAATAAGTTTAAAAAAAAAGAATTAACAAATTTATAATAGAAAATAAATAGGTAAATAAAAAAATCAAGTTTCTTTCAATACATTTAGCAGTTAAAGAGGTAAGCGCGCTGTACGTTACACGTTGGTGCGGCGCGGCGGTACGTTCTTTAGTTCTGGTGAGAGATGCAGCTCTTCCGCGGCACAGAGCCCATCCTGTAACTGTGGGTGGTCCAGATGGAGTCATAGTCAGAGTCCTCGGAAAGGTCAGAGGACAATTCCGGCCTTGACACGCTGCTGCGGCGGCCCGGCGAGTCCATACAGGACCGGTCCGCGTCGGCCAGCACGTGGTTGTGCATCAAGTCGGTGCCCTGCCAGGCTGGTCAGAGCGGGGCGGAGATGGCCGGGGGTCGTTGCGAATGTGGATTGTGGAAAATGGGGTAATGGGGAAAAAAAAGGAATGGTGGTGCAGGAGGAGGAGGAGGTAGCATATGTAGCACGCAACAAATGATCAATAATACAAATAAAAAAAAACACAAAACACACACACACACACACACAAAGAGAACAATGAGAGACACGGGACGGGGGCGAAGGTTGTAGTACAGTATGGAGAAAACATAAAGGTTTATGAGAAAAAGAAGGTAAACTCAAGGCCAAACGGATCGATGTCAAAAAGTGAAGAGTGAAGGAGAAACAGGCAGAAAGAGAAGATACTGTTAGAAAGATCAGTTCAGAATACCGGGGTTAAAGAAAGGCATTGAGTCATAGAACAGTCCCACAGACTGCAAGCTCCCAACCTTTGCTGTTGTGCATGCACATACTAGATAAGTATAAGGAAGATTTGGTGTTTGCTTACTGGAGTTAAGAGTTTGTCTGGTTTTTGCGCTGGTGCAGTACGCTTCAATAACTTTCAGGATTTGGGCATCTTCCTCAAGCGCAGCAGTACCTGAGAAAAAGAAGGCAAAGGGGAAATAATCAATGTACATTCTCAAATCTCAGGTTTCCTTCCAGCTGTGAGCCCAAACAGCATCTCCAAACATTTAAAGAATCTCTTGACATTTTAGGACGTACAGGTCTTGTACTTTCTAGCAAAGAGGGAGATGAAAAGGTCAATATACCCGATACAGGTCCGTTAAGGGTGAAGTTGGAGCCATTATTAGATTAGCTTAGCTTAGCAAAGTCAGGAGGCTAACAGGAATAAAACTGCTAGTAAGGTTGTCAGAAGGGAAACAAAACGTACCTTCTAGTGTCTCCAAAGCTCATTAATGAACAGAATTTGTTACAAAAACACTTCTAACAGTCTAAGAAAGACTTTCGACGTACTCTTCCTCAGGGCGAATTCCTCCTCGGACTGTTTCCTCTCAGGCTTGCGCTTGGGAAGGAGCTTCTTCACGCTCTTGGGACTTTTACTAAGATCCTGCAAAAAGACAGAAGCGAGGCAATTGTGTGACATCTCAAGGGGAGAACGCGTTGAGGAAGTCCCGACGACGCGGCGGGGCAGGTCCTCACCTCCTTGTAGCAGAGGGCTGCAGAGGGTCGCAGAGGGGGGGCAGGCCGCAGGCAGCTCAGGCTCCAGGGTTTGGGGGTGTTGGGTGGTTCCAATGGTCCCCACATCATGGTGCTGTGAGGCGTTCCGTGGGAGGAGGGGTGAGGCAGGGTGTGGTACGTGGGGGCCACGGTCATGCCCCTCCCCTCAGAATGCCGGGACGGGGTCAGAGGGTGAGTCGGGAGCTGTGGAAATGAATAAAAAAGGGCTTGAGCATTTGCGTAAAAAAACAACAAAAAAAATGTGTGTTCTTTTCAGAGAGGAACTCGAAGCTGGGGTGCAGCTCCTGTATAGTGTCACTGTAGTTATAGCTTCTTAACGCATTGCCAATTTTTATTGTCTCCTTCATTCAAGCAAAGTGCATATTCTTTGGCGCATGTGCACAAGAAAGTAAATACAATCTCGGACAATTTAAACCACAGTACAGTAACCACTGTGTCAACAGAAAGGTAGAACAGAACAATTTGAAATTTATTAAATACTTTGGTTGAGTTAGCACTTTAAATAATAATAATGTTTAATAAATGAGTCACAGCTATCGAGTGAAAACTGCAATAAGCCTAAATGATAGAAGAACATTACAATCCCCTTAACTGAAGCCTCACCGATGGAACTGAAATTATTTTTCAAAAACTTAAAGTGTGCCATAATCCAGCCAACTACATGGAAATGGCCTATTGTAGATAACGTGATCATTATTGTTGATTTCTTTATACAAGTATAAGCCTGAAGGTTGATTGCTCCGTATTCATATTCAAATCATTAACTGCAATTGTGCAAAACAGCCTTTATAGTGGGAGAAATTAGCCACTTCACACAGGGCTGTCCAGTAATTTTAGATGATTGCTGGACATTACGCGAGCCAGGCAGAAAATCGGTGTGAGATCAACATATAAAAATCAGTGTTTACGCCACATTGGGTATAAATGAACGGAAAGAGAACCATCAGTACGTGTGTGTGTGTGTGTGTGTGTGTGTGTGTGTGTGTGTGCGATCGTGTGCTTCTCACCGTGTGGCAGGGAACAGTGAGAGGTTTGTGGCTGGGTCCTATGGATGCAGTATGTCGGATCTGTCTGGTCAGATGTTCCACCCAGTCCTGCAGGTCCGGTTGGTTGGTGCACACCACCTGGAGACGGTCAAACAGTGTACCTGCAGGGACGGAGGCGATCGATTTAGAAGGGCTTACGTGTACAAGGAAATACCCCCTTGTCCATTGCATTTACTCTTACCGTTGAGCTCAAAGGCGTTTTTATGTGCTTCACAGTCTTCTAGTTTGGTCACTGACATGCTGGCCAGGGGCAACTTTCCCTGCAGAGGGAAATGATCACACTAGATTCAAAATGCAACAGAAGCATGACCCGTCATCCACTTCGCCACGGTTATACGGCATAAATACACTGCTCATAAAAATGTAAGGAACTCTTTGAAAGATCAGATCTCAATGTGAAAACAAATGATGTTGGATATCTATACCGATGTAGACAACGTAATGTCTTAGGAACAAAGGATTCCACATCCTTTGATGGAGAAAAAAAAGAAAAAGTTTCAGCCTACAGAGGGGAAAATCAACATAAAAACACGATGTGGCAGGCTAGTCCATTCAAAGAGATGAAGAGGGAGAAACTTGAATTGGCTTCCACATGCAAAACCAGCCCTTTTTTGGGGGTCATCACGTTTTTGCTCCTGTTGTTGTTATTTCCATCGACACCAATGCAGCTGAAACTGATTAACAACCCCCTCTGCTACTTACCTGACCAATCATTGTCAGAGAAGTCAAATTGAATCCATGCCATTCATTGTTTGAGCAGTGTACTTAGATTCAGGTGAGACTGATCTGACTAAATGTTTACTACTGACCTGGAATATGAAGCCACTCATCCTGGGGCTCGCAGACAACATGAGGAGGACGTGAGGGAAGAGCATGAGGTAACGCTCACTCTTCTCCTGGTGAATCAAAATGAGATTTAAAATCAGTGTTAATGCAAGCAGGTCAGTTCAGATGACAGATGGAACCATTCCAGACTGTCCGTGGGTGAGAGGATATCTGGTGTTGGCTTCCCAATTGTCAAGTGGCAGGAGTTTTAGATCCTGCCATCCATTATTTCCCAACGTTTTTTTATTATTGATCATATAAAAAGAAGCATCGGTTTGATGTAAAACTGTTACATATTACAGATGTCTTTTGTGGCTTGCCGTCCGTTTCAACAACATTGTGAATCATTGACATTAACTATTCCTTCTTTAATGTGTCATGCAGTTACTGAAAAAATCTGAAAACACTAAGTTTTTAATTAGAATAAACAATTGTCATGTAGTGGATGTACTAAGTGATTAATTTCCCCCCGATGAATCTTGTTCAAAGCTACTTAATTTGTCTGCTTATTAGATTTTTTGCATTCATGTTTGATAAACATAAACTGTCATTTTCCAATTAAATATAACATTTACAATGATAAGTAAGCGTCAGAAAACAGATTTAAATCAGTTAATTCACACAAAAATACTTAAATTTACAGTGATCTGTGCATACTACCAAAACAGCAGAGTAGCCGAGGCTGTTTTCGGATGGTGTTGGTACCTCTGATCCAGGACTCTGCACTAACACCTGGCTCATGTAGAGCACAGAGCCCAGGGTCTTGATGTCGTCCCCCTCCCACAGCCGGATGGACTCGGAGAGAATCTGCAGCTCGAGCTCCTTGCGCTTCCGCACCTCCTGGCACTGAGCCTGAAACAACGGAAGCACGCGGATGCTTAAAGACCTGCCATTACTTAATTTATCGAGTTACCTGCTACATCTGCCAGGGCAGCAAGTGAGATCCTCTTACAGACAAATTCTTAAAGGACGCCATGCACTTCAGAATGTCCGGTCGGTCGGGGTGACTCTCCTGACGGAACAAAAAGAAACACGTAAGCTGTCGACCACACACCGATACGCAAGTGCTTTGCGGCAGATGTTTCTATACACACCTCCATGTGCCTCTCAAGCTCTTTGAGCAAGTTGGGGTATTTGTCGAGTCTCATGAAGGGTTTGCTAAGGCCTGTGGTCAGGGTGAGAATCCCGGGAGGGACGGCACCTCGCCCCTCCATAAACTCCCCCAACACCTCACTGCAAGAGGACGGAAAGACAGAGGGTCAAAAAAAAAGATTGAATCTACTTTTCAACCTTTGTGACCATGGTTGACATTATCTGCCTGGGTTTGCAACAAACACGCTGTTGAGAACGTCAGACACCTTATTAAAGCAAACATACGCTGCTGACTGCCATCCAACGTGTTACAACGCACTCACTTTTTAGATAGATGGATACGAGTCCAACATTGCTCTCCAAACGTGGCAAAAACATCGACAGAATCAGAATATGTGTGAAAAATGGGAAAACTGTTCTGGCGAAGGATAACTAATCAAATGAAATCCTTCACAATGATCATGACGCTGCGAATGCAGTGTATTGAGATCAGGTGTGAAACTTCCTCTGGCCTTTTTTTAAATGGCCTCTAGCGGTGAGTTACTTTTGGAATGGAACTTTTTTTTTAAATATATTCATTCAAGTGGGTTTTGCACATGTATGTTTCAAGTCCTTGTTTATTCAACTGCACTACATAGAGTTTCAATTGATAGTATTTTCAACCAGTTTAGAAGGGACATGACCAGGGGCTCCTTGTCGTCTCCCTTCTAAACTGGTGCAGACTTACCTGTGTTGGGTAAGCAAACTAACTGCAGACGGGTGGTTGCTGCAGTAACCGACATAAAGAGCTTTCATCTGTGGCATGAGGTTGAGGAAGAAGCCTGCCACCCTTTGCTGGGTCTCTGGAAGCCTGAAGACAAAAAGACAAGAGAAGATAGCAGGTATATGGAACCATATACATCCACTATGGACCGAAAGTGCAACAGTATAGTACACGTTCCATCTGCCTCTAGTCTGTGGTTAAGCCCCCGTTGCTGTAGTTCATCTGGCCCAACACTAGAGGTCCCTCTGCTTATTATGCAACAATGAGGCTGCTGCAGTGAGGCTTTGCGTGTGGGGCGGGACTAACTTGGTGCACTCCTCCAGCGATTGGACGAGCATCTGCTGGAAGGTGCAGATCTCCTCGAGATTTCCCAGAATCAGAGCCACGTCTGAGCTGCTCAGTCTGCAGGAAAAAGACACGATCGGCAAAAGCAGAGTAAAAAACAAACACAAAACAGACATGTTTAGTGGCTTGCAAAAGAAAGTCAAGCACCCGATTCACATTTGTTGATTGTTTAGGTGTATAGAGTTGCTCCAGGGTTCCTGTTATACAACAACCATGCTAAAATAACCTGGTTTGGGTTAAAACCAGATTTATGTGTAAATGACTCTTACTTGTCGATGCTCTGAAGGGGGCGAAGGTAGTTGGTCAGGAGGCTCTGAAGGTCTCTGGAATATTCGGTCTCGGTTTCCAAAATGTTCTGCAACACCTACAATGGAAAAAACAAGAAAATGTCTTGAAAAATAAGTTTGCTCATTATTACAGTCATGTCTTCAGGAATGAACAGTTCATTGTGGTTTATTTCACGTGATAGTTCCACATGTTTTGCTATAAATCTATACAAATATTATAACGTGTACATGTTATAATGTGTACATGTAAACATGTTGTTGGTCCAATTCATTGGGTATTATTCAACTGATGACCGTTTTACAAACAACACCTTCTCAACATCAGCAACATTTTCAAGAGCAGTCACAGAGCGCTTTAGACTTAAGTATTACAATGAGTTGTTCAGACTCCAGCTGGATTCTAGCAGGTAGAATTTATATACACCAATGGAACAATGCACAGATCCAAAAACATACAAATAAACAGGCACTAAAAAGTGCTAAAAAGTGGAACAGAATCCTTTCATTTTAACATGTTTTTGGAGAAAGATAAATAAGAAAGCTGACAGAAAGGACACTTATATTGATATATAAAAGCTCAAGAGGTGCATTTACCAAGTTATAGTACGTCTTGCTGATGGCGGATGTGTCAAAGCCTTTGGGGGGGCTCTTGAGAGTGCCTGACTTGGGGGACACTTGTTTGTCTGCAGCCAGAAGACAAACAAATCAAATCATGGCACATGTGATGAACTACTCCACAACAGCATTTGGGTTGAAATGTCTTTCCAGTAGGTGGCTGAGGTACTTACCAGAACCCTTGACCTCTCGGACATAGTTGCTAGGAAACCACCCAGTCCGGCCATTGATTATCCCCTCCCACCAGCCGCCCTCCTCCTGGCGAATCACGCCGATGAGGTCACCCTTGTCGAAGGTGAGCTCATCTTCGTTGTTCTGCAGGAAGTTGAAGCGCGCCCTCACCAGGAGCTGCTGCCCGCTGTTTTCTGACATGTCCTGGCGAACGTGGGAGGGAGCGCGACACAGGGAACAGTGAGCGGAAACAGCCAGGAGAGGAAATACGACACAAAGAGACGTGACGCTAGAATGATTATACTGTTCAAGTAGTTGGAGTACATCTGACCATTTCTAACTGGCCTTTGATCTGAATGATTGTTGGACTGAGTTGACGAACATCATCCCAAATTTAACTAACCAATAGGGTGGATGTGGCTTTGATTTCGAGGGGACACGCTGGTTTAAGGCGAATTGTTGACCTCGATTAGGTACATTTAAGAAACTCTTGATTTTTTTAATCTCATTTCCATTTATTCTTATTTAATTGTTGTGGGGCAGATTAAGTTGCTGCATCCGTGTCTGTACAAAGCTGTCATGAAAACCCCCCTTAAAGCCTTAAAGGCTTCCTGATGCCCTTAGTGGTTAACAAACATTCTGTATCATTGAAAAAACGTTTGTCTTGGTGCTCTGTTAACACTGAAGAACAGAAATGTCTAGACACAAAGGCAGTGTCCGCTGAATGGCTGTTGCTCTATATATTGTATTTGACGGGTGTTAATTGTTGTTGTGGGATTATTTTAAGCAAAATTGTGTTGTTAACGACTATTGACCTTACCAGACTGCGAAACTGGTTCTGCAGCAGCTTAGAGGACCGGCCCAGTGAAGCCTGAGAGGACAGCGACTCAAAAGACTTGATGCGATGGGCTGAAGAGTGTCGGGCGCACACAGAGTCACTGCCCACGCCGATATCTGGAAAGAGACGAAACATATAACCACCTGGTGCACGCTGCCGTGTCGCACACTCCCATCACTACCCGCCATTCTTTCATAAAACCCCGTCATGCAAGTCGCTCCTACTGGGACTCACCCGCGGTCACTTTACTCAGGGAAACCAGACTGCTGAGCACCTTGGAGAAGTTGAGTCCTAGCAGCAGGTCACTGGCCTCAAACGGCTGCAGGTGAGAGAGGAGAGAAAGAGGCCAAGCGGAAGAACATGAGCCAGAGAGCACATCAGCATTTCCCTCGTAAGGCTAATCTTTAATTCCAGCAGAGCGTCGCCCGGCCACACTTCCAGCGCCGAGCAGTCGCACACTGGTCACTGTATTCTACCAGCTGAGTTACGTGGTTTACAATAGGGGTGGGACTCTCTTGGCACCTCACGATTTGATTTGATTCCGATTCAGAGGTCAACGATTCGATTCAAAACCGATTATCGATTCTAAACTGATAAAACGATTATTGATGCATCTCGATTTTCTAAATTTTCTCAAATCTGAGTTTGCTACTCAGAGGTTGCTAATCACTTCCTACTTTATTTGATAATTAAAGAAAATCAACAGATGAATTACCTTCTTTAATTTTTTATAAGAGAAAAAAAAATCTTTGTCACAAATATGATTTTCTATCAACAATGCAAGAACCAATGCAGCTTGCATTTCAACACAATATGGAAGTAGCCTATGTAAAAAAAATATTAAAACAGTTTCAGTTTTTCTTTTAAATGAAGAAAAAGCTGCTTTTAGTCTCAGACCGGTCCGTATTTGTAAAAACTGGAAAAAAGTCCAAATCTGTGAACATCTTGCCAACTTTCAATACGGATCGACTTTTTGGAAAATCGAAATAATGAGGTAAGATCTGCGGAGGCTCCTCCATAGTTCGGTAAAGTTATTAGATATTCAGATTCAGACTGACGGACCGGTCTGCGAGCTGGACGCATTGCTCTTAATGTGCCGGTAATGATGGTTGTAGCTGGTTGTCATCTATTACGATTACCGAAGGGGGCGTGACTTTTGCTCGCGCGAGACAGGCTTTTTTTTTTTTATTCCGATTATTAACTTTTCTGAATCGAGACCGAATCGTTCTAGAGAGAATCGAGAGAAATCGAAGAATCGATTTTTTCCCCCACCCTTAGTTTACAATACTACCGACGGAAGCAGTATTTAATTGCCAATTGCTTGTGCATAAATGACATTTCAGGTGTTGATTTCTGAGTGTTGAAAAACAAGATTATAAATTAGCCAACGACTCAATTATCCAGAAAACTCCAAATGACACCAAGCTCTGTGACCCAAGAACAGCACCCATCTGTATCAGAAAATGGCTTTTTAAAAATGAAAACACAATTTGTTAAGTCACCAATGCTTGAAGTCGATGTTGCATTCACGTGATATGGGATGTATGGTACAGGTCTGAAATATTCCCATATTCAAGACATTGTTGTATATCCCTCTATTACTGCCGATGAAGCACCGAGTCACAAATATCTCAACCTACAGAGAAATCTAAAAGGTTCTTGAAACATGGATGTCGTTGAGAACTCAACCTATGAGTTGTCATGGCGATGATACAACAGGGCATGGGTGTCACAGACAGTGTAGTCATTAAGTGTCGAGATACAGACTGATGCATTGATGCTTTTGTTTTGTGAATGGGATTAGTCGACGAAATACAGAATACGAGCTTTCTTGCCTTGTTGCAGCAAAGTCCACGGCCTGTCTCCTCGTCAGTGTGACCCTCACTAGCCACTCGGTTGCTATGAATGGCAGTGATTGTATCTCTGTTAATGGCTGATGCCGTCCTCTCTCTCCCTGTCTACCGGCTCCATGCGATTGGTTGGTCTTGTTTCATTTATACTCAGGGCGAGCGACTGGGAGATATGAGTCACTTTTATCTTCCGCTCCGATTGCAGAAATGCCCCGAGGGAATGTTTGATAGTGTGGGTTTGTATATGGGCCTGGGTGTGCGTGTTCACCAACTACTGGAGGACTCGCCGCCATTGAAGAGCATTCATGTGAAAGCATCCTCCCCCTCAACCGTCAATATCAATACCTCCACTGGGGCTGAAGCTGGAAGTAACTTTCAGTATTTGTACTTAATTTTTCTCCAAGCCATTCCAACAGATCCTCCCTTCTTTTGCCAGAATGGCAGGTTGCGGTGGTAGTTTGCGGTGGTCGGATCCTTTTTCAGAACGGCATAAGCCGATGTCAGTTGGGTATTTAGCGACATGCAAACACCATGTAAAGTTAAATGAGTGTCTTCGTGACCGTGGGTTTGCCGTACGTGTTTTGATCTAGCAGATCACAGCGACTTGACGTAGCGCAGCGTCGTAAATAAAGTGATGTATGTCTTAATGCGAGGCTTTATAAATGAACACAAAGGGATTCTATATTTATTAAGTCTGAAACAGGTCATTTGACCAATGTTTTGATGACCGACCGAAGCCAGCGGACAGAGAGCCCCCGCGGACTGACTACTCAGTCCATTTATGTTCCACGGACTTGCAACGTGTCCGATCGGCCTCAGCGTCACACTCGCGGCCTGAAACAATAGTGCAACAACCCTCTGAGATTCAGCACCAGCTGCTCCCATGATGGTGACATGGGAGTGTTTACCTGCACAGGGTGCTACTACCCACACCTCTATGCACACTGCGGTTAGTCAGATATGATGACTGAGCACAGTATACGTAAATATGCTTTAAGTGAGGGAGGCAAGACTGCATACAGCGTCTCTGCAGACTGAATCAGGATCGACATGAAGCAAGGGGGTTGCAGTGTTGACTTTTAATGTTAACGGAGGGTGTTTAAATCTATATGGAGTGTTTTAGGACAAGGAGCCTAAACATACGGACAAGGCAGCCAAGCAGCTTAGAGCCCAACAGTGGGATATTCTTCAGCAGCCAAGTGAGTCAGCAGACCCCAACACAACTGATCATGGGTTTTTAGTTACTGACGACAAAAAAAAAAAATACAGACACGCAAAAAATCAAGATCGTGGCTCAACTGCTTCTGTACTTCTAAGGCCAATATTGATATTTGAGAATGCATGACATGAAATTGCTCGGGTGGAGACGGCTGCAGACGGTACCGTCCTGATGTCCGCGGGCCGCAGAGCCACTGACTGCAAAGGATTTACAATTAAATATAAATATGACTATTTTTACACCAAAAGAGGATACTGGGACAGATACTACAATATTAACACATTGCATTAGAAAGTAAAAAGACTCATTTCCCACGATGCTTCAACAGATTCTCTTCAGTTGCTTTTTCTTAATTTACTTTTGGGACCGTAAAGTCCTGGGACGATAGATAAAGCAGCTGTTTACTGATCCGGACTGACATGGATGTAAAAACCTTCAAATTAAAGCTTAAGATTCAGAGCTTTGGCCTCATGGTCATTGCTTTAACTCATCCAAATGGCTTTAGCAAAGAGCCAGACTGACCTCAGTCGATTGATCGGTTCAGTCACCGTTTCGCAGACCGTAAACATTACATTACATTACATGTCATTTAGCTGACTTAGTGCATTTCAACCATAAGGATACAAACTCAGAAGAACAAGAAAGTGCAATTTCCTCAAATAAGCCAATTTACAATTAGCTATTGATACCGTTATAAGTACAATTTAAGTACAATTTAATTTGTTAGTCTTTTAGTCGAGGTAGAGTCTCCATATTAAAAAAAGTAACATGTTCAATTTAATTAACAGCTCCATGAACCTACGATGACGTCCATAGAAGACAACGGCCTTATCTTGACTATATTTTAGGAAGGCAATGGAATTAAAGTCTCCCATTAGTGTAGACAGATTGTGTGATCAGCCTGCATGTAGACACGGGGTAAGGTTACTATTCCGAAAAGGAGCAGCGGGACTCGTGGGAACTCCTATGATCACTATCTGTGGTCTGAGACACTGGGGGTCAAGGGTCAGTAAAAGCAGCTGCCTGAGTGCGAGGCATGGTCTTGAGTGTTTAATCTGCATGAGGTATCCGAATGACATCAGAAAAGCAATCATCCGGTTGAAATATCCACACGAGACGCGCTCGCATCGATGGTCTTCAGCTCAACGCCGCTAAAAAAGAGGTATAAATCCCGACCGCAAAAGCACAGCGTCTCTCTGACAGGCTTTCTCGTGTTCGTGTCCGCTGCTCTAATCTGCAGCTGCAGCTACCTGGGTCAGAGCCAGCAGTGCTTTGGGCTCTTTGGAGAAGGTCCATCTTTGCTCTACAGATGGTGAGGAGGACGGACTGACACGTCCCAGAACCACTATAATCCAGTCCAATTCTCAAAAAAAATAATAATAATACAAACAGTCACATGTATTTGAACGCACTCGTGCACGCAAGGACCTAATGTAGTGTAACGCAGTATGAAGGCACAGGTCTCCAGGCTTCTGTTGATGATGGGGATTGGACCATTTGTTACCAATAAAAAAACTGCACATGTTGCATAATTATTCTCAGGCTCCCTCTTGCCCCTCAGACATGATTACATTATGACCCGACGCTGACCGATCCGGCCCCTATAGTGAGCAAAAACACACACCGGCCTTTTTCCGATATAGGACGTCCTTTGCTTCCGCGACATAGTGTAACTAAAGGACGGGTCTCACCCACTTAACGTGGCATTAAGCGTGTGAGACGTCTCCATCTCAGCCTCGCTGAAGAACACTGCCTCGTATTGTGTAACTAGGGCTGGTTCAATGACCCCCTTCTACTGACCGGCCCAACACACAGCAAGCTGTCCTCCATTTGCCCCACCAGCCACAACTCCAACCGACCCAGAGTGCTTCACGTGCACTGAAGCTCGAAGGGAGGGGAACGTGATCCGGGGACGTGTTTAAACTGTACACCTCCTAATAATCACGCTGTAATCACCGAGAGAGAGAGAGAGAGAGACACGCACGGCCCGCGCATTGTTCTCAGCTGGGTGGCTGCTGCTCCTTCACAACGACAACAGCGATCTGCATAACAAGGGCCGGTGTCATCTGTGACAACAAAGCCACGCACGAGTTCGAGGACAAAAGCTCTGCATTCATTCGAAAAAGCGTAAACAACACGCACAGCTGGTTTAAAAAAAAAGAGAAAAACCTGTGCAGGGAATATGCGCAGGCTACAATGTGACCACTTTAATCCCGTACAGCTGCTGAAAAGTTGCCACAACGTTACAGACGTATCGCCGCCGGAGGGCCGACCACGTCTCGCTCGCTCGCTCGCTCTCGGCCGGGCCGATGGGCGATTGTTCCCCGGCTTGCAGTCCACTCCTCCTCCCTCCATCAGGGCTCCGAGCCCCCGCTCCATTGTTGGTCCTCCTCCTCCTCCTCCTCCTCCCATAACGTGCGCCTTCGAGAATAAGCCCGGACGTGCAGCGGTTACTCACCTCGACGCGGAACGACGCGCAGCCCTTGAGGAACTCCTTTATGTTGCTCAGGCTCTCGCCGTCGTTCTTCGGTTCTTGGTAAATCTGGAAAGACGGAGACGCCGGTTAGAGGCAGAGCGGCTCGTTCACGCCGCGCGCGCTTCTTGGCTTTTTTCTTTTCTTTTCTTCCGCACCGCGGGGTTCGCCTGCGAGTTTATCCGCAATAAAACCCTGTATGTTGTGTCTCGACGCGCATTGCACCGTGTACGTGCGGGCCGGACGCTCCGGGAGGTGGATCCCGCAGCGGGGAGGCGGAGGAGGTTGTGGGGTCGGCGTCGAGGGAAATGACGTCAGCAAAGAGGGCTCCCCTCCGATGTTGGTGTGGCCTTTTTTTTTCTTCTTCTTTTCCCCCCCATTGTTATCAGAACCTACTTTATGAAGAATAAGTTTAGACAACATTTAAAAAGAATAATAATAATAATAATAATAATAAAACAAGCCTCGGGGGTTGGACGCACAGAAACGCCTTTCATTTGTAGGTGATGTGATTGAGAATCTACTAGAACATTACAACCTTCTTTCAAATGGAATTCACAGCAACATTAGAGGTTTGAGCTACTGTACTTTGTAAACTGAGTACATGGGCAATAGGGAAAAGAAAACATTAGTCAAGTACTGTACTTAAATATAATTATTTCCGTTTACTGCTACTTCAAACTTCAACTACTCTTCAATTCAGATGCAAATGTAGTACTTTTTATTCCACTACATTGATCTAATAACTTAAATTACTTTACAGATTAATATTAACCTAACTCATAATACAAAATGTTATAAAGAATATAGATAAAACTTTGGAGAAATTCATCAGCCATCAAGCTAATAAAGCATAGGGCTTGAAATGAGTTCCACCTTTATTGGCTTAAATATTGAAGTGAGGTGCACATTAAAGTATCAGAAATGAATTAAGTTATCTAGCCTACATGTTTCACATGTTGCTCATTTCAGTTTTGTTCATATTTATCAATACGTTTACCTCTTGTTTGCTGAAATCAGTACTTGTTAACTGAAATTCCAGAGAAGAGATTAGTGTAGGAAGCGTACATGTAACGTTTAGTGATTACTATCGACTTGAGCAATCAATGGAATGTTTCTTTTACAAACAAAGGGGCATCCTTTGGTGAGAAAAATGAAGAATACCAGAGGAATTGAGGCAAAACATGTTGCCGCAGGTCCACTACCCTCACATGACCTAGAGGTCCATGTCAGAATTGAACTGCAGATGCATCCAAAAAGGAAAGGGAAGTGACCAGTCACAGCTAATTGTAAAGAACCATAATACCAACTCCAATCTACACGCCACCAGTAGTCAGGGCCGTAAATCGAGTGTGAGAGAAATTTTTCAAAATGTGGCAAAGCATCGTATGGGAGGAAACTCTGTGTTTAGTGATGTCCATGGGGGAAGGACATAAGACAACCGTTTACTGCAAACGATTTTCCTTAAATTATTCAAGATAAGCCTTATATTCACAACTGGTTACTTCCAAGCCTCAGAAAATGGGGATGCCTGTGTAGAAATGGCTGAAATTCTGAGACTGTTACTGGTGTTTTTGTTCTATCCACTGAATTAAAGCTATACTTCAACCAAATAGGGACGGCTTCAGTTCCAATCTGACTGTATATGATAGCAACTAACATCTGAGCTGTTGCCCACATTCAACCGCCAATAGTATTTATTTAGAGCGCAACAAATAAATCAGCCTTTCACATATGTCTCATACCGTTGCTTGCATTGGCTTTTAAGTAACAAGAAATGTACAGTAAGGGCACGTATGCCAAATATATGTTTACGGGTAATTTAAGAGGTGTCACCAATGCAGTTTGTCCACTAGAGGGCAGTGAGAACTTGATACGTCCTCTATAAATTCTCCTCTCAGTACATGTATTAGTCAATATCATTTTATAAGCAAATTAATAGGACCTATTTGGGGTTTTTTCAACCCTTAGAGAGAGAGAGTTAAGAGTTAACGTGTTACAGAAAGCTGGATTTTTGTTCTATTTTGCAATTTTTTAACCATTTGAATGAATTTCTCACAACAATAGGTCGTTTGACAATACCAACTTGTTATTGTTGCGCGGGACAAAGGCGTTTAATCCGTAACGGTTTTGACATTTTAGCAGTTGTGTCGCAATACGTTGTTGTTGTTGTTGTTGTTGATTTTTTTGGAAGCTACCCAAACGAGATGACACAATTTAGATGATTGATGCATTGGCTGATTCTGCCACACACACTTTGATTTAATCATCAGCTCCGGGTGCCTATTTCATTTGTTTTCAAGCAGAGATTGTTTCAATCACAGAGATGTGATGCCGCCCTGCAGTCTCCATCGAATTCTCTCCTGTGTGCACAATAACGAATCTGAATTGGCTTTTCCTCTCGGATTTTAAACATCGTCGGTGCCAGCGGGAGAAAATGGAAGGAGCGTGTTTTGCCATTGAACAGGCAATCATCTCTCCTCTGCTAACGCGGAGGCGCAGGCAGCGTCTTTAGGAGGAAACGCTTCTCAGCCGACGGACGCAAACACTGCGCTGTTTCTTTAAATAGGGAGCTGGTCCATCTCTTGTCGGTGCGCCGTTGCATTCAATGGCGGCCCACTCGCGTTATTGCCTGTGATCTGTGCACAGACAGCTGGTCATCCATCCAAAACCCGCCGACACGCAACACACTTAAAAAGGGGAATTTAAAACAGGCGCGTCACACGACAGCGCAGGTGGCGTTGAGCGTTTTCAAACCAATTGCGTTAGAAAGTCACACCTTATCGAGGCCTTCCTTATCAACACCCGCGGTGGTTGTCCTGGACATGTCACCTGTGCAAATGCTCTGTTCTGCTCCAGCGGATCCGACACACGCGCGGCGCAAACAGTGGCCCGTGTGCGCGCACACGCCGACATACGCTGTGTGTGCAGCGCCGCATCAGCACCGGCGCTGTTTTTTCGCAGACAACAACGCGGGCTGCCGTGACCTACAATAGAATTCCCCTCCGGGTCCCTCCAGGGTGGGGGGAGGGGGGGGGGGGGTTGCCAGACAACAGCCCCGCCCCGTTTTTCCGGGTCCGAGGGACCAACAGCCGCGCGGGGGGGAGGAGGAGGAAATTGGGGGGTTTAAATGTGTTCGGGGGGGGGGGGGGGGGGGGGTTATTGCCCTTACTTTCTCCGTGGAGCCCGGGCTGAGCCGCTCCAGCAGCCTGCACAGCACCACCCCATCTCTCAGGGAGGTCTGCAGGAACGCTTCGGGATCCGAGATGGTCTTCTTTGGCGACTCCAGCACCCCGAGCGTAATCAACCACGTAACCGTCTGTTCCGCCGAATTCATGTCCAGTCCCCAACAGATCCCGTTCCAACAAAAGCGGCCGTGTGTGTTGGGGTGGGAGTGGGGGCCGGGGAGGAGAAGGAGGAGCAGGGGGAGTGGGGGGGTGGGGGGTTATCTGAACAGCCCCGGTTACGCTGTCATCTGTGTGTTACAAACGGAACATTATCAATCCCACAAAAAGAAAAAACACGAGACGTCGATGAGAGAGAGAGAGAGAGAGAGAGAGAGAGAGAGAGAGAGAGAGAGAGAGAGAGAGAGACTGCGGGAAACCCTCTACCTCTGGTGGATGCGGATGACGGCTGGCTGGTGGATATTCAGCAGGTCTGGTTTCTCCTTGGATGGCGTGTGTTTTCCCCCCCGTAACCTGGCAGGCTGTCAGGTGCGGTTGTCTGTGATGCGCTGAGGCGGCGGACTGCATACATGCGCATCGCAGCCGGCAGCACCCTCATCCATACGATGACATCACACGTAAGGGACAAGCCAGCCCGAGCAGTTGTTAGTGCACTTCAGCGTCACATGATTATGCTTCTTTTTCTTTTTTTTTCTCTCCCGCGCAGCTTTGCATACCCTGCTGTTTTGAATCCGTTTATTACAACCAGCATATCTGCTGCTATCAGCTGTAAACTGCGGTGCTTTGGACAGGCCTCGATGTAAATGCATCGAGCAAGGAGCTTAATGTTGACACGGTATTTACATTTGAGCACTAATGGTGTAGGTTTCTTTAATCTTTTGTTAAATTAAGTTTAACTAAAGGTAACATAAAATAGGAAGGGCGGATGCATTTGAACACTGGACATTGATGATACCTTTAAAGACGTGATGCTCTATAAACATCACTGTTATGCGTTATATTTTATAATATTTGTAGAGCTTTTACAACTCGATAACTCTTCAGATTCAGAAGATCATAAACCCCCAAAAATAACAGTGGAAAATCTACAGAATTATTTTCAAAGAGTATCTCATCGTATTCCCCTTTTTGTACATTTTTCATTTCAAGTATTAAATACTTTGTATAAAACTGGGTTTTGGACTCATGATTAGAAAACAACAAGCAATATGTATGTATCAGCTTGAACTGGCAGCATTATTTTATTCTAAATGAATGAAATGATAATTGCTATCTGTATCTTTACAAGATATATCATCCACACAGCCTACTCACCACTAAGTGCACGTTGAGGAGGTTCCATTAAACAAGAATACATAATCCAGACTTCTTATTGTATTTGTACTGAGGTCAGGAGAAACCTAACAAACGGTGATACGTTTCACAGCAATGCAGGAACTGGCAGAATGGAGAACCAACCCGTCCCTTCGCACTGTGACCACAAGATGGGCCTCTCTGCTCACCTCAAACCCTCCCAATATCTTCCAGGGTTGCATGAACGCTGCCGGGGTCACAGGGCACCATGTCGATTTAGTAGAGTTGAGTTATTAGGACTGCCTGATAATGATAAGGCAGATTTGCATTTGTAAACGCTGCCTGTTAATAAAAAATGTCTTGATAATGTGAAGGTGATAGAGCGCTGTTTACTAATGCTTTACAAATCAGGTTCAAGCCATTAACTAGAACACGTTCTGAGCTGTGTTGTGGTTATCTGTCTTCCTATCAAGCGTGAGTAAATGTTTTATTCATTAAAAAAGCCCAAAACAAGGGTTTATCCAAGGCCTGCTCAAAGGGGTGCCAAATTAGAAAGCGGTAGTCTGCCTTTCCCTCTTTACCTGCAGGAATCTGGAACGTAACCAAAGAATGCTTTGGGGAAAGAAAACGTAGCTCGAGCCCACTCGTTCTCTCCAGATGTCTGCTCATCTCCATCTTCCTCGTTTAGGCGGAGTGCACGTGTGAGAGAGAGAGAGAGGGGGAGACGGGGGGACGGGGGGGGGGGGGGGGGGACTGTTGTCAAGAAAGCTGACTCTCGAGGCCGCCTGTGATCTAAACAGCCGGCGCCAAGGGATGCCGCTGTGCCTTTGAGGTCCTGTCGCCATGGGTCTGTAACCAAGGGTGCTGGTTGCGGCTGTGGAGCCCCGGGCCTTTCTTACACCTCCATTCCCACAGCAAGCTGAAGAAAACCAAGATTCACAGACAGAATGACCGTTGCTGTAATATCAGGATGACATGCTGTGAGTCACTCCAGTTCAAGGGCGGCATTGAGTCACACAGCCACATCGGGCCTGCTTATGTCCCCCCCCCTCTCTTGGTGGTGTTGAACAGGACGGTATTATATTCAGAGGCGTTTCCAATATTCCGCTCCCCCCATAAGTAAAACAAACTTCTGTTACAATTGTGTCTAACAAAGAACATGGACATGGAACCATTACATTTGACATGGAACCAGCAAACATTTAGCATTTTTGCTTAAGCAGTGGGTGAATCAATGAATGAAGCAGTGCAGACACGAGCCTGCACGCCTCGCAGAGCATTGGAAAAAGGAAGGACTTCGTCAATGTGCGCAGGTGTTATAAAGTAAGTAAAGAAGTGTCTCACATCGCCATTGGTGCATGACGACGGAAACATTCAAATTGTACTGAAACATCGGCCTACAATGACTCAAGAGCAGGTTCCTAGAACAACCTGTACTGTTTTCTTTCATCACTATTGAATTAACTGCTAATGAGGATGTAATGCCACAACCGGTTGTTGATGCGGTGTTACATAATAATAAATTACATTTAAAGCCTTGTGTCATTTGATGTGGGCATGGATACCTAATTAACTAACAAACCATCTAAATCAACTAGAACAGTGGTTCTCAACTGGTCTGGCTCCGGGACCCACCATCACCCCTTACTGACAAGCCGCGACCCAAATCGAGGAACATTCTCAAATTGATTTAATAAAAATATGGTGCAGTTTGAACCCGAGATAGTATGGAGACAGAATACATATGCCAACACAAAAACAAGTTTAATGAAAAAACAAAACAGCCAGCTGTTAATTCTAATTCTTATTTATCTAGTGGGTCGCGACCCACCAGTTGAGAATCACTGAACTAGAAACATTATCCATCGATTATAACAATAGCACACAATATGTCGTATGAGTTTTAGCTGTTCTTGTGAGTGTTTAGCCGTAGCGGCTAAACACTTCCTTTGAGCTAACACAGACAGAAATGTGCACACAAACACTTGTTGATCGACTGAACTAAGAACACTGAGTTGATACAGGAAAGTCAGGTTAAATTAAGGAGAAACAAAAGATAATACGGTCACACACTCTCAGTTATGTATGTGAGTACAACACATTCCTCTTATGCCTTTTGAAGGACGGATCTCAAACCCATGAAAAAAGGGTCATAAACGCAAACACAGAGTCTTAATTCTGTCTCCTGGAGTAGTCTTTGTCTCTTCGGTGCTCTGCAGATTGAATATGTTTCAACATCCGGACTACCCGCTGTCCCTCGGGATGGCCCTTTGACAGGTGCCATGAACGAACGGGGGACACTGTGGTTTCACTGGTGCAAGGAACAAATTCCAGGTGTGATCAAACACTAAATACTCGTCCCTCCCCTCTGTTTCTCTAAATGATCCGTTTCTGTTTGAGAAAAACACAATGTCCCTTAGTCCCTCAAATCAATGCAGTCAGTGCTCTAATATATGATGCTCCTTTTATTCGTCTTCTCTCAGCCTCCTCTCTCCCCAGAGCCGTAGAGGCCAGACAGCTCATATTTTATCCTGGCAAGGCAAAATCCTTGCAAACCAAAACCACTTCACAGGTCAAAGCGTAATACGCAGAATAATGGATGGACTAGACAAGCGTACAAGGCCAAGAAGCAGAAAGGGGACGTGATAATATTTAGTCATCGGCCTGCGATACGGTTTTACAGTTTAAATTATCATAGTATTACAAGGAGAAAAACACACCGAATACTCTTTGAGAGGAGAGCGAAACGATACAAACAATGAACCCACAAACAAAACACTCACGCAAGAACATGCTTCCAGCATTGTATGAATTATTTTTTGGTAAACTTAACAAACTCAACTCAAGAGTCAACGACAACACATCCTGCAGTCAACAACAACAACAACAACACATCTTGCCGTCCTCCTTAGCAGGTTGAGCTGACTCAGTTATGTACTTTTTATGGATCTGCAGACGTGGAGACTTAATAATTCATTCATATTATGGAAAACAACAGTTGAATAAACAAAATCAACCCACGGTCCACTTACTCTACTGGTTCTAAACAAATCTAAATGAGCACTTTAAACTATTTACAGATCTGAACCACTGACCTGGATGACGAAACCCGTTCAATATGCACCATCCGGTTGGGTTAGTGCGATGTGACATCTAACTGAGATGGACTTCATCTAGTTGTTAACCTGCAAGATATTTGCTAACGAGGCACAAATACAAGGTGTTCAAACCTGTCGAAGGTGCAGGATTTTGATCATTTCGAACACGAATGGCTCTTAAAATGTTGACATTGTTCCAAACTGCTGATAAAATAAATAAAATAAAACAAAGCAGATATATGATGTGGTGTGATTAACGGTCCATTTTTATAGTTGCCCACTTTCTGTATCATGTCCATGTGGAAAAGGCCTCCCTTGTGTATGACCCAAAAATGAATTTGAAAACCTCGGTTCAACATTACATAAAAATAAATTGATTTCAATGGTCAATCTGACATTTCATTTCCTGACTTTCAGGCTAATTAATCACATGGGAAGTTAATGGCACCCCAAAAATGGTTAAAAATAGATGTAGCTTTCTCAATGACTCGCACCGTTCATCCGCCCTTTGAGTAAAACGTACGGACGTCACATCACATCAGCGACTCTGACGTCCTCGTCGGGCCCATGAAACGGTGCCGCTCCGTGTCCCGATGTCCCTTTTCGCGTGAGCCGCCCGTGTGTCATCCGTGACGTCACCGGACCGCCCACATCGCCCCCCCCGCCACCCTGGTGACACACACGGACTCTCTCCGGCAGTGTGCGAGCCGGTGTGCGAGCGTCACGCGCAGGGCACCGCATCCGCAGCAGCGAGTCGTCAGTGGCATGGACACCGGAGGACAGCGCTGAACCGACCGGAACCATGCCTACTGTGCTCGCGGGCAAAGGGAAACTTTCCATCGTGCGTTTTCTACTCAGATGCGCGCATTCTCAGGTGAGAGACATGCACGGATCGCACTTATCAAACTGCGCGAAGGGGGTCGTGGATAAACGGTCCTTGGTCAGGATGATCGCATATTTATGTATTTATAAGTCACAAAATTGTTGCGAATACCGACATGACATGAGAGGAGCGCTGCTTCAGAGTCGTGCATCTCACCCTCAACGACTGAGTTTACAGATTAAAACTATTTCCCATTTTACTTAAAGGCACAGATGGAAATAACTGGGAATAACTTCAGTAATTGCTGGTGTTTTCAGAATGTAACAGGTGGCGCAGGCTTCTCTAGCTGGCTCTCATTGATGCTTGTTATGATGGCTCGTGGTCTGTTTGGCCCTGGGGGAGTGAGCTCATCGGGGTATTGCACCAGAGCTGTAGCCCGGGGTGCTGGTGGGTACATGGAAATGGGAAACAGATTGCTCATGATCATATCTCCTCCAATGGACGCGTAAAGTTAACGTGAGGAAGCAGGCGCGGCTTTTGCTTGCGCAACGTGCCACCCGGGGGGGTGAAATACGGTCTGGCTGTGTTTAGGTTTTTCATTTAGTGGATGTAGAAATCAGACGGGTTTCGCACACACTGTTTTCCATGTGCAGGCGTAAGAGTCCAGCCACTGAGACATTGACCTTAGTGAGTCACGCATGCAAGAAGAGATGGCTCCCGCACACTCACACATGCATGCGCACACGTTTTTCTGCTGCGCATACTTATGCTGCACAGATGGCACAAAAGACAGAGTGAGGCGTGTGAGAAAGAAGCAAATAGGGTTTAACATGTTGACGGAATGTCAGAGGTTAATGAGTCTCCATAACCCTGAACACAGGCAGTGTAAGTGTTCAGCAGATGAGGTTTGTAGAGAAATTCAGAACCGTGGAAAAGTCAACCAGAAACCAAACACATGTAACGAGTGTGATTAGTATTTTGAATGAGTAACTCAAGGAAAAAATTGTTATTTGGTCCAAAATAAAAGATCTGTTTTCATGCAAAACTCCCAGTCAGAATGAAACACGCAAATAAAATGGAAAGCACCTACACAGTTCCATGAAGCAATGTAGAGGACCGGTGAGTTATCCTAAATGCTTCGCTGCCTTCGGGCCAGCGAGGTGAATCTGAATTCTGAGCTGAACTGTTCAAAGGGGAGAAACGTGGCGGAGGGGGAGCGGGATTGCCTAATGCGGATGGAAACAGAAACACAATCCGCATCCGTCTGATCATCTGCAGCTGTGATTTCTAAGATATGAGTCATCAACAAGCTCGTCTTAACTCTCACAATTACTGACTGCGTGTGTGTGTGTGTGTGTGTGTGTGGGGGCAGTTTGCAGTAAAGTTTGACACAGAGTTGTGAATCTTGCAGCAAAAAGGCGGGAAGCAGAGCGTGGAAAGTGTTTTTTTATGTGTATGTGTGTGTTTTTTGTGTGTGTTTGTGCGTGTCATCTTTGTGAGAGGGAAAAGTCTTGAGCAGCGACATGTGAAAGAAACAAATGAGTCTATGAGCCGTGTGTACATGCACATGTATGTGCACATGTGCACAGTATCTGCCGGTGGATTTGAGATGAGACACTTTGCACCGTGATGTAACGTAGATGTTACATATGGTTTCTATTCTTTCTCTAGTTGACACTGAACTTGTGCTGTTTTTCCTTAAGTGCAGCCTTAACGTCCTGTGACTTTGTCCTCGTTGACCATAACGTCTTTCTTCTGTCTACGCAGGTAACAAGAAGCCAACACAACAGCTGTGCCAAAGAAATCCTCGAGGTAAATACTTACTTTTTCTGTACCGATACTGTTGTAACAGTATCAGTAATCGACTGTGAACAACCATTCACATTTGTCTCACACTAAATGTTTTGAGTTGTATTCCGGGGGACAATTGATGGAATTTGCACATGATTGAATCTTAGGCGGAGTTTGATCCATTAAACTGGTAGTTGACAACATTTCGGAACACAGAGAATAATGCCTGGATCTTCTATTTAAAATGAAATGAAAACAGAATAGCTTGAAAGTTAGATGCTGGAATTATCAAGCAAGGCTACAAAGCAGAGAAATGCAGTCCAGCACAGCGGCTGAGAAATAATGACATAAACAAATGATCAATTAATCCATTAAACAAGGTTTGAGGTAACGAGGTTGCCTTGAGGTTTCTACCTGTTTCTCCTCTCATGTTGGTTGTTTTTTTTGCCAAAGCAGCGGATGTGTCACGTGCAATGTGTCTGTCACCAGTGTGGGGCACACAGGGGGGAGCGCAGGAGGAGATCAGAGATGCAGAACATGCGGTGCAAAAGGAAGATGGAAACCCATAATGCTCCACCTGGGAGACCTTGTTTGTTGTTGAAGGAGGAAGGGGGTGAGGGCTGGCGCTGTGTCCTTGGCGACTGCAGGAGGGATAAGCGAAGTGAAAGGATGAGCGGAGAGAGGAAACGCTTTCCCTCCAGGGCTTACTGCGTTTAGAGGATGACAGGAGTGAAGAGGAGGACGCTAAGCACATTCACCTGCCGGGTTCATAAAGGATGTGTCATCTAATCAGTACCTTTAGATCTGATAGAGTGGGAACATTCCCTTTAGTAGACTCGAGATGAAGAAATGATTTGCTATTTTGCGACGTGTGCTTATTTTCTTTCTTGCCGAGACTTAGATGAGCTAAACTTAGTATAACAACTTGAAACACGGCTAACAGCCAGCTGAGCTCCCTCGTCTGTCAATGAGGCAAAACTAAAAAATGCGCACGAACAATAAAGTGTAAAAATGGCAGTGGGGGCTCACAGACGTGAGTGGTGGTGTATTCTCCAAAATGTTTAATTATTTCATTCCACAGCCACACACACACACACACACACACACACACACATCCCATGACATCCCAGCCGATAAAACGTGACCTTTCTGCAGCCGTCGTCTCCCGCAGCCAGTGAGTGTCACACACATGTCCTTTGCACACTGAACCCCATTGATTCCACATCACGGCACAGCTGAAGACCAAGGTCACGCTAACATTTTACAAAATCAGGCCATTTCGTCGGGATCCCATGAGGTCTGGTTTGTCTGAGTGTGACTGCGGGCAATCTAATCAACAGAGATTATAATCAGAGCTGAAGCAGCGACAGGGCACGGAGGTTTCAGAGCTCTCTTCACGAGGCGGGCTTCCCTCTCGAGTAGCGTGCGGAGAGAACGACGAACAAGGGGATCAATTTTCATAATAGGCCAGGTGTACAATCATATGTAATCACTTAAGTCTTCCCTCAGGGGGGGCAGCGACGCATTCCTGTGGCTGAACTGTGAGGCTTCGCCACGCGCACTGTGGGTGTGACACCAAACACCTTGCAGGATGGGTAGTCACGCGTTCATATTTAACTAAATGTACCTGTAATTGTACAGTCTTCAAGAGTTGAATACGGTTACGGATAACAATCATTTTCATATGAAAAAAATGTTTTTTTTATCAATGAAGTGTCAAAACTACATATGTATACTACATATATGAATTACATATGTATATAGATATACAAATGTAACATACGCAACACATATCACAAGTTTAATCAGCATGAATTGATTGAATAAAATGTATATCCAATTAACTTTGATAATAATAGTGTAAGGAAGTTTGTAAGGGTGGAAAAACAAATAATCACCTACCTGAATAATCAACTCTAATCTAACTATAATCTACCACTGGCTATTTCAGCACTACATGAGTCTCCTTTCAGTTCAAACAATTATTTTGGCCTTTATAAAAGCTGACATGTTTGTCACGGCGGTGACCAACAGAGGAGCTGGAGGCTGGAAGGTGACGGTTCAGATACTGTATTGCTGTCACGCTTCACGCATCAAGGGTTTTGATGAACTAGCTTGTGTTCTGGCTCGCTGATTGTGCATTTTTGTTAGATTTCTGCATAAGAAACTCAACAGGCAAATGGTACTCAGGCCGGTTCTCTTGGGATGCTAAATTATGTCTTTTAAAAAAAGTTTGGATTACATTTTTAGCCTTTACCATTTAATTGGCTCACCAACAAATGGGGCAAGGAGGTTTTATTTGGTCACTTTAGCGAACACAGAAAAATTCAGAGAAAAGAGCTGTGAAATGTGAAATTAATATAACAATGTAAATATAGCAAATTCTTGAAATACCTGAAAATAGACACATCAGGGGATCAATAAAAAAATGAACTAAATGATTGCTCAGACATCTTGACACAGTGGCAAAGTGCACACTTACCAACATGCATCTCCTGGTCTACAAACAACATTACACACTGAGACTGACCCTTCCCACGACCCTCTATGATAGAGGGGGTATAGAAAATGGAATGGAACAAATGGACTAACGCTTATTTATATCTTGTCACACTCCCCCTGGTTGGGAGGGAACCCTGCTGATAACGAGTGTCAGCTGCAAAATTGGCTCATCTGAGCTGTATGTGTGTTAATCCAAATGGGAGAGATGAGTTGCTCCTAAATTAAAGAAAATAAAGAACGTGTGAATGACAGATTTAGGTTGTCTGAGTTTCCGCACGCAAAGAACAATACTCATAAATTCACCTTTCACACCGTCCCCCGCCCCCTCTGTGACTCAGGACATGACCCAGCGAGCCTCAGGGGGTGACCAGGCCCAGCGAAGCCTCTACATCTCTAAGGTATGTACGTGTATTGTATATCGGCCCCAGGATTGAGACGGTATCTCTGGTTTCTGCTTCTATCAATATATATTATTGGCCAATAATAATATGCTGTTGTAAATAGAGAATTTTCCATACCATCATCATAGCATTTTGTTTCTTTCTTTCCAAGGAAGCAAAACAACCGGCTGCACAACTAAGACAAAGTATGTGTTCACTCACTGTCCGCTTGTCTGGTGTTTGCGTTCCCTCTTACAATTGGTTGATTTATGGTTTGTTGCCTGGTTTCAAATATGTTTTCTGTCTCTCCCTCTTTCTAAGGTCGGGGGGATGTTCAGCTGCGAATGACCCGTCACCCTCGTGTGGCACCTCACAAATCGTAAGTGGCTAATGAGGAAACATGATCCACAGGTCATCAAACAACATAATTCATCACACACATGATTTATGTCTTCTTCTCAACAGCTGTTGAAAGGTAGAAATCATGAACATTATTGTCAGTGTGGCTACAGAGAAAAGCATAAACATGAGTGAAGGGAAATAGACGTACAAACTCAGTCAGCTCAGTGTTTCAGGCTACAACACAAAGGTCAGGTCAAAGGTCAGACAACATTCCTGAAAGCTCTCAGTTGAGACTGATGTGCTCCTGGTTGTTTTCTCTTTACATGCTCTCTGTTTTACTGTGAAACACATGTTCAGAGTTGTAAGCACAGTGAAAATGTTTCAGTGTGCCAAGCGTGTAGGAAATTGCGGTGGCTGACGTTAAAATGAAAACGTATTTGGCCTGTTTGGGGTCACAGCAGACACACGACGAGGACCCGGTGTGCAGGTTTAATGGCTCGATCCAAGCTCACAGCAATACAACAATTTATTTTTAGGCCAAATAGACTCGCAAAGAACACACACGTTTTTCTCACTTAAACTCACTTAAGCAAATAGTTTACTGAAACAAATGAGAGAAATAAAACCCGGCCATTTCTATGAAGCCAAGTTCAGCAGCAGAAGAAGAAGAAAACACAACAAAAGCTGCAGCAAGCTGCCAACTCCTCTCTCCCCCTGCTCCAAAGAATTCAACTCTCACTTCCTCAGCCTCACCGAACTAGAACCTTCCACCAGCCAGGGGAGCACAGGGTGAGCCAAACAGAGTAGGCATCCAGATCATGTACTAAAGAATGCCATTTAAACAAGGTCCCTATGTTGCTGATACCATTAAAACCAATGAGCAACCCAAATGTAGAAGAGCAAACACTCTCCTTCGCTGCATTGCAGAGCAGCTGATCCGCCACAGAGTGGACAACAAGCCCATGAATTAATCAAACGCAATTGATCAAATAAACTGAAACAGTGGTATTGTTAATGTTGAGTTAACAGAGCCTATAGTAAAATGGGAGACGGGCAACCTCCTGTGGTGTTTTCGGGAAGGTGTGTCATTAACAAGACTTTGAAATTGTTGAAAATTACATATGTTCCAATCTGACATGATAAAGTTGTATCAGTGCCAGAACTGTCCTTTAATTAATGATATATGGCACCAGGCCACAATGTCACTGATTACAGTCAAATCGTAAATATACTGCAACTATACGATATGCAACATTCCCAGGTAATGTGTTATTGTAGATATCAATGCTCTCAGAGTGACTCCCTCAGTGATTTATGTTGACTTTTAAATATCTGAAAAAGAGAGCGCGGGTAATATATCAATAATCGCTGTGGGCTGAGTTGAGGTAAGCTCAGAATTGGTTCTGGGGGAGAAAAGGTCAAATCAGTGAATCTCTGTTCAAAGTACTAGTGATTCAATGTACAATTATTGCATCTTTTGTGTGTCTTTCTTTGCTGACAGCATGCTCGCTGATGACCTGAAGCTGAGCAGTGATGATGACGACACTCAAAGGGTAAGTGACTCGCAAAGTGCTTTAAAGATAACACATCTATACTAACATTTCTTTGTTGTTAATATCCATGTGAATCATGCACCAAGACTGAATTCAGTCTCTCAGCCTGAGAGATACAGAGAGATACAGTTTAATAAATATATTTTTCAACACACCTAGAAGCACCTATTATGTGACTGAAAAATGCTAAAAGATAGCAGTGTATTTTAATCCCAAGTGGGGTGGGCCAAATGTTTGACATGACAGATATAATGACTATAACTTCAGTAACTATGTAGTTTGACCTACATTTTTTCAGGACATGTTTAATAGTATTCACACACGCCCACACGCAGTTTTGGTCAACTACCATTCACCTAAGAATAGCTTCACTACTCGCTACTAAGGGTGATGAGACTTGAAGAGGAGAAAGAGCAACAGTGCAGAGTGTAGATGTCGATATTTCTGTGATAAGTTCCTTTTCTTTGTTTTTTGAAGGCAACTCGTGAGTCGGCTTCCTTGGAGGGACACAGGTACTTGATTACAAATATCATGTGCATATTGTTGATATGAGCTTTGTGTGTAAACTTAAGTCGAATTGCATGATTAACAGCCGTATCTGTCAGACCCTGTGTGTGTGTGTGTGCGGTTCACTGTGTGCATACGCTGACCCCTCTGATGTGTGTGTGTGTGTGTTGACTGACAGCCTGTCAGCACAGCGAGCGCACACACATGGCAGGCGAGTGAGACATTCCAGCTCCGACTCTTCGTGCTCGAGCTCCAGCGTTGAGTCGTGCAGCAGCAGCAGCAGCAGCAGCAGCAGCAGCAGCAGTCTTTGCTCCCGGAGCCCCGGCCACAGCCCAGACGTCCACCCGGATCCCGCGTCGCCCGCCAACGCGCAGCCACCGGGCAACAGCAAGGAGGTACCAGTGCTGAGCTACGGCCTCCTCTTCTTCTGCTCTCAATCTTCTCTGACCATGCCTCGCCTGTGTGTCTCCTCCTCTGGTGTTGCGCCCTCGGGTGAATTCTCTACAGGGAGTGGTGGCCTCGAGGCATTTCACGGCAGGTACGGAGAGGGACAGAGGAATGAGGAATGACTGTGGAGTAGGAGAGGAGGAAGAGGAGGAGGAGGGTGTTGAGAGGCCGAGCTAGCTTTGGGAATTAGTGCCTGGGTGTCATGTCAACAAGCCCGGTCTTAAAGAGGAAAACCCTCAGGAGGTGGAAGTCATCAAGGCTTGATATCACATTGACGTCTACAACCAGAGTTACCTTTGCTTTCAAAAAAACGCAGAGGATGTGAACTACTTGCAGGTCATTTTCTTAGATAAGAATTGAATCGGTGACTCGTCACTGATAGCTAGGATGGAGTTTTGGAGGTGTGATGCATTATGGGGGTTGAGACGTGGGTCATGAAGTGTAAACCTGCAGGTCTTTTATGAATGGAAAGCCCTGTACAACACAGTCTGTATTATCAGACATGCACTACATTGGGCCCCTATAGAAAGGGAGGGAGTGGAGTGTTTGGGGTGGGGGATGGGGGAGCGGGAGGAGGGTAAGGGGGGGGCGGCACACCATGTGTTTTTCATTTACGTGGACTGTTCAAATGTCTCCCGAGGAAGAGATGGGGGTTGGAGTTATGGAAGCAGCGAATCCAGAGTTCCAGGTAGTGAGAGAAAGAGGGAGGGCTAGAAAGGAAGGAGGGAGAGCAGTCGAGACGGTACAAGAGATGCAGTGTCTTCTCTGGAAAGAGGGCGAGGGACGTGAGGAGGAGGAGGGGGGTCACTGTTTGACTTGAGGAGTAGAGGTTGAATTTAGTTCCTGGTCAGCGGCGAGAGAGAAACGGGAACGCGAGAGAGAGTGAAAGAACTTTGCTCTCCAGCTGTGAGTATCCTCTTTGTATTTGTTGTTTTTGGTGTGTTTTTTACGTAGAAAAACTATTTTTGGTTGCCAAGCCAGTTGTTAAGCAAACATTAGGTGACTCATTTGGCATGATTGGATGTGGGTTGACTACTGTAAGCACATATGTGGACCGTGAGACCATGTAGAAAGTCGGCTATTGTAAGAAGTGTAAAATGTCAGTTGGAATTTTTAGTGAACCCACACTTTTTAGACGTGAGTCATCATCTAGAGCTGCACTTTTTGGAGTTTGGATTGTTTTAACAGCAGCTGGGTCAGAGATTTGTTACGAGCACTTTAAACGGCTCCTTGTAAAGGAAGAATATCTTGGTATATTTTTGTTATGCCTAACCATGTTACCTATGAACTGGTTTATCTAAAGACAGTACAGGAAGGTACCAAAGTTCATACACTTATGTCCTGTACGTAAGTACAATTTTGACATACTTGTACCATAGTTGGAGTATTTCATTTTTCTGCTACTTTACTATGTTTGTATTCATATTTAAGTGCTTACGTTACTCTTCTTATTGAGATGTTTCAACTTTGAAATGATCTTTTGAATCATGAAACATACTGTATGTTTCCTGCATACATGAAATGTCTTTCTTATCACTAGTCACTTCAAATATATTTTACTTTGAAATATGAAAATAGACTCACACTTATACAATAGGAACCACATGTAGTCAGAATTGTAGTTTTATAAACTCCAGGCTTTGAAATTGAAGGTGTGCATTAAGCTTCACTATAAGCAAAGATTACTTTGAGGTCCATTCCTTTGATTAATATTTGTTTCTCTATTCTTCTTTGATTTCTTAAGACTGATCACCCCCAGTGGCAGTTGGACGAATGGCTGAAGAAATCCCGGAGAAAATCTTCCAGCGGTGACCAAGTGCACAGCGTTTCGGGACGTCCTCCCTCTCCCCACACCCAAAGAGCGCCGTCTCCAGCCAGGTTCTGGGACAGCAATCAGGAATACAGCCCCAGCCAAAGCCCTATCCCCAGCCCACAGTTCAATTTCAGCCACAACACCAGCCACCTACCTAGCCCTGGTTATAGCTACTGCCCTAGCCCCAGCCCGTTCCCCAGCACATGCCCAAGTCCCGGCCCAAGCCCCGGACCCAGCCCGATACCCAGTCCAGTTCCAAGTGTTTGCCCCAGTCCGTGTGGGAGCCTGAGAGCCAGCCGTAGCCCTAGTCCTATCCATAGAGACCCTCCAAGAAGCCCCAGTCCCGGCCTACCAACTCCTTCCGGGGTTCGGCACTTCCCAGTTGTTCAGAGAACACAACCTAACCTGACAGCCAATCCCCACAGGACGAAAAACAGGTCATGGATTACCCCATTGCCTGATACTGATGCAAAGAGCAAAGCCACAAGCAGCATTCCTCTTCAACCAACTCACCAACACCGGCCCAAGACTCGACCCACACAGAACCAAGACCAAACCAAACCGAAGACGTCTGCTGTTTTAAACTCTAACCAGAGTCACGGACATAAATCTAGACCCAAGTTGAACTTTCATCCTAGTTCTAAACAGCTCTCTGAGGCTCCCAAACACACATCACATCTTGAGCAAATCCAGAACAGCAGATCGAACCACAGCTCTAACCACAAGCCCAGGCCTTCGTTTCAATCAAGCTCACATCGTAGCTCCAAAACATCAAGACACTTAATTCCCACTAGTTGTGAAACCAAATCTGATCATATTTCTCAATCAAAATCTGCAGCTAATCATAACACTGGGTTGAGCTGTAGATCTAACCCCAGCCTTAAACCTAGGGCCAAGTCTTCGGAGGGTACAGCCCCAACTGCTGTGCGTGTTAATCATACTGTAACAACACGGAAGAAACCTCAGTCCAAGGAGCAGGAGGTAGACCTCAGAGGAGATCATCTTTCCCAAAGGGGGAGAGAAAACCAGAGAAAAGAGGACAGACAACATAAAAAACAACAAGGGAAACCGGAGAGAAAGGAAGACAGGAGGCTGGCGGAGGAGCAGCTACTGAGACGTCCCTGGATCCACAGTTCGGCAGAAGAAGAGGAGGAGGAGGAGGGATTGATAGAGAGGCAGAGGAGGAGAGAGGAGGCAGCAAGAGGGGAAAACCGTCGAGGAAGGGGACAGCAACTTCAGTGTGAATGGCAGACAGTCCTGGCCAAAGAGAGACTGCTGACCAACACTGATCAGGGCAGGGCAAAAAGAGCAGGGAGAAGTGAGGAAGAGAGAGAGTTACAGCAAGACCCGTCACCGCCTCCGTCACGTTCGCCAACTCCTCACAGACCACCTACCTCGCCCTCCGTCTCCTCCGCTCCAAACTCTGATTCGGAATCTGAATATCAGGCTCCGATCACCAAAGTTCCAGCAGACTCCACCTCTTACAAGGCACTCCCCAAGAGGGGGCGGCAAAGCCTCGGCAGGTCCGGTGCCGACAGGCCAAAAGTCGTGCTCCCCAGAGGACCCACCTCGGCTCATCCAAGTGAGGGGCAGCAAAAACTCTACACCCTGGTCCCATTCGGGCGAGGTGAACAAACTACAGCACCTTCCCAGCGAGGGCTTCGAAATCTCGTGGTGCAGATAGACCTCTGTCTTCTCAAAAGGGTCCCGGACAGCACTACCAGTTCCACCCTTGAAAAGCCCTCCTCCTCTTCCTCCCTGTCATCCACGAAGGACAAGCAAAGAGAGGCCATGAAACACCTGTACGTCCCTGAGACCGTGTCGAAGGACAGCAAAAGGAAACGCAAGGTAAAGGACGCGTACATTTGCCTTGACGTGTTGCGGCGCACGCTTTCATTCATATTCATATCTGAGCGTTGATACAGGCCTGTTCTTCAAAGCGCGTGTGTTTGTGTGTGACCAGTCGGAGAACGGCGTGTCACACAGAGAAAGCAAGAGGAGCATTCCCCCTGCGAAGGACCTCTCGAGCCAGAAGGAGCCCGCACCTCACGCAGTGGAGCGCAATTTTGTGACAGAAACCGTTCACAACGGGTAAAATAACAGCCACTGCGTTTCACAGACGAATGTGTAACGATGCCGTTCTAATACATACAAGAAGTGCATTGTACATGTGTGTGTGTGTGTGTGTACTTGCAGGTACTTGGAGGAGTACTTGGACAACAAGAGGCCGTTGTCTCCTCTGTCTCCACTGTCCGACAGCCCTCAGTCCACCAAGCCCCCCCTAAAAACAAAGACCTCAGAGCAGCTTCACGCCCATGTCCACAAAAACAGAGACAGGAATAGAGATTCTGCTATAAAGGTGAAACAGAGAAGTACTTGTTTTGATCGCCCCGACTCCGTTCCTCGCAGCCTTTTGGTTCATCTCATCTATTTTTTTTATGTGCCTGTTCACAGCCCAAGATGGAGGGGGAATGTGTGAAAGTGTCAAGACAGCCCCAACCACCATCTGAGTCCTGGGGCGCTGCAGGACACAGGGGGGCCGTGCCAAACAGCGAAACGTGAGCCCCAATTCACGTAATGTTTGTCTGATAGAGACTATCTAGACTTCTAGCATGGGCTTTATGATGTACTTGTGATAAACACACTACAAATGCACTGCAGTTATCTTTCTGTATTTCTGTGCATCTTAGTGCGCACCATGCGGAGTACTACTTACATGAAGCTAAAAGGATGAAGCACCGGGCAGACGCGATGGTGAGTCTGAATAAAAATCGCCACGGACAGTGAGAGGAAGTGCAATGATTGTTAACAACCTGGTAGCTCTGGCTTCACCTATTAGTGATCAAATGAAGTGAAGCGAACATATTTGGAAATACTGCGACATTGAGGGAAATATAAGCATTTGCTCTGTGACTTAACTCAAGTTACTTGTTCATTAAGTACACAAAGCACTTGGTGTACACGGCACATTTCTTTTCAGGGAATATACAATGTGCCTCACAGAGACACAAGAAGGTACTGTTTGAATAACTATGTACGGAGTATGCTTCGTCAAACAACTTTTAAATACGTTTCATACATTTGATAAGCCCTTCAACACGGCCAATTGTGGTTTTAAAATGGAAACGTAAAAAAAAGTTGCGCTTTGGCCTACTGTCTTTTTAGGTAAACCAGCAGGACCATCAGGATGCTGCATTAGTCTAAGATACATTCACTTATAGAATTAGTTTGCTCTTCTTCAGAAAACAATGGAAATTGTACATTTATTTCTGAAGGGAGAATGACGCAAGCTGGTGGTGAAGAGCGGAGCCTCACAGTTGTTTTAGTAGCCTTCGATAGAGCTAGGTTAGAGTTTCTGTGCTAAACACCTCCTGAACCAATGTTTCTCCTACAAAGATCCAAAGACATTCTCAGCTAATGCCGGCTCTTTCTAGGCACCGACAATGACAACCTTCCTTTTAATACTTTCTCCTTACCGGTTGTGTTGGATTTCTTATATCCAGGTGGATAAGCTGGGGAAGGCTGTGAATTACGTGGACGCTGCCCTCTCCTTCATGGAATGTGGGAAAGCAATGGAGGAAGGGCCACTGGAGGCCAAGTCTCCTTATACTATGTACTCCGAGACGGTGGAGCTAATCAGGTGAGCTGCTCATTCATGCACAAACGGAGAACAAACATTGAGGTACACACTGTCAGACATGTGCACACTTATATCAGCCACAGCGCCATTGGTAACAGTCTTGTGTCTTAAGGTACGCAATGAGGCTGAAGAGCCACTCTGGCCCCGGGGCGAGACAGGAAGACAAACAGCTGGCCGTTCTGTGGTGCGCATGTCATTTGCTCTGTTTACGCCACATCCATCATCATATTGAAAGGACCCGCATTTCCACGGTGATCTGTGGCTCCGTCTGAGTCTCTGCGGCTTGTGTTGTCCACAGCTTCCGATGCCTTGCCCTCCTTTACTGGCAAATGTTTCGTTTAAAGAAGGACCATGCGTTTAAGTATTCCAAAGTTCTGCTGGACTACTTTAAGGTACATCCAAAAACAGGCTTGACGTTCCAGGTACATAAAGGCATTCATACATAGACATTTCTCTTTGGTACAATTTAAACATCTGGGTTTGGATGACTGGTTCATGGTGTCATTACAGACTTCTCCTAAAGTGCCTTCTACACCACCCTGTTGGAGTGACTCTGGGAAGTAGGTGGATAATAACTATATTACATGATGTCCATTGGTTTGATTTGCTTTCGTTCCACTAACCAGCTGCTCATCGGTCACTAACACACTGCACATGCATTTTCTCCACCAGGGGCACAGGAGCACCCCCTTCCTCACTCTCCCCCACTGCCAAACACCTCGGACGGGGGTCGCACGGGGGCAGCGCCTTCTCCTCCCTTATAAGCATTCCCCAACGTATCCACCAGATGGCAGCAAACCATCTGAACATTACCAACAGTGTCCTGTACAGCTACGAGTACTGGGAGGTGGCTGACAACCTCACAATGGAGAATAAAGGTATAGAAGTTGCCCCGAGCGACACAGATTCAGATGGAAATAAGCCACACACGTAAAAATGGATGTTTCTGAACACTGCTGATAGCGCGAGGTTTTGAGAGCACTGTCTTTGTTTGTTTTTTCATTGCAGAGTTCTTCAACTACTTGAATACTTTGTCTGGGCCTTTGACTCTTCACAGTAGCATCGCTCACGCCGTCCAATACACCAGACAGGCTCTTCAGTGGATACGCATCAGTGCCAAGCTTAACTAACAAGGAGAGGATTTACAATTATCTGTCTCACTTGGAAGAGACACAACTCTGGATCTCTATGCAGCTGATAGGACAGCACCAATATTTTCTGAGCTTGTTGGTTGGTTGGAATCCCCAAAATGGAGTCTGACGATCCTCGTGGGAGTTTGGGGAGTTTACCGAGTGCAAAGTCTTCTGAGGGAGCCGTCTTTCAACTTGTCACTGGCAGCTTTTCATTGGATTAAATTGAAGAGTTGTGTGCGCTATGGATTTGAAATTTCTAATTGTTTGCCAAACAGAAACGGGGGTCTCGTACAATTGCAGCAGTATGTGCATACGTGAAGCCTTTTTTATACTGGAATAAATCATTATCCAGCAGCCTGTTGATCTCGGGCCAAAGCAGGAGAAGATGCAAAGAAAAAGAGCAGTCAATCATATCCCACTTTCTACAAAGAAAAGTGTCTGCATTTTTCTAATGAAGCTTTTAATTAATTATTTTACAAGAAATATCTTTGTTTTCACGTTTACATGTTTTTACTGTGCAATATTTGTTGGGTTTTCTGTTTATAGAAAAAGAGTCTGCTGACATTCAAGGTTCCTATTTTGAAAAAATATATTTTTGTGCCTGTTCTGAATGTGGGAATATGTCATTTTGTAATTAATGAAGTTGGAGATATCATTAACTTATTGGTAAATGTCTTGGTTTGGGTTTGGTTACGGAGTTTGCATTTAAAATGTCCAGCTTCTTACAGCATTCTAATGCCACTAATCCATCTTCTACACTCATCCTAATTGTCGCATATTTGAATGAGTTTTGCATTCTGTAAATATGTCTGGAATTATTGTTAAGGAGAATTGTTATTTTTTGTGCCTTTTAGGCCACACAGGATGTAAACAGCGGTTAATCGTTTTGGGTGGCATCTTTCTTCTCCCTTCTCTTTTCTTCTGATATATTCCATAAATACTCTCGTCACATCGCTGGTCTCACAGCTCTGAACCGGAGCCAACCTCAGTGAAACGAGATAACGACAGCAAGCAGAGCTTAACCCTGATGGTTCAGGGCGCCAACACATCAACAAAAAATATACATAAAGACAGGCTGAGTATTATTTTTAATCAGTTGGAAAAATCAAGACATTGAGTTGTTTTCCAAGCATATGAGGAATGTTCATAGGTTTTGCTTTCTTAACGTCCTCCCAACGCTCTCACAATGTTTTACTCCAAACCGTCATCAGAAAGTTATATTTCTAATGTTTTCATAATGTTATATTCATAACATTGTGCGAACATGTATCCCTAAAGTTCCAGATGTTTAGACATATTCCTGATTATCATAATTCAGTCTGATACCCAGTAAGTGAGGTTTTGGGTAACTTCATTTGGGATAAATTAAGTAACAGCTCAGTCTGCGTATTTGTTTGATGCGTTCCAAATCGTATTCGTTTAAGAGTTTAAGTTGCTCTTAATTTGATGGTTCGCGTTCATATCCCCGACACGCGCACACACCACAGGCATAGTGTGTGAGTCCGACTTGTTGGGTCGATCTCCCACGCCTCGCACTCACACAACCATCAATCATTCTCTGACTCTCCATCACCGCAACCACTTCCTGCTGCACCGTCGCGCATGTAATTTCAGCATCCGATGTCTGGTGCCATAGCAACAGAGAACAACCAATAAGGCAGCTCAGCGGGACACAGCGAGCCTTGAGTCAGAGCATCCTGCCGTTTCTCGATTCTGTGAAATGGGATTTATTGTAAGCCATAGCCCGCTCCTCTTTCCCCTATAGATTATGATCGTATTCCACCACTTGAATGGGACTGTGATGCACATCTACGTGTGTCGGTTATACATTTTTTTAAAACCTGCCATGGTTGCTTTACATGAATAAAAGCCGATAGATCACGTGTCTCATCATCTAAATCAAATCAGGCACTGATTTAAAATAAAAATGACGGAGACAAAAGACCACTTTGCTCAATGCGTTAGCCCTTTCTGCTCCGTCCGAGTGTCTTTCTGCGCTTACTTGCCTCCACCCACGGAGCTGTGGACTAACGGATCAATGCGAGCTGGTCGGAGGGGGCCACCGTGTCCACCGTGTCCACCGCCCGCCGTGTCCACCGTGTCCACCGCCCGCCGTGACGCCACTCCACTCGCTCAGTCTGCACGTGCCTCTGCGTCACGGGCCGGTTGTGCACGAATGCCCGGGCCGTCTGAGGACAACCTCAGAGCCAGACAGTACCAACGCCGGGGCGAATAAAGGAATAAAACCCAGACTGTCTGCCGCAGTGGAAGCAGGCGGCGTGGACACTTAGTGAACACAAACCCTCCTAAATGTGATCCATAGACACCTTTAAAAAAAAAAGTTGAACTTATGCGTCATCAATATTCAACTACCAGCGGCTCTTGGGATCATGTCGAGCGCGGAGGAGGGTTAATCTGTGTGCGATATATCAGATATGCAGGTTTAAAGACTGTACAAAGCTATTTCACAGTCAATTGAGGCGACATGCACTCGGGTACCCGCAGAGAGGCAGCATTGCAATGCAACTGAGAAAGGTTACAAGAACACCGGAACTTGAGCGTATTTAGATTTTGAAAGTAAAATTCAGTTTTACATTTTTGACCTAATTTGCCAAAGAACATTTAAATGACTACAACGAATGAAAGTTGAGTAACTATTTTTATTGTTGGTTATCTGTATGCGAGCTGTGTGCCAGTTTGACGAGTGCAGTCCTTGTTGACTGACTAGATAGATGAGAAGCTAATAGCACATGTGTGCATACATGTATATACGTGTACTTTGGCCTATCACCCACCGGGAAAAAGCCAGTTAGCTATTCATGTTCGGGGTGGCAAAATAACACATTAAAGGGTTCAGTTTGTTCCACGCCCAAACGCCGACTCGCCGTCGAACGTTTTATTTTGAAAATACTCTCCGGAACTACTTTACCTCCCTTTCCTCCATTGACTCCCAGTGAGGAAACTGTAAAGCGAAGACTACCAGGCGGCAGAAATGGAGAGCAAACGGACCGGGAGGAAGAACAAACATGTTGTGGAGACATGGCGTGGCACCGAGACCAAATAGGGGGATCTCAGCCCACCAACCGGAGCCCTCTGAGGAACAAAGTCCCGGTCGAGGCGTCGAGCCATCGGTGACCGTCCGGAGGATCCTCGTTTCGCGTTGCTTTGGTCTCACCTCGTAACCAGGAACGCGCTCAACGCTCGCGGTTGGTCACTATCTGCGGGAGAGAAGTCAGCGGCGAGCCGCCCGGTGTCCTGACGGCAGAAGAAAAAATAAAATAAAAAGGTAAGTCATTAAAAAATAAAAACGACAGACGTCTATTAACAGAACTATCGCTCCGTGCGGCTGTTTGTTTACACCCCGCGTTTAACGCACGAAGTTACGCAGCCATTCCCATTGTTCGGTTCTCACACACACACACACGCGCGCGCACACACTTCTACTCGCGTCTTTTAGCGCCGCTCGGGATCGACGCGATGTTCCGGGTCGTGGCGCAGCGGCGGCGCGTGCAAACGTGGCTAAGCTAACCGCCTGTTAGCCGCTCGCGTGAGGAGTGTGACCGGGGTGCACGTGGGGCTCTGCAGCAACACAACGTTACCTGTCAACGCCAGAAAAGACGTGCGCGCGCGCCCCCCCCTGCTCCCTCGCGGCCGTGCCCTTGGACGCAAAGCTCAGCAGCAGCAACAACAACAACAACAACAACAACATTTGTGCCGAATCGACGTTCCACCACGGCGGTGAATTGGCAGCAGCATAAACGTCACTTGTCGCCGCTTTGTTCTTTTATTTGCACGCTTTTGTAAACTAGTAACACAACAGGACGCGCTCACTTCTCAAACACGCGTCCGCTGTGTCCAATAAGTTGGTGTTTTCAGAAATGACTGACTCGCCTTTTTCTGATCGGCGTGGACACCCAGCTGTGTGCAATGTGTGTCCATGTCTCCTCTAAATCAGGCTGCCTTTTTTTTATTTTTTTTTATAAATAGCTCGATCAATTGTACCAACGCTAACCTGATTAATGTCTGAACACAGTGTGACGCGGTCGCATTGATGAATAACTCCTCTTGTTGCTGCTTCCAGGGAGCTCAGTATGAGTCGACATGGGTGGGAAAAGAAGAGAGCCAATGCCAGCAGTGACAATGGTTGGGCTGAAAAGGTGAGTGCTTTGCCCCCCCCAGCCACGTCCTCGTGATCCCACTTGAGGCAGGAATAACATCCGTAGAGGACGCAGCCTTGAGGTGGGTAAATAGGCACCCGAATGTGGATTCCTGAGGGCTGCCTAAAAATAAAAATGATATGCAGTGGGATAAAAGGCGCCGTGGTTCGTGCACACGAGGCGTCACGATATTACTGTGGAACTAATATTGAACAGCCGTGTTCTTTTTCACACCCTGCAGTTTCATTATAACAGCTCAGAGCCTGAAGCAGATCACAAGTCGGTGTCTAATTAGGTCGAAGCCATACTGCCGGGCAGAGATTTAACAAGACTGGGAGAGCTGCATAGAGCCAGATACGTATATATGTACCTGCATAAAACATACTAAATCTGCAGTAGTATTGCCATACAGGTAAGGCAGTAAGTACTCACTACAATCATTTAATATCCGCAGACAAACATTAGCTTCTAAAATAAGTATTAATTCCTTTGCACAAAGCAACTTGGAAGTGCCACATATAATGTTTATAAAATGATCACAGTACTCATCTGTTAAAATACAGCTTGCTTGGTGACGGGGTGCATTGTATGGAAACAGTACCTGTACACTAATACAGAAGAAGGCCTATTCTCTCCAGCATATGAAGACATTATATATATCTATGGTTTTTACTGGCGTTCTGTGACCATGCATACATTTGTAGTGGGGGTGTAAACCAAAAAAACCTCCCCCTTCAACATGCCGTTGCAGGTTTTCTGTGAGTCTGCATGGCCAGCTGCTCTGAACGATCTTGTGAGTCGTGTCCCTGCTCCTCTCGTTTCTAGGGAGGCTACATGGCTGCCAAAGTGTCTAAGCTGGAGGAGCAGTTTAAACGTGATGCCCCCAGAGAGAAACAGAAGGACGGGTCCTACTCTGACATTTTTAGTGGCGTGTCCATCTATGTCAATGGATACACAGGTAACGTTATGCAACGGTGCCTCTACATTTCAACTCTCCCAGGCAATTTCATCGTCCTTACCAGTTGCAAGAGCAGAGGTGTCATGCAGATGTTCCTGCAGAGGAATAACTTTGTGATTTGACCTTTGTTTCTTTCCCCTCACTTAAAAGTATGATTGCTTTGGTGCTTTTAGGCATATGTTAATGTGTAATAATGTTCATTGTTAGGTAAGAAAGACCACTTCATAATTATAGTATTTCCATAAATTAAAAAATCAGAATTGTATAAAGAGCATAAACCCAATGTTGATGTCTTTCTTTCCCTTCCTGTTAAGTCATGGTGCTGACTGGCACTATTTTTTTACTGATGTGTATGTTTCCTGTGCTCGTGATGTTTTGTGCAGATGCAGAAGCAGGACCTTTGTGTTGTGTAGATTCCCAGGTCACTGACATTACAATTTATTTGAGTCATTTCGGGTCACTGCTCAATTGTTTATCTCTTGGTATTTAGAGCCGAGTGCAGATGAGCTGCGCAGATTGATGATGCTGCATGGTGGCCACTTCCATGTGTACTACTCTCGCTCCAAGACCACCCACATCATCGCCAATAACTTGCCCAATTGCAAAATTCAGGAGCTCAAAGGGGAGAAGATCATCAGGCCACAGTGGATCACTGACAGGTGTGTTCAGATGGAGTTAAGTAGGCTTTGCACATCTGACTATACATCGTAAAATATTAGTGGAAAAATGTCTTGTTTGCTTTGTAATTTGTTGAAAACAGCGTCAAGGCTGGACATCTCCTGCCTCACCTGCAGTACCAGCTCTACACTAAACATAAAGGCCCAATCTTCCCTGGCGCGAGTCTGCGCCAGACGTCCGACACTGCCGGACCGAGCCACGGGCCGCTTCAGCCCAGCGTCCATCAAAGGCTTAATCTGCCCCAGCACAGCGCTCAGCACTCGCCGCTCAACCGCAAGGAGTCCACGTCCAGCTGCCAGAATAACTCCATCCCGAACTCCAACCACAGTCCCCTTCACCAAGGCAACGACCAACCTCAGTCCGTCCAGCAAAGTTCTGCTGTTGGCTTCATTAACCCCCGGCCAAGTCCCACATGGTCAGCTCTCCTCAATGCAGATCCCAGACACAGGAGCCTGCACTCTGACCCAAGCCCCACAAAGCCCCACCAGCCGGCTCTTCAAACACCTCCCGCTGATCTCCAGCACCAGAGAGCCAGCCAACCACAACCTCAGAGCAACTCTTTCTGCAACGCGGCCCGCAGTGGCCCCAAGGAAGTTGATTTCAAAATGTGAGGATGAAAACTTTTTTTTTTCTAGAGTGAGGGTTGGATCTTGTTGCTTAAATTCTTGCTGAATAACTTTTCATCTCTTAATCTCACAGAAACGGATCACTTCAGACCTCATTGGAATTGATCAGCCATTCAGAAGTGAATGGAATGCAAAAGTGTGGCAGAGGAGATCCCTTCCCGCCGGTGGTGAAGGAAGCCCATCTGACAAATGGACACACTCACCTTGTTAATGGTGCCTTAAAGCCAGAGGTCTGGCCCCCTGTAACTGACGGACCTTCTGTCGAGAAGGAACGGAGTCCCGACGATAAACCTCAGAGTCCCCCGGTACAGTTTCAGACCAAACCGGACCCGTACGAGTTTCCCCACAGTCCCCCGAAGCAATCAGACCCGTCCTCCGTCTTTCCGAAGCCGCCCAACGCACATGTAGCCAGCGAGCAGAGACCCAAACCTTCCCCGCCCACCTACCACGAGGCCGCTGGTACAGAAAGCCAGCACCTCCCAACGCCGCCCCGTCAACCCCGTCCAGCCGGTTCGGATCCCGACCAGACTCCCCTTTCACCCGCACCCCGCGCCCTTTCACACAGTCCCATCCGACTGAACGGAAGTCACCGCAATGCCTTTTCCCCCGAACCCGCTTCCTTTGATGCGACCGACGAGACAGCCGAACCCGACGCCCCCGCAGAAACGGTGCCGTCAGCATCGAAGTCATCGAAGTCATCGGCACATCTGCTGGCTCAGACCGGCAGTCTGATCTCCGAGTACTACTCTCACTCGCGCTTGCATCAGATCTCCACGTGGAGGTCCTGCTTCTCGGAGTACGTCAATGAGCTGCACGGCAAGCGCAAAGCGGTGGGGGTGGGCTCCTTTCCTGGGAAAGACAGGCTGAGGAAATCTGTGGCCCCCCATTCCGCAGACAGTCGAGGTAAGGAAGGGTCACTGTTGTCTAAACCATAATTATTATTAAAGGAGGTTGTAATTGGTTATCGCGGCGGCCCAGTGGTCCGATAAGCAAACCACACAACTACTCTTCTACCAGTTTGAATTCAGACACCAACTGCGTCACTTATTCCACTTATTTTCATCATTGTGTCTCCACTGTCAACAGTCAGTCATTGCTAAATGCTTAAAACTCTTTTGAAATAGCGGGTACCATTAGCGTGTACCGGAGTCAATGTCATGGTGTTTTCCCAATAGATCCAGCAAACCAACATAAATCAAAGGGTTGCTGTGTGTTTGGGGATTATAGAGGCAAAAACCTCCTTTTGCTGCCTAGCCAACGGTGTATTCTGGTCCTGTACCTTCTCACTACTATAAAGAAGGAGTATTTGACCACAGTGTTAACTAATAAGCAAACAAACCCAAACTATGTCTTAAATAAGAACACAAATTAACTAAACTGGCCAGAAAGTCGTAATATGTCATACAAACTAACCTAAATAGTTAAACGATACTACTTCAAATGATAAAATGTTATTATAAAGGTTGGACATCTGTGATATTACAATGTTTGTACCCCTGCTTATTAAGAGATACCCACAGTACCTGTGTTGCTTTCTGGGGATGCAGGTGGCATCGTCTGAGGTTGTGTTCACGTCTTTTTGTGATATGGAAAACTTTTCCCCTTACCATGAAGTGCTCATTTGTGTGGTCAGGCACGTCGGCGCCTGTCAGTGTCAAATCGTGTGTTCTCCACGTGGACATGGACTGTTTCTTTGTGTCCGTTGGGATCCGATACAGACCCGAGCTCAAAGGTGAGCTGCTTTTTTTTTTTTCCTCTTTGAAACATTGTGCCGCCTGTGACCTTTTAACACGGGGACCTGCTACACAGAACAGCCCCTCACATCTAGTTCACGGTCGTCTTGCAGGGAAGCCTGTGGCTGTGACCAGTAACCGTGGACACGAGCGAGTGCCGCTGAGGCCCGGCGCCCGACCTCAGCTGGAGCTGCAGTACTACCAGAGGAAACGCACTCACCCTGGTGAGCTCTTCCTGCCTCACCTCTCTGCCATGGAGCAGCAGACTACCCTTTACTTGTCTTACTTTATGGTACATGCCTGGCTAAGTGTACGCCCGTCCTGCCTTTCAGATGAGGAGCTTCGCAGTCCTGACTGCCATGCGGAGCAGGACGCCGCTACTCTCTCAATGGCGGAGATTGCATCGTGCAGTTATGAAGCCAGGTGAGATAAAAACGTGCATGCATTTGGAAATTTCTAATAAACAGCCCAAATATCTGTTTCTAATTCTAACCTCCTCGGTCGTCCCTCGCAGGAAGGCAGGTGTGAAGAACGGGATGTTTTTCGGCAAAGCTAAACAGCTGTGTCCCTCTCTGCAGTCCGTCCCGTATGATTTTGAGGCTTACAAAGAGGTGGCCATCACCATGTACGAGACTCTGGCAGGGTAAGAGGAGGTACCTGGTCAATGTCTCACTCCCTTCCCTGTCGCTTGCACACCAAGCGACCTCACCGTCTTCTTCGTTTGGTTCTTTGCAGTTACACCCACGACATCGAAGCTCTGAGCTGCGACGAAGTGTTGATCGACGGTTCGGCTCTGCTTGCTGAGCTGAGCGTCAAGCCAGAAGATCTGGCCAATGCGATCAGAGCAGAGATCAAGGAGAAAACGGGATGCTGTGCTTCAGTGGGCATGGGTGAGTTGATGTTGATGTTTGTCTCATGTAAAATCCATCAAGAGAGTGATTTAATGTTTTAATCAATCAACATCTGCTCAGGGTCCAACATCCTGTTGGCTCGCCTTGCCACCCGTAAGGCCAAGCCGGACGGGCAGTACCTCCTAAAGTCTGAAGAGGTGGATGATTTTATCAGGGACCTGCCAGTGACCAGCCTACCAGGTAGCCACAGCGCCACCTGTTGTTCATGTCCTTCAGTCTTTCAGCTGTCTCGTGGTAAATAATTGATTGCTTGTCAATTCCTTTTTTGGAGGCGTCGGGCCTGTTATGGGCAGAAAACTTGCTGCTATGGGTGTGAGGTCATGCGGTGACCTCCAACAGGTGTCTCTGTCTCAGCTGCAAAAGAAGTTTGGCCCCCGGACCGGACAGACCCTGTTCCGCTTCTGCCGAGGTCTGGACGACCGTCCCGTCCGCTACGAAAAGGAAAGGAAGTCCGTCTCAGCTGAGATGAACTACAACATTCGCTTCACTGAGGTTCGATCTATTTCCTATTCCATCGGGTCCTTCTCCTTTGCATTTTGCAGCCCATCTCTTGCTAACCACCCCCCCTCTCTACATATGTTGACTAGGTTGATGAGGCTGAGTCTTTCCTGACTAACCTGTCCATGGAAGTGCAAAAGCGTTTACAAGAAGCAGGGCTGCGGGGTCGCAGAGTTACCCTCAAGGTCATGGTTCGCAAGGTCGGAGCGCCACTGGAATCGGCCAAATACGGGGGTCATGGCATATGTGACAACCTCGCCAAGTGAGTCAGGGATCTTCATCGGTGGGAGCTACAGACTGTTGATAATGTCGTCCTCGCTTCGCCTATCCATGTCCCGGCCTCTCTGTAGACTCATCGTCTCTCCGTCTCCGTCAGGACTGTGATGCTCGCCCAGTCCACCGACAGCGGTCAGCTGATTGCCGCTGCTGTCATCAGGCTGTTCCACGCCATGAAGTTGCAGGTCGAGGACGTGAGAGGAGTCGGCATCCAGGTACAGCTCCTCGTAGGACATCCGTCCGTCCCCCAGAACTCCGCGGGCCCCGGGACGCGCTCCGTGAAAGAGATGCTGCTCGGCCGGGGAGCAAGTGCGAGATCCAGCGAAGGCGGTTTGTGCAAAGTCTTTGTTTTCAGTAGTGATTCCAGATCCGTGTTACGGGAAGCCGCTGACAATAACACACGTCGGGACAATGTTTCCTCAACCACAGGCCCTTCATCTGTCCCCCCGGCACGTCCTCTGTCCTCCCCCGAGCCGGTCCCGGGTACGAGCAGAGACCTGCAGCCATGCGGGCAGACTCCAAAACATTCTCGAGCGCGTCTCAACTTCAGCATCGAGGTCCCCTCCCCCTCACAGGTAAAGGCTCGAAAGGAAACCTCTGATCGATTTTGAGCGAGTGCTGAAAAGTCTGGGTTGTTTCCAACATCTCGTGTTTCTCTGTGATGTAAAAGGTGGATCGCTCTGTGTTGGAGGCGTTGCCCGCCGAGCTGAGGGAACAAGTGGAGCGGTCGTGGACCGATCGTGACGGGAGAACGAGTAACCATCAGTTGCCCGGTGCGCGGCCCTCTGCTCCTCTTCCTCACCCTCCCACTCTGAAGTCTCGTCCCACCTCCCCTCTTTCTCCTCCTGCGCCAGGTGGTGCACTACACGCTGCCCCTGCGGGAACGCTCTTTCTACAGATCCCAAACCAGCCAGACAGTCTGGGAATTGTACTGGAGCTTCCAAACTTCTCGCAGGTAGGGAGGCACCTACTCATTGGAATGTCAAAAGCTGTTCTTTAAATGTGCATTTTACCCATTTGTCTTAAGCAGATTCCATTGATTGTGACAAGCTATTCTTTTCCCCTTTTGTCCCTCGTCTTTCTGTCCGCAGGTTGATCCGGACGTATTTGCTGCCCTTCCCAAAGAGCTTCAGGCCGAACTGAAGTCTGCCTACAACCGCGTCCAGCCTCAGGGGAAAATATGTAAGCCTGGTTTTATTAGGAATAGGTTTTGCCTTTTCTTCCTGCTATTGTCAGCATTCATCCTCTCTTCATCTTATGTTTTTCCCCTTGATTTCTCAGCAGTGGAGCAGACGAATCCGCTGTTGCAGCTGAAACAGCCGGGACTCGGAGTCGGTATTAGTCGAGCGAAGCGACGCTACAAGAGGAAAAATGCAGTGAGCCCTGTTAAGAAAGGCCCTTCCCCCGTGAAGACGCGTCACACGAACAACAGCCCAGGCAAAGCGCTACAACCTCCTATGAAGTCACGAGAGCCTATGAACACGTTACAGGTGAGCCAATGAACAGATTCACACATGAATACGGGGAGGCAGAATGTGACAATGGAGAATTCACGGTTGTTTTCCCTTCTCAGGCTGATCACGGTCCCTGCACATCGACCTCAAAACCAGAAGTCCCGGAGGCCCTGTCCAAATTCATCCCTCGCCCCGCTCCAGTGTTGGCCGGAGCCTACGACCTGACGGACATTAAAACACTCCTTCGGGAATGGGTCACCACCATAACAGGTGCACAGCGAAGAACCGCTCCGTGCTCCGTACGGCCGCCCCGTGCAGTTCTTTAGTTGTTGTGAATATTTAATCACTTCTTCTGTTTTGTTAGAACCAATGGAGGAGGACATCCTGCAGGTGGTGAAATACTGCACCGATCTCATTGAGGATAAAGATCTGGAGAAGTTGGATTTAATTATAAAATATATGAAAAGGTACTGAACAGTTAAACCCCCTCCAATCTTCTGCGTCCCGCCCCGCCTACTTCTTTGACTCCTTATGTTGTCCTCTCTCTGCAGGCTCATGCAGAAGGCGGTCGAGTCGGTTTGGAGTATGGCCTTCGACTTCATCCTCGACAACGTGCAGGTGGTTGTGCAGCAGGCTTACGGCAGCACTCTGAAGGTAGCGTGAGGGCGGACGGAGTACTGCCTGCGCTGAGTGATACCATCACACCACCACCCCTGTTTTGCCACTTTCACAAGGTCACCTGCAGTACAAAGTATGACCTCTAAATGATGATTCTCCTCCTGAGAATGAGACGCACATTGACGACCTCACGAACAATATGAGAAAGTGTTAAACGACCCACGACAGTATTTGAATTTGTACAGTTTACTTGCTCTTGTAAAGGGACAAGTAAAAAAAAAGGCATTAAATGTACTTGGAATCGACTCACCAAAACTCGGGATAATCGTAGCTTTTCGCAAAATCATAATTGTAATTCTTTTCAAAATAAATGTGAAATTTTATATAAGATTTTTACAGGCAGTGCTGAGCTTCTTAGACAAGACATACCTTTTACAAGATTTCAAATCCCTGTGCTGATGGGTGTTTTCCCTCTGTTATAGCAGTTGAGTCCTATGTTGACCTACGGTTTAAATAATGTTACAGTGGCACATGCAGAGTTATTTGTTTTCATGTATACAGTTGAATCAGTCTAGGTTTCAAAGAATCACTGTCTGACAAACAATCATCATGTTTAAAGCACCTTTTTAGAAGTATTACAATTAGCTAGTGCTGTAGCACTTCGAAGACATTACACTTTATCATACCAGAAATTTTAGGAACAGAATATATAATTTTTCATTAACTTTTCTTTGGAGCTCCATGCCACTAACCATCTTAAATATGCTCTGCTGCGTACAGCAGTATCTTTATTTTTCTGGTCTCTCGCAAAAAAAGTGCCAAACAGTGTTATCATAGTGTGTTAATAATGTTTTTAAAAGACAAATTTGAAAAGAAAAGATATAAGTGGAGGATGAACCTCTTGTATTGTTTACACGTAGTGAATTCTTAGTAACTGTCTTAAATTGTAAGATCTTCTCGCGCTGTAATTGTTTGTAGGTGTTCCAACACGGACATGTGAAGCTCTTCATGTGAGGTTCACTGTTGATTCTCAGTAGCACTCTGACTTTGATGTGGACAGGGGTTATGGCAATCAATGAGTAGCCTATGCAGTTGTTTTTTTCACAAGCAAGTGAGAAGTCTCTTCAAGATAATGTAACATTTCATACAGCCTTTGTACCTGGAGTAAATCTTTTTCTAGTGTGTTTCCAGCCTACTTACCCATTTTACAGACCTGAATATTTCAATAATTCTGGATTTGTAGCCGACTAGGTGACCGTATTTTATAACTCAACGTATGTACTTGTGTACTTCAAACAATGGAGACATTTTTACGTCTTCTGGCTCATCATTGTATTTCTGTCAAGTTAACTCTCATGATTGGTGATCAGTAGTACTCCGCAGATGCGGCTGGCTGGCTGGCTTGTGATCCCACCAACCAAGACATTGTGTGTGCGGTGGAAAAGTTTGTTTAAAGCAGTTTCCCCTATATGCAAACCAAAATCAATCATTATGGTCATTATTGTTGAAATGAATGTAATTCAAAATGGGCAAGTCTACACTCACTTCGAAGATGTTTGCTTCTCTTCACCTGTTCGATCGCTCTAGACGTTAAAATTAGCCAGTCTTGTCTTCTATAAACTGGCTTGTGCCTGAAGACCCGAAGCTGTGAACTTGTTTGTAAGTTTTCTAAATCTTGGTAATAAACCCTAAACTATGTATTATTTCATGTGTCTTTGTTTTTGTTTTAAAGTTACGAGTGTAAGAGAGGGATTTCCAATCAATGTCAAGCTGGTTTTGAAAATAATGAAGGGGAAAAAATTACATTGAACCTACTGTAGTTTACAAATTGGAAATAGTGATGAATGTCTACGCTTGGAAGATTAAGGTTGTTCATATTTATCAACGATAACTCTACTCTATTTATTATAAGATGCTATGTCATAGTATCTCATAATCTGATGTAATTATGAGTTTCTAATTTTAATGAGGCTTACGTATATTTAGATTCGAGTCGTATAATAAAAAGTGAAGCCATAGCAGACAGTATACCTTTTAAAGATTTATTTTTGCAGATAAAAGTCTCAAAAAATGCTTCGTTAATTTAAGAAGTGCCCGGATGTGGTTCGACGTCAGAATAGGCCTGTGGTGACGTAGCGTCCGTTGTAACTGTTTGCATTTCGCGCAACAACTGCAGCGTCTGCGAGCTCCATCGGGTAACAATGCTTTGTGTTTCTGAATTAGCTTATTGTACTTTAACACAACACTTTATTGAAGTTTATCATCTCACACGCCAGTCACGTGCTTGTCTTTGTAAACGTGCAACATTTACGTGACGTCCATCGCGCTCACATAACGTTAGTGAACGTCAGCTAGCTTAGCAGGCTAACGTAACGTTGCACAGACACACTTGTCTTCTTTGGTGGCGAAAATTACCACGTAAACTAGTTGCATTGCCCAATTGACTGGCGTTTTTGTTACTAAATGAAAATAAATCTTCATAGTAAGTGTCGAACAGAGAATTAGACCATAGCCAAGTACGCAGCTAAGCTAATGCTGGCTAACAACCGGCTAAAAGGTGTGCCATAATGTCACCCGGGCTTTGTGTCCAACGTCACTGCGCTGCTCAGTCAGACCGCTTTCGGGTGACAAAACCGTTAAGGCCGGCGCATGCTTCTGCGTCTGCGTCGTTGCGTCGATGCACTCGTTTCAACTCATGCTTCTAAAAGTCGTGCGTGTGTTGCAGAGCAATTCACCGCCAGAACAACAGGCGGAGTAACGTGTTTTGTTGAAGGCGACCTAGAGAGTCACGTCTATTTATTTGTTTATTTATTTATCATAGACTGTATTACCCCGTGCATCGCCACTGCTGCTTTTATCGCGGACACATTTGTCCCGTATTTTCCTCCACAACTTTGTGCACCTCTCGACCGGCGTTTGCGGCGATCTCCCTCCGTGAATCCAACCCGCTTAGACAAGCGTCGCTCTGAAAACGCAGAAGCATAAATCAGGCTTTACTCAAAAACACGTAAAGTCAATTGACATCAATTCACAGCAGTTCACAACCGCCTCGGATAGATTCGTATGGTCAGCGTAGTAGCCGACCATGCATTCCCACTGCACTTCGTTAACATCTTAAATTAATGCACTAACCCTGAAATGGACACTCCATGCATGATGGATATTTTGTCCAACCCGTCTATAATCGATAGCCTATTAGAAAAGCTGATTAGTGTGACACAATACAATTCACATCCTCGCAAACTACTGCCTCCAACTAGACCATTTTACAGGGACATTTGAATCTTAATGTGGTCTTTTTTTGTTTTGCATTTTGTGTTCTCTACTCTCTCCGATCCAGAGAAGGTTTCACTGGGAGCAGGTAACCATGGCCAACCAAACCATGGACATCTTATCAAAGGTTTTGGAGCAATCGGCCAAGCTGGTGGAGGAGAAGGTGGATGCACATTTGAGCAAACTGAATGAAATGGATGAGGATGATTTGGACAGACTGAAGGAGAAGCGATTAGAGGCACTTAAAAAAGCCCAGAAACAGAAGCAGGTATGTGGGATGTTTTCTTTGACATGTTTTTAGTCTGTTAATTGTCAGCAATTACATCGAGGGCAACATTTACATCACAACGTCGCTTGTAACTGCTTATAATTCTGTATAACTCAATATGTTTTTTTTCATCTGCCATATTATTAGACAATGGCACCTCAGCGGCCCTTTTTAGAAATAATTTGAGTCAAAATGACAGCAGTTATAAATCAAAACAATTTCTGTAGTGAAGAGTTTCGTAGAAGTATTTTAATTTCATATAAAAACCATTGTCAGAAGCTGCGGGTGGATTGAAGGTCTTAACTCTTGTCTGTACATCAGGAGTAAAAGTGGGACCTGAATGGGAAAATAGTTGATCCACCCATCAGCCAACAAAAGTTGGTTTCATTGTGCTTGAATATAGAAGCCAGCCTCATTGTTCTGCTACTCACCAGAGTTCTCTTCTCTTTAGGAGTGGTTGACTAAAGGCCACGGCGAGTACAGGGAAATCGCAAGTGAGAAAGACTTTTTCAGCGAGGTCAAGGAAAGCAAGAATGTCGTCTGCCACTTCTACAAAAATTCCACCTTCAGGTAATTACATTGTGTTTATTTATGGTAGTGACAGCCACAGACGTAGGAGGGTGAAGTTTGACAAAAGCTCCATGAGGCAAATCTGTGATATTGTGCTGATACACAAACCATTCTATTCCTAGTTCTAAATGAGCTGGGGAAATCTGCAATGTACATGTTTAGTTGAAGCACCCAATTTGGCCACTTTTAGGAATACATCAGCATTTGACACCCAGGAGTCAGCGACGTACCTCCAGAAAACTCTGCTTCAAGTTCAGTGAAACCAGAGAACCATGTCATTTTATCGCTGAACTCATCGTTCTGTCCCCTACATGCAGATGTAAGATCCTCGACAAACACTTGGCCATCTTGGCAAAGAAGCACGTTGAGACCAAATTCATCAAACTGGATGTGGAGAAGGCCCCCTTTCTGACGGATAGGCTGCGGATCAAGGTTATTCCCACGCTGGCTTTGCTTTTAGACGGAAAGACGAAGGACTACGTGGTTGGATTCTCTGACCTGGGAAACACTGACGAGTTTCCTACAGAGATGCTTGAATGGAGACTTGGCTGTGCAGATGTGATCAACTACAGGTGAGACTTGCACTGGACTCCCGCCGGCACGTTTTAGGCACAGTGAAGCGATGAAAACAGGCTCTCATTTCTTCCATCGTTTCTTTCCTGTTCTAGTGGTAACCTGATGGAACCTCCTACAATGGGACAGAGATCCGGCACCAAGTTCACAAAGGTGGAGAAGAAAACCATCAGAGGGGGAACTTACGACTCAGATTCTGATTCTGGAGATGACTGAAATGCAGCTATGTTTGTGTGATTTTTCTCTCTCGGGCTCCCACTTTAACAACAAATACTAGACTTCAGTAAGCCCACTTTCTCAACTCAAAATCCTCTTCCCTGTTGGAATCTTCTCAAATTGACATTTGTTGTTGGCATTGAAATAGCATAACAAAAGAACCGGTGAGCTGTATCGATAGAATCCCAACTACACTGTCCCTATTTATAGTTTTTTTTGGATTCAGACTTGTTTGATGATTTGTCTGCCGTGTGGCAAATGGTAAAATATATTATAACACTGTTTTGTGCTAAAGCCGTGTCTCAAGTGTCCTGTATTTGACCCTGATGTGCAAAGAGCAGCATGATACAAAATGTTTGTTTGCAGCTATGTCCTGAGAAGGGAGGGCGGTCGACTCGATCTCATAGACGCTTCAAAACAAAGGAGTTCTGTTCGTGGCCTGCGGCAACTGAGGATGATCTTGAGGTGTGTGTGTGTGTGTGTGTGTGTGTGTGTGTGTGTGTGTGTGTGTGTGTGTGTGTGTGTGTGTGTGTGTGTGTGTGTGTGTGTGTGTGTGTGTGTGTGTGTGTGTGTTACCCTCAGCTTCACCTGGGTTCTTAGCTCAACTTGATTTGTGCACGGCACTGGTCTTCATGTGTATAAAAACTCAGCGGTTTTACTGCTCGGAGACGCAATTACACCGAACGCTGAGATACGTGCTTGTGTGTTTGACCTCCTGCTTGCAAGCAGTAGTTAGAGCCAGATATCTGCGGAGAATTGCTCATGTTGACTTTAATTGATAAACGTGTTGCGATCCTTCTCATCAACCAACTCGGGGGGGATCGGATATCCCGACACCATGAACCGTTCTGAACAGCTGTTTTTACAGCTGGAACACATTTGTACTCTATTGATCTATTTGTTTCTGTCAAACAGTGATTGTCTACGGGCACACTGGGGGGGGGGGGGGGGTCAAAGCGTGCGTTCCTTTGTGCACGCTCGTCCTAATTGGACAACAGGGACCTGATGTTAATTAAAGCTTCTCTTTACACCAAGAAGCTGTGTCAGACCTTCTTGCTCCTCAAAGATTAGGAAACTCCTCTTTCAGCTGAATTTAGCCATGACTTCCTGTCTGTGCTTATGTTTGTTAATACCGAATCACAAACAAGCTTGAGATACTTTTGATTTCTCCCAACAACATTATCCAATTTACACAACGTTTATGTGAGTTTGACTCGATAAAACAAATTTCTAAAACGTTGTCCTTAATCAAATGGATGTAGCAGCATATTGTAGTTGGTGGTGTGGATGAAAGCAGTGTACCATATATTTCCATAATGCAACCCAACTCCATTTCTTGTTCGGATCCCTTTGGAAAACAATTATTCTGAGTAGAGCCCAGCACATCGATGGCTGGGGATAAATATGAATTCACTGTTAACTGGTGTAAACGGTCAATGAGGCATATTTCAAATCACAGACAGCCCATATACGGCAACTCACAGCACCAAATGGTCCTCCAGATCCTCTGGTTTCCTCCCACTGTCCCAATGACATTCAGGTACTCCTCCCAAAAGAACCCTCTACTTCAGAGGGTTTCTTTTTGGAGTCTATACAATAAGCTGCTGTGTAGACGGGTCTCTACAGTCACATCTAAATTCCTATGGAGGACTAAGTTTTAGGAGTCTTAATTTGTTTTCAGAACCCATTCAAGACAAATAACTTTAGTTCTGTGTATTTAAACCAAAACAGGGAATTATGGAGCAGAACAATTTTAATGGTATGTATGAGCAACTTAAATTGTAATTAACAATGATTGAATGTGGAGCTAAGATTCGATGGCCTTGGGCTCTACAGGATGGAGGAGGCGACGGACTATCAACTCTCCTTTGCTGTTGATGTAGGTGTCACCCATGTCCTGCTCAGCAGGGAATCCAGAGGGCGTCTTCAGCGGCTCGATCCTGAATTAATGGGACGATAAGAGGGACACACAATTATATAGTCTCTATAAATGTCCACACAAGTATTTATAAAATGTTCTAACAAAAACCTCTGCATCTGTTCCATCATACGGTTTTCTTTGGATGTGTTTTTCAATTAGCAGAAAATTGAGGTTCATACTTTTAGGCAGACGTGTCACATTAATCTTACCTCACGAGGTGCTTGACAAACTTCAGTTGGCTATTGACTGCAGGTGTATTTTTGTGAATTACAGGTGTGTGTGCCTGAATACATGACAAAGACAACAAGAACATCTGGGTGTTACACATAAGAAAGATTTTTTTTTCCTCAAAACATTTTTCATAATATAAATAATGCTCTTTATGCAGTTATAGTAGATGCTGTATCTGCACAAAGGGGTAAGATCACGGCTGATCTTTTTAGAGATCATCCCTTCATCCCTTCGGATTCATCTAAAAAGAGCTTTCGAAGCCAAAGTCTTACCTTTCCGAGCCCAAGGTGTTTCACCATTTCTTTCTCCCAATACGGTCTTCGCATCACACTTTTGACTCTGGTCACAATGTGCAGTTTATGAGGTTGCTCTGGATCCCCCCCATATTTCTCATGTTCTTTTGATCGCTCCTCAAACAGCTGTGAAGAAGGACACGGGACCTTTGAGCATTGCCAACTGATGAAGTGGTGCTTTAATCATTCAGAAGTGCTTAATAAAGCAGCGGCATTATCACCACCAGGGTTGGATTAGTTTGTTAGGGGCCTTTGCGCCCCCGAGCAGTGTTTTAAGATGCCCCCCCATCAAATTCTACCTCTGCTAATTCTCCAATATGAACCACGTGAGCACAATGTACTAACTAACTCGAATTACTTGAAGCACCTCTACACGACAGGACCAAAAGTTAAGTGGTGCAAATGTCCTAAACGAATCAGCAATTTTCTAAATTTGGTGGAGCTTCTTGGATGCGGTGACCCCGGGGTTTGGGATCGGATGCTTACCTCCTTTGGGATTCTTGCTTTGGTGAATCGGCTGCGCGCCGGAACAAACCGCGGGCCGGCTGACAAGAGCTGTAAAACAGACAAACAGTGACGAGACCAAACCGTAAGCGATGAGACGTAGAGCAGCATCCGCTGACTTCTGTCCCGTGTAGGAGCCACAGATAAAGTGTCCCACAGGGTTAAAGGGACTGACCCTGCAATCTAAGGGTAGTTTCTCCTGAAACAATCAGCTAGATTAATTTCCCAAAAGGTCTTAGCATATGTACCTGTATTTTCAGTCCAATGATCTTTGGGAAGTGCTCAATTAATCATTGAATAAGTAAATGTGCAACTTTAAAGACAGCAAAAAGGTTTAAGAGGCTGCCGATGGAAAAACGCATTAAAAAATATGTCTCGTCACACAATCACACAATCCAAGACTCACACAATCACACAATCCAAGACAGAGAAACGATTAGATGAATCACTTATACGTCACACCTCCATATTATTGGCTTTAAAGGGGTTCGGACTTTAAAACACCGTGAGTTGCGCTTACCTGGACTGGCAGAGAGCTCAACCGGCGACAGACGGCTGACATGTTGTATTGTTTATTCTGTATGCAGAGGAACACGTAACGTCGCCAAGGTTAAAGTGACGTACAGCCCCGCTGCTGCCCGATAACAGGCGCTATGAACACAAACAAGCACGTACGTGCACCAGCATCATATTCTGCCAATTTAATAAAGAATAACGTTAATTTAAGAGCTGAAAAGTGACTGGAAACAGAGAAGCACTGGAATCACGACCGCGTCGTCTCCTCCGTGTCGCTACACCGGAAGCGGCAGGGAGTAACATTTAAATGGCACCGATACGGCAAATATCCCCATAGTAATAGTTCCAACATTTTTTTGCACGATGTTTCAGATTCTATTATGGGTTGAATGTGCTATTTATATAATCAGATATGTATTTCAAATATATTTGCATTATTTCTAATGGTTTCTGTCAAAACAACCCTCATCGTGGACGATTGCTCCATAATGGGTTCTACCCTTCTGTTTCCGCCGGAATTATTTTTGTGGCGCACCACCCGTGTGGCTGCCAAGTAGGAAGCTGGTGGTACAACAACAGCAACAACAACAACCATGACGTCTCAGTCGGTTTTCTAGAAGCTGTCGAGGAGCATAGACAGAATAATGACTCAAAACCACGTGGCGGGGATGGAGACGTCCGCCATCTCCGTCCTGAAGCGCGCAGTGGAGCTGGATCACGGCGGCCGCGTCCAGGAGTCTCTGGTCTGCTACCAGGAGGGCATCCAGCTGCTGATGGACGTGTTGAAAGGTGAGGAGGGTTACGCACGCGTACAGGGGTAAGAGGCAACACGAGCGGGAAGACACGAAGCGTAACGTGTGGTTGTTCCCGTCTCCCGGCAGCCACTGTGAACGATGAGTCCAAGAGAGGCCACTACAGGGAGAAGATCAAGGGCTACATGGACAGAGCAGAGCAAATCAAAGTCCACGTGAACCAGATGAAAGAAGGTGATGGATACAACTAGCTGAAGGCTGAATACCGTAGAAAGTGGGAAACTGGCATTCACCGCCTTAAACAGATATTTCTAATTGTATATGTATGAATGTAAGACAAGCAAAGGGGTTTGTGTCTGTGCCTCCTCTAACTTCTATTTCCTCCATCTCTCTGTGCTCCCTCACTGGTCAGATGGGAAGTATCACGAGCAGATTCGAATAGAAGAGGATGCCACCGGTTACAGCTACCAGGTTCTGTTCAAGCCATACATGAGCAGTTTGCTCACAGAAGTTTGGGTACAAGACCCTTACATACGGCACACGCACCAGGTAAGAAATCTTAGTGTTCCACATTGTTTTATAGAAATGCTTTTCTATCTACTGATTAATTCATTATCAATCAGTCACGCAATAATCTTTTTATTTAAAGTACCGTTGCCACTGTACAAATGGGTAATACAGTTTTAATTGAATGTTATTTAAAGGATTGAATCCTTAATGTTGGATTTAAAACATTTTGCTATACACAAAGCACTGTATCTTTTTATTCATGTGCAAGGAATGTTTCAAAATGAAACTGTTCTGTACTGATTCCTCATTCCCTCCACTACAGTTGTACAACTTCCTGCGGTTCTGTGAGATGCTGCTGACACCGTCCTGCAAGGTGAAAAAGATCCATCTGCTCACTTCCCAGGATGAAGTATGTTGTTCAAATAACAAGGTCACACTTTGTGTAGATTGCACAGCCGTCATAACGGTCTCTTCTTCTCAGTTCGGTGCTGTTGTTTTACTGCAATACATCCCATCCTGCAGGCAAACAGCAGTCAGCAGAGCAGCGCTCTGGGCGAGCTGAAAGAAAGTCTGAGTGCTCAGGGAGTGACTTTGGATCTGCAGTACTCCTCCACTATACATGACAGGGAGATCAGGTACAGCTAACTGATATATGAAGGAGCCACTTGTGGGCCATAGATCAACGCTTTTTAAAAGGTGGCATCTTATTTTGAGCCGTTTTTGTTTTCATTTTCAAATGAACATTCCACTCTCAATTTTTGCAGCTTTATTTTATAGCAGAACGTTTTTATTTTTCAGGTTTGACAATGGTTGGATCATAAAGATAGGAAGAGGGCTGGATTACTTCAAGAGACCTAAGGTGAGACTTGGTAGTAATCTCTTTCTATGGCTGCCATTCTTACGACTACAGTGCTGAATGAGGGTCGTTGTGGCGCAGGGGTTAGAGAAGGTGTGCTGGGAAGCACCAGGTTGGTGGTTCGATTCCAGGCTGCCCCATGTTCCATGTCGAAGTGTCCCTGAGCAAGACACCTAACCCCTAATTGCTCCCCGGGCAAAAATGTGTAAAAGCCATGGGTTTAAAAGTGTAATGTAAGTTGCTTTGGATAAAAGCGTCTGCTAAATGACCTGTAATGTAATGAAATGTAATGAATGTCTGCGTGTCATTTCTTATCTTCCAGGGTCGGTTCTCTGTTGGATATTGTGACTATGACCTCAGGCAGTGCCACGAAACCAGCATAGACATTTTTCACACCAAACACACTAAAACACTATGAGATTCATAAAGCTTGAATTAATTTTTCAACGCACACATTTGCTATGTTTTTGGATGTGCCTTTACATACACATGCATGTGATCAACCTTGTAACTACTGTGTAACAGAGCAATTTTTATCAGGTTTTACAAAATGCTTTTTTTCACATTGGTCTTTTTTTTGTCCTTTCTTATCCAAGAGCTATAATCATTTTTTTATTTTAAATTTTCAATGATAACTGTTCTTATGCTGTATGCTTTTAGGGTGTCATACTGCAATCTGGTGGAAAATAAATTAGGTGCTTTAATAATACCATAAAATGTCTTTGTTTTATTATTTTTTATTTTAATCATGATGAGCTTTGTTTAGCCCAGTGTTTTTCAACCTTTTTTGCGTCAAGGCACACTTAAGACACAGAAAAAATATCACGGCACACCAACAACCGGAAATGATATGAAAATCAATCCCAAACATAGTTTCATCATTAGCATAATATACTCTAGGAAATCAGGGAAACACGTGTTCTATTTGTTGTGTTTTATTAAACTTAACATCATCCTAATGCCAAGATGGCACAGGCTTTATGCCCAGGTATCTCTTAAATCTCACTTCTTTAAATTGTCGCCTCAGCAAATCTGCCTATTAATTACGCTGCGTACCGCCACCCACAGGCAGAGGGGAGTATAGAGCCTTCATACCACCAACAGCGCGCGACACACACACACACACACACACACACACACACAAGTTGGCTCTTTTTTTTCACCAATGAAGTGACAGTATGTAAAAAATGTTTTTTTTTCACGGTACACCTGACAGCCTCTCGAGGCACACTGGTTGAAAAACACTGGTTTAGACAAAAATGTTGGTATATCATTAAATCATCTTTTGCATAGTGGCTACCAGTGTTTCATCTACACACATCCTCTCTCACACAATATTTTTCACTCCCCCTCACACAACATTAGGCTGCTGTTGTGCTGGAGTTTTTATTTTGACATGGAACATCTCTTGCTAGGCTTCATTGCATCTATTTATAGTTAATAGATTAAATTACAAATGAATATAGCATTTTGTAATATTATCAAGCTTTGTTTACTTGTATGAGAAAAGTAATTTGATTTATGCGGCTTGTTTGGGGTTTGAATAGTGGTCAGCACTCATATTTAGTCCAATATGGATCAAATTTGATTCAGTTTGACAAATATTTCCAAAACTAAAAAACAAAATCTCTTATTGCAAACTGTCGCCGGTTTGAATGATTGGAAACCCACATGAGTTCAAATAGCGCCATCATCGGATTATCCATCGGCCTTAATCTGGATATGCACAGGCCCAGAGGGTAAGAAATTATAATCCATCAGGGAACCACACGAAGCAGAGATGACCATTAATGCAACGAACATCACTACCTTTGTGTTAGGAGCGGAGAGGACAAAAGGCTGCAGTGCACAAAGCAGTTGAAGCTGTCAGCATGTGCAGATATAGGTCAGCCCATCAGCAGTAATTAAATAAAGTCAAATGGCATATGGTCCCTTATGTGTAGATCACAAACTGAACAAAACCTAATTCCCAATCAGACTCTAATGTCGCTGTGGTCTATTAACAGGCGGTTGGTTGCCTGTGATCCAGATGTCACCGGCTGGGTTTATTTGCTGGTGAAAGAGATAAGGATTTGTGTGATGAGGATCCTCATCAGAGAAGCTGCTTGGCTGCACACAAAGGTTTGCTTTGCTCTTCCTGCTTCCTCCCCTCCTACTGATTGTAGCCTCGTGGCCTACATGGTGCTCTGAATAGCTTTTTTTTTTTAACTTAATCAGACAGTTTCCGGGTGTAGATATAGTTGAAAAACACTACAAAGGCCTATTTTATGTATGCAAAGTTACTTCCATTAGTGACGGGTGGACATTCATCAGCAAATGATGCTATCAAAGATTGTTTTAGCTCCAAAGTCTGGTACATTTGGATTATCTCTGGTAAATGGATAATTCCTGGCTGTTTTTCCCCCCCATTTTCATTGTTAACTGTCACACAGACACCCTCACACACATATACATAGGCTGCTCCTTTATGGTCTACCTGGGTTGTGACCCGACGTAAAGCATAAACAGTTCCACTAGCCTCAGTTCCTGTGTGGCTGTCCTCTTTCCAACAGGAGCTTTATTTTATTTTTTCTCCCTCTACTCTCATTTCTGGGCCTAAAATCAGGTTAGCGTTTTATAAGCAGCTTAGCGCAGAGGGCCACAGTGTGCCACTAATGTAATAGAGTAACTCCCCCCCCCCCACTCTCTCTCTCTCTCTCTCTCTCTCTCTCTCTCTCTCTCTCTCTCTCTCACTTGTGTCCCTTTTTCTTTTTCCACATTTGCTTACCCTGTCATGGAGTGTCCTCTGTCACTCTTTCTCCCTGCCTGTTTTTCGTTTCCTTCCACTTCCCTTGCTCCCTTCCCTCTGCATCTCCCTCCGTTGTTCCGATGTGGACGATGAAAGCCTGTGGTTTAAACATTAGGAGAGTGACACAGCTGTGAGCGGACAACTCTGCCCCGAGAGGAGGACGAGAAAGGGGACGAGGAGCAGTGGTGCTGCTATTACACGTCGGGTAAAGTGTCTTATTTTTGATCAAAAAGGTGTTAGAATGTGTGTGTGTGTGTGTATTCATATTGCATGGATGGTTGTGGTTAAGCTGTTGTTGTGGATTATTGTGCTGTGGAATCTGACAAGGATCTCTCTGCAATGTTAATAATCCACTGGATTATCATTTGTCTGTAAAAAACTGATTCATGAACACTCAAGTTTCGCTTTGGTGGAAAACCTGCAGCCAAGGCGTTCAAATGTTACGGCCGTGTAAGTCACAAGCAACCTCTTTGGAGTGTCCCAGCGTATTCATGCGCTTTGGTACTTTTAAACAGGGTGTGCTGATATTTTGACAGCAGGCTGGGCGATAGCAGAGGTGCAGTGTGGACTTTGCATGTTTATCCATGACCAGCCACATCTTGTCTTATCAGCACACATGCCATATAGGATGCTACTCTCTTTCAGGGCTCCTCAGCAACGCAGCTGAGAGCAGTAGGTTTCACAGAACACCGTATACCGCGGATAGTACACCAAGTCTGTCGAACAAGGGAAACAAGCACCTCGCACTGAATCTTGCAGCCGGTAACACATCAACCCGACTTGGGTCTTTGTCACAAACAGTGTTGCATAAGTAAAGTGTTCGGCTTCTGCTTTGTTCAAGACGTATGATCCGTACTGCTTGTTTTCAGCATGATAAGTAGTATCTATTAGAGCCCATGTCCTCTTTGAAATACCAACACCGCCACTTTTACCTTCGTGGTGTGTGCTTTCTTGATGACACTGCGTTTCCTCTCGTGAAAGCCGCCGTGATTATATATTGTTGGCAGAGTTTCCTCTGAGTGCCCTGCCTTGCTTCAGTACAGGTTTGCACTGCCCCTGATAATACCAATAAACCTTTGAACCTCAGGGCCTGAGTCACATCTTCAGGCTATCGCACAAGTGTGTTAAGTGCATGTGTGTAGAGAACAGAGGACAAACCGCAGCTGTACTTGCGCCACGCTGGACGCTCTCGAGCATGTGACAACAGCCTCTTAAAAGTGTGGCCGAGGTGTCTGTAGTCAGAGAGGCGTCTCATTTTTGGTGGCTCTCTTTACGCACTGTGACCTCGGCTGTTCTGCACTTCTTTCTGTTTCCATAGCGATGGAGTCTTTCTCTGGGGATACGGAAGGAAGCACCGATGACATTCCAGGTGAGGTTATCGGTCATGTAGATTTAGTGTCCAGAGAAAACAAGTCTTTGACAGAAAGGAGCGATCAGAATGAAGGAATGTGTGTGTGTGTGTGTGTGTGAGAGAGAGAGAGAGAGAGAGAGAGAGAGCTGCTGTGACCTGGATCTGTCTCCATCTCCATCTCTATCAGGACGTAAAAAGTTCAAACTGAAATCTCTGAAAAACCGTCTCTTCGGGAGGAGTAAGAGAGACCGTGGAGAGGGAGATGCCAAACTCAGCCAGTCAGCCGGTGATATCACTGCAGAAGAAGGACCCGGATCTGATTTGGAAGAAGATTCGGCGTGAGTGTTTTCATGATAGCTTTACAGTTGCATTTCAGTTTTCTGATTTCTAGTCCAATGCCTTCACCCAGTCTTCTGTTCCTACACTCCTACTGCCAAAGATGCTCCCAGGGGATGATGGGATCAAGGGCATTGTCCGCCGACAGCATCTTTCTGGCTGATCAGGTCCTGACAGACGCCAAACCAGCTAAGGTCTTATCTCAGGAAAACGTCCATGGCAAAATAAAAGCTCTGCAGGTATAGCATTCTATTCTCGACATATTGTTGGGAAGTGAGGTTTTATAATCAGCTGTGCCTCTGGTGTCACAGATGAAGCTTCAGCAGCAGAAGATGCACCTGGGGCCACCGCCTCTGGTCCTGCCAGTCAGACGCGCCGAGGATCTGGGAAGCCGCTCTGAGGATGACGGTCCTGCCCTCGGCCCCCCCGAGATCCCGGAAGCCCTCAGCAAGGTGATTAGTTTCCGGGGCTCGGCTATCTGCTTATCTGATCAGTGCACTGATTAGGACTGTTAGCGTAAGGTTAGCGTAACAATTTAGAGAGTTGCTTCTGAGTGGATTTACCTTTCAGACTCTCCTCTTTACTTTCACCAACCCTTTTGACTTAACTTCATCTAAATGTCACACAATCACCAGCAGGTTTAAAGGAAATATGTCTGTCTCTTGCCTATGCCTGCCTCCCTTTGGTGGACGTTTGGTTACGTTGTTCTTTGTTTTTAGTAATGCACACATGCCAGTAGGGAATTCCTCTAGATGGGAGACATTTTGACAATCCTTATTGGTCTAAGTGTGAGCCAAGACTTGATTTGGCTTTGGCTAGTCAGTAGTTCACTGCCATATCCCAAGAAAATGCCAAAACCAACAATGCTTCATCAATACTTCCCTTGTTTGTCTGAGATACTCTCACAACCGAGTTCATAGTTCAGAAAATAGGTGACCAATTCACCAGTTTAATGTGTTTAAGTCAAAGTAATCCTGACACAGCTGTACACTGTGTTTTAGCAAACACTGCTTAATAGTAAATGGCTCATTTTGGCTGGGAAAGGAAAGGGATTAAAGTGAGTGTTTGCAGGAGCAATGTGGGATCGACCACAATGAATGATTAGTGAGGTAACAGCATGTCCACCCACGGTTTAATGACTATATCTTCTCAAAGGTGCACCGTATCTTTTTCAAAAGCCAAATAGAGTATAGTGAGCCCTACGGGATAAGTGTGGCATGAGAAAAATAATGTTTTCATTCTATTTGAATTGGAGGATTTCAATATTAACATGTTCTAGTAGAAAATAAATGCATGAACCTGAAAAGTGAATCATAGGTCCTCAAAGTCTCACAAAGACTCTAATAAAAAAATATGCATTTTGTGACCGCCTTTTTCTCATGGTCTTCTTTACGGTATTTGAGGCTCTACATTGTGATTTTCCTTTCTTTTCAGGCCACGTCGAGGCCGTTGTCTCGTCCACTCTCGCCCCTCCCCAACCCTGCACCCATCAAATCTGGGCCCCTGTCTCCATCCCTCCCTTTGCCCCTTTCTGTCTCCTCAAATTCCTCTTCCTCTGCTGTTGAGCTGCCGTTGGACTTCAACTCTCCAGTCCAAGTCACCCGCTGCCTGGACACTTCTGCTGCACGCCATCGGATGTCTGTCAGGCCCAAGAAACAGAGAGCCAGCACCAAGAAAACACCCACTGCAGTGAATGAACATTTCTTCACCTTGTACATTGTTTGAAAAGACAAACGGTTAATGCACTTCCCTTACGTTGTTTATACCTCTTTTTTTTGCAGAATTACTCCAATGAGCAAAAGTCTGACATACACATTCTAAACAACATCAACCGCCCTGTATCTGTGAGAGAAGAAGAACAGCCTGCTTGGACTGAAGAGGAGCTGATATTGGAAAAAGAACAAGGAGAGGCTGTTATTGTTACATCTCAGCATCTTCCATCAAAACCTCCAGAGGTGGCACCAATCGCCTCAGAGGCAGCATGCAAATTATCCATCCAGACTGTTTCCCAACAGGACCAAGCTCTTCTTGATAGAGTGTCCTCTGCAGCCTCCCAGATACTTAGAGTCAAGCACCACAGACCAGCAGATGTAAGGCCAAGTGAGCGGCCCCACTCCTCCTTTATACAGCCAGAACTAAAAGACAGTAAAGACAGGGATTCGGAGATACGAGCAATGTCCCTTGACAAGAGAAAAACCCCAAACAAAGCCGGAATGGCTGTCACCCCCTGCGACCAGCTCTCCTCTAACTTCAGGTCGTCCTCTGTTCACCAGCATGTTCAAAGTGAGAAGGAAAGCACAAGGGGAATAACGAGACCCACCCCAGGATCCGGGTCCTTCCATATTTCAATGACCTCTGCCAAAAACCGGGATGCAGAAAGACCCCGATCAGGCAGTTTTGTTGGAGTCCTGGAACACGTTGAAGCCAGACGAAAGGCCGAGGATCAACAATCATCAAGCACGAGGGAAAGGGAAGAGTTAAGAGGGGGCCCCTTTGCTGTGGGAAGACTCAGGCAAGGGGGAGCTCCACATAAAATATGGGACAGGAAGGACAGCCTCAAACACGTGGAACCAGTTACACCATCTCAAAATGTCACCACAGATACCAGCGCGGCGAGGGTGGAGCAGCTGGAGAGCAACCAGGAGGTGGTGGAGGTGGCGGTAGAAGCTCAGGAGGTCGAGGAGAACGAAGGAAAGTCAGCGTTTGGCGTCAAACTGCGCGCCACATCTCTGTCGATGAGATTTCGATCGGATTCCTCTCCGAACCATCGCGCCAAGCTGCCAGTGTGTGAGGAGCAATGTGACCAACTGAAAAGACAGGAAATAAGAGACATTGAGTCAAAAAGTGAGTCTTCATTGATTACGCTTTATGTCAAGTTCATTGTTTTATTCAAAACATTATTTTTCCATTACTTGTAGAGTTAAACATTGTACACTCTGGAGTGCTAACATTTGTACTGATCACAGGGGACCTTTGTCCTTTAAAATACTACTTAGGTTAACGCTAACAGCCCCGTGAAGTGTGTCTAACTGAACTGTGTCACTCCTTAGATCCAATCCCATCTGGCGTCTCCCTTCCAGTCAAGCACAACACGCTGCCTACCGACAATCCTCACACCATGGCAACCGAAGTCCAAACATCCTCCTCAAACCTCAGAGAAGTTGAAACCTCCGTCCAGGAGTTGCAGCCTGCCCCCCAAACGACCTCCTCTGAGGTGTCCTGGATAAGCATGGCAATGGAAAAGACCAGAAGTCTGCAGCAGCTTTTCACTAATAGATTACCCAGAGATTTTACAGGTGTGCAGACAGCAGCTCGGCCACAAGCGCAGACGGAGACGCCTACAGGAGCGCAAGAACAGACGCAACCTGTAAAACTGCAACAAAGCACAACAACAATAGAGGGCGCAAATCAATCCCGGACTGATGCCGTCAAAGCAGAAAAGGTGCAGAGTGGAAGTCAAACTGAGGCCGTCAAACCGTCTCCGGCGTTGGCAGTGCAGCAGAAGACGCCTCCTCTTCAGTCGAGCGCTTCCAGGGAGCCGCAAGCGGTAAAACCAACCGGTGAACCTCTGTTTCCCGCACAGTCTGTACACAACAATCCATGGACAACCCAGTTTCCATTGCACTCTTCTACGCCACCAGAGACCTCATCTCGGGCCCCACAAGAGGCCGGGACACAGTCTCTTGCACAGTTATACCTTTCCTCGGGCCAGCAGCAACCCCCCCGGGGCAGTCGAGGTGTTCACACCGCCAACCAGCTTCATTCGACAAACTTGTGTTCTACCACATCATCCGCTTCATCTCAGCCATCCGTTTCTGCCTCGGGAAGCGGGGAGAAAGACGCCCCCACGCAGGAAAAAGACGACGCGTCACTGTCAGGAAGGCGGGCAGTTTGGGCCGGGTCCGCAGGCGAGAAGGCTTCTTTTTTGGAGAAACGGGCAGAGTGGACCACTCCACCTGGAATCAAGGGGGTTTGTGGTACTTCTTTGTAACTGTCTTTAGTACCGCACTTCACTGTATATCAATTCAAGGATAAGGCTGGGAATATTCTATATTCTTCTTATTGTCTACAAATTCCATTCCAAGTGAAAAAAGAAGAGGAATACTCTTGTCTTTCAACACTCTCTGACATCCAAACTGTAAGAATAATGTTTTATGAAGGCTATTAGTTGATTCAGGTTGGAGCTTTGAGCATTTTACTAGATATCTAGATATTTTAGTCTTCGGTTTAATGCAGGGAAACAGCATGTGAAGAGGCCGACATGCAATCTGGGAACCAGCCGACTCTACTGACGAGGATTTCACTTTTTATTGTCTTATTAGTTTTCGAAAATGTCCACTTGTGACACAGTGTAGTCCTACACAATGTGTCCCAACTCACATTTGTGTTCTTGGACACAAATGGAATTGTATGGTGTTAAAGAGAAATGTAGATTTCTTCTTTAACTAATATTGTTGTAGTTATCCAGAGCAGAAGATCTAACTCGTGAATTTCTTCAGGTGGACTTGAAAAAAGCTCAAACAGAGGAGCAGGTATCAGGTGAATCCCCAGCCGTGGAAAAGACCAAGCCCCTAAATAAAGACATAAAACCAGTGGGGCGACAAGGAGTAAAACTTGCAGGTTCGCTGACACACATTCATTAAAACTGTGAACTTCTTCATTTAGTATTCAGTATCTGCATGTCCACCAACATGACAACAATGTTTTCTCTTAGAGTCAAGTCCCACCAAAGTTCCAGAAAGACCCCGTGAGGACAAATGGCTGCGGAAAAACGTGGCGCCATCTTCATCGCCCTCATTGTCACCCACAAGGCCATCAGTGTTGCAGTCCGCGACTGACGGCGGACAGCCGTCCTGGATGGAGCTGGCAAAAAGGAAGTCAATGGCCTGGAGCGATAAGTCCATGGACTGAGGGGAAAACAGACACAGAGACGGTTCTGTGGATGCAACAGTATGAGGGGATCGGCAGACAAATTGTGTTGTTGAGTCTTTCACAAAGATGCAGTGGAAACTCTATTGAGGCTGTTGTGATTGTGTGATGACTTTCATTCAGCTGTTAAATATTAGTTGTATCGAGAGACAGTCAGAGAGTATCTATTGACAACATCCAAGTTTATTATCATCCTTTTCCACCGCAAGCACTTCCAAATAAATGGTATTTCTGAGTAATGTTTTATGTGATTCAGCATGTCACTGCTGATGATAGTTTGTTAAATAATGTGTTGATTGTCAAATGCGTGTTTTTTGTTTTTTGGGGAAAATATTGAATAACAAAATTAAAATATTCAAAAACATTTTAACTTGTTGCGTTGAGGCAACCCAGAGGGAATACAGAGCAACCCCTAATATAATTGTAGCATCTCTTTAAGACTTTGTGTGGAGAGTGTGAGTCAAGATTTAAATAAATGCAGCAACATATTAACTGAGCTTTTCCCTGAGCATCAACCTGTCATTATGGGATGTCCACTCACTCACTATCATAGCCTGTAGATCATCCTGGCAGGCCATAGCTGTGAAAAGGGACCATCGCTTGCCTGAAATGATTGGGTTTTAAAAGGTACTTTATAATGCCGTTGCTGCTGTAATCCTATGAATTTCCACGCTAGAGGACTAATAAAGGGTTGTCTTATTGCATCTTATCTTATACTATTAAAATGTGTGTTTGTTTGTTTGTAATCCTGAGCATGCATTGAACTCATGCTGCCAATACTACGTTCTTTGGTGCATACAAAAATATTGAAGACAATTGTTCCAATGTTGCAACTACATGCAGCGCATTAGCTTTTCTAATTCTTCCGCATACGTTTATATTAGAATGGGGGATTTTAAAATCCAGTAAAATAGAAGCAAACATTATGAATCCATTCAGTTGTGTAAATTGCTAAAGCCTGAATTGGATTATGTGTCAAAGGGATTAGGCCTTAATTCATTATTGGAGACTGAATTGTTGTTATTGATATAAGTATATTGTAAGAATGTTGTGCAACAACAATAATCATTGTCTTCTCCGGCATATAATTCAAATGGACACAATTGTGTATTAATATCCATTTCAGTCAACTACAACATCACCCAGTCAAAAAACTGCCTCAAAACGATTAGTGGATATATAAATTAGCCTATTAAAGTAAAGGTCATAAGCAAAAGTTTGAGGTCTTCAATGATTGACCTGGTTCTAAATAATGTACTACTTATTGGATTGTTGTGTAGCAGAATGTGCGACAGGTCGTGTAAACAGGGACAGACTAGCGGGCGCCTAAATAAGTACGTCACAGCAAATTAGGTAACATGCCCGTTCCTGTCGCTTTGTGCCGTAACGTCCTTATTTCAACCACGAAGGGTGCAGACGCTCAGGTGAGGAGAAACCAGTCTTGGGGTTTAGTAACGCTACCTAAAAAACTAATTCAAGTATGAGAAATGCACGCAGTGGGGTTCGTTCAGACTAAACCATTTCTCTCCAACATCCAGCAGAAAAGGCAAAAGAAAATATGTGAGTAGCTTTTCTTCTACTTCAAAGTCGGATTTGAGTGGCTGTACTTTTAGCGCACACCAATATGTAAACTACACGCATCCAAATATCAGGAATTCTTTCAACAACTGAAAAAAACCCGGTTATAAAACTACTGTTTTTTTTAACCGTAAAATGGCTCGTCGGCAGATGTCGCTGTGAAGCCGCTCCCCGTCTCCCGCGAGCCGACGCACGTGAGCTTGTAAACAAACGCGGACATGGAGGCCCGCTTCTTCCCGCTGGCGCTGCTCGCCGGCGCGCTGTGTTCGTGTCGGGGCTACACCCTGAGGACCTCGGTGTCCTGGGTCGTCTCCTCCAACGACGCGGCGGAGGACGCCGACCTGTCCGAGGAGGCTGCCCCGGCGCTGCTGGTGGACAACGCCGGCGGGCTGTGGAAGCAGGCGCATCCGTCCTCCGACGTCCCCGGGGACGGCGCCGTGAGCCCCGCGGGGCGGGCGGAGCCGGAGGACGGCAGCGTGGCGCAGCTTTCGTCGCGCTTGTTCTCGTATCGGCTGGAAAAGGCCGAGAAGTCCGGCCCTCCCCCGCACCAGGAGACCGCCAGGACGGCCAGATACATCGCCCACAGCAGCGACTGGGGCCACCTGGCCACCATCTCCACCCAAGACAAGGTGAGACACCGCGTGAGACGCATTAACGTGTGAGCACGAGCTATATGCATTCCTGTATTTAGACTACAACTATTAGCTAAGCAACACGCGTAAGCTACTCTACTAAAGGCAAGACGGAACTAAAAAGAAAGAAAGATCTTGGAAATGCCGAGGACCCGCTTTTACATTTAGTACAATTTTGATGTTTACTTAAGTATTTTCACTTCTACACTGATTTTACCAAACAACTTTCAAGTCAGCAATTCATAATCTGTGAGTCATTATTAAAGATTTGAAGCCCTGCGAACCTGCTCATTGGTTTTCAGTTATTTGGAATTGTGCAAAGCAGAGGAGGATAATTTACACAAGGGGGATTGGTACTAATTACAATGACACTTTTAACTGTACAAGAAAGTCCCTGAAGTACCAATAACTTGTGTGCTCTTCACAAATTGTTTTGCAAGTAAGATGAAAACAATCATCTTTCAGGGTCCTGAGGCCCCAATAATTTAACTCTCTAAAATGTCCCATTCTGCATAATGAGTGCTTCAGCTTTAGATCATTTAGCTGGTTACGCTTTTAGTCTGAATTTTGAAGGGTAAACTTTTAGTTGTAACAGACATTGTCCTTGTATTCTAACTAAAGGAGCGAAATATTCACTAGGGTTAAACGAGTAGGCCTACTTGTAACCTTAGATTGCACACACATTGTGGTTTATCTAGAATTTAACTGATATGGATTATGCATATGTCTCTTACCACAGGCTGTTTATTAATATCAACAGATCAAAGGTCTCCCTTTTGGCAATATCTTCTCAGTCAGTGATGGGCCGCAGGATAACGGCACAGGAGTCATCTATTTCTATGTGACTCCGATGGACTACACTGTGTCTGACCTGAAAAGTAACCCCTATGCTTCACTCACCTTCTCTGAGGCTGAAGGTGAATTCTGCAGGTAAGCCCAGCTTTGTAATAGTTTTCCGTACTTAAATACCACCTGGTGCCAAAGTTCTGTGTGCTAAACAAAAATAATTTGGGGACTATGTAACAAAGCAAAAAAGTGTAACCAATGAGGGTATTCAAACTAACTTAAAAGCGGAGCCCTTTTCAAGACCGATAGTAAAACAGAACCCAACCTGAAGAACTTCAGCTTGTCAGTTGGCAGCTTTAACATGTTCGAACAACTTATCAATCAAATAAGTAAAAACCAGTTGACACATCTTTGTGGGCCCATCATTGGCAGCTTGTGATCCAAAATTCTCTGAATTCTATGACTAGACACGGTGTGTGGTTGCGGGTGCATATGTGTGTTTCCGTTAGATAACAGTCTTCTGCGTTTCAAGGCAAATGGTGTACGACCCGGAAGATCCAAGATGTGCTCGACTCACACTAACGGGCAAGATGGTGGAGGTGGCATCGGAGGAGCTTGGGTTTGCAAAACAGGCCATGTTCTCAAGGTAGCTTGGCTAAGGGAAGATTTTTGCAGTGTATAAATGCATGTCATGCTCCTTCAACCCTGATGATAAGCTAACAACAAAATGTCCATGTGCGACTATTTTTATTTCTGTAGACATCCTGTGATGGCAAAGTGGCCAGTGGGGCACAAGTGGTTCTTCATGAAGATGGAGTTGATCCAGGTTTGGCTGCAGGACTGGATCGGTGGAGTATCGCTCATTCCGCTGGAGGACTACTTCAAAGCAACGCCTTTCTGAGAACACCTCTCCCTCTGCAACGCGCCAGCCAGCACACATCTCTTCAGCTGTCTACACCACAGACTCTGATGGAAAAGAATTAGCCAAAACAGCCTTTTGCAATTGCAAATTATTTGCATACTGTTGCTATTTTAAAAAAAGGTGTACATTCTTCACGGTTGTATATTCTTCACGGGTAGATCTGTTTAGTAGCTGTCATGGAGCTTTCAAACAATAAATGTACCTTAAAGTGAGATTATTCAGTTATTTTGAAAATCACTGATTAACTTTGTACCCTGATAAGCGACATACTTTGACATTATTATTAGTAATAATATTATGTTTGCCTGCTGATAGTGTTGTCTCAGTCATAAAATGGTTTTCAGCGTTTTCTTCCGTAGGAAAAAACAATCTAATCTATAAGGATGTATTATTCGACCGTGTCAATGAGTAAGTTTGATAAAGTTTTTTGTTTTACCAACTCACTGGATGTGACATTGGTAGCATGTATGCTAACATTAATAACTTAAAGGAACACATTCTGATTTGCAATCATCTCGCATGTGAAAGGAAGATGCATTGGTAATGAATATGAAAATAGTATTAAATAGTTAGGGCAGTTTATTGCCCCTGATGGTTTTGAAATTCGTGTTGGATGAAACAAAGATGCATATTCCATCGACATTGACGCAGTTTGCGGACCCGGCCACTAGATGAAGCGCTTTCCTAATAATGAAGATCCGTTGCTGAGGTTAACGTTATATTTAAGGACGTGACACTATTCGTCAGATTTCTGTGCAGAACGCTCGCGCGCCCGTTGCCAAATATCGCGCGACTACGCGGCTCATTCCGTTAAACGTGCCGCCGCCGTGTGAACGGAATGAAGCCGCGTGCCCCGTTACCGCAAAAGCCACCGCAGACAAAGAAAGCGGGGATGCCCTTAACGGAGAAGAAGCCAGGAGTGAACGCCTCGCGGTTGCTGCGTTGACGCGGGACCCTCGGGGGACCGGACCCGACCGCGCGCGCTGCTCGCTCATTTAAATAAAGTCATCTGTTGCCAGTCGAACCCCCGAAGAAGCGCCGTCAGACGCGATTCGAGGCGTTGCCCTTCGGACGCCGTCAGAGAGCCGCCAGCCTATCCGCGAGCATCCACCGTTACACACTGGAAATGCCCTCCACTCGCGACGACTGACGACTGCCCGTACGAAACAATTGCCATGGGTCGCGTCGGCAGCTAGCTAGCTAGTTTCCCCTCCAACGACCATGTTGTCGCGGAAGGCGGTTGACTTGTGACCGTTTGAGGAGCGGCACGAGAGGAGCCAGTCCAACGACGAGACCCGCCGAGAGCGAGGGGTGTTTCCCAGCAGAAGTCCCCGATCCATCCGGCTAACTACAGGCTTTTATCCTTATTCTTAGTATTTTACCGTTTCACGCCTCCCCCCGTCTCCCGAGCCAGTCTCAACCCCACTGAAGACGGAGCGAGAAGGAGGGAGGCAGCGGCCGCTCCGGGGTCCCCCGAGTAGAGGCAGCCGAGGAGAGGCTTCGCTGAAATGAGATGAGGCTCAGAAATGGAACTGTGGCCACTGCGATTATTTTCTTCACGTCCTTCCTCAGCCTGTCGTGGTACACAGCGTGGCAGAATGGCAAAGGTGAGGTCCGACACGTCTTGTCGTCACACGTTGTTTGTTTTGTTATTTAGAAGAAGAAGCGACATCCGGAGGGGCCTCGAGGGAGTCAACACTTCCCTCAAATCGGTCCTCAACTTCACCAAGTTGGGTTATATTCTATGGTCACCTTGCAATACATTGATATAGCTACAATATATTCGACCAGCCCTCGCTGCGTTTTCCTTGTTGCCTCAATTAGGAGACAGTTGATGAAGATGAGAAGGGATCGATTAACTACTGTGGATGTTAATAGATCTGGCCTCCCTACGTCACTCGCAGGTAGTTCAGCAGGTACCTACGGTACAGGTCAAAGGTTGGATATAATAAACTGTTCGATGTTCACACGATTCTTGACGCTACACTCTTATTTTTCTTGTGATATGATGTACCAATGGTATTTTCGTAATGGAGATTGATGCTGATGTTTGTGGCGATTTACTTTCCCAAAGAGCCATTTACCCGTGTGGCATCACATCACGTATGTCCGTCACAATCACATCAAAACGAGAGAAGAGTCGAGCCTAATCCGGACCAACGAGCCTCACTGTGTGGAATACCGTTATGATGACAGATTATTTTTTTTACAGCGTAAATTTCGATTAGTCCTTTTAACGATGTGACAGGGGAAACCGCAGCAATGTTGATTTACTAGTTTGTCTTGTGTGTCTTGTGAGGCGTCAAGTGACGTCACTTGTCTGCCTCACCCACAATCGTCAACCACTTCACCGCATTCATACATTGCACAATGGGTGCCTATTTACGATCACCCTCCCTGGTGTCCTATCTTCACATGCATGTATTTTCTAAGTGCATATTTTATCCCACACGGTTCTGTTCCCTTCCTACCTCCATCAGTAAGGGAGGCGGCACAGTGTGCAACACGCCCCGAGAAAGCCATTCAATTCCACATCTGTAATCTGATAAATGTGTTTATATAGTTTATCAAACATTGAGGCTCCATTACACCGGTTCCTGTGGCACACAACGGGCAGAGTGCCGGCTCGCCCGGGTCGACCCAATCCTAGTGGGAGAGGCTATTGGCTCTAGTTGTTTGTTATCAGCAGAGTGTAAATAATTGCAGTCTTTAGATAAATTCCAAGGCAAGTGAGGCTTTATCGCTCTAGAGCTCATCAGCTTGATGAAATATTTTTTTTTATTTTTTAAATGGAGCCCAGTGATCCCCACTCGAGCGCGCCGATGAAATGACTTGCACTAAGCCAAGGCCAAGTGACGATGACCTCTTTGTGCTTCACCTGTTGTGATCTGTTCCAAATCTGTTGTCAGAGCAGCGATATTTAACGCATTTTGCCGGTTCGTCCACTTTGTTTTTTTTGAACTCTCAGTGGTCAGTTAGTCGATAATATTGGCATATGGTGAAATGTACCACTTTATGCTGTTCGGACATGCGTGTCATTGAATCGTCAAAGATGGTGACAGGGTGATTTTTATTGCAGAAATGTGGTCTTCTAGTGGGACAAAGGGTGTACATATTTTGAGCTGTTGTATTGATGTTTTGCTGAAAGCCATAACCGTGTGACAATGAGACTGCATTCACAAAACCAGTACACCTGGATGTTATTTACACCTGTGCTTTTTCTACTGCGACGTGTTGAAATGTCTTCAGTGGAAAAAGTACTGGTCTGTATTCGTGGCATAGTGAGCTCAACCCACTGCACCTGTCACGCAAGCAGGTGAATGTCACTGGACGTCCCAGTAGGGGATTCAACCAGTTATTAACAGATGGAGAACACACAACCCTTAAGAACACCTCTGTATTTGCGTGTGGGCTGCCTCTGTGTGTTTAGTTTAAACAACATATTTTCTCATTCAAACAGGAACGGCATAAAGAAACGTGCTGCAAAAAGTCATACACAAACACAACATGACATTCAACACAATAGAAGCTCCCTTTTTGGAAAGGGCAAACGTACGGGGTGTGGTTGAGCAGCAATGACCAGTGTTGGGAGTAACGCATTACTGTAATTCCACTACTTTTAGCGGTAACGAGCATGTGACAAAGTCTTTTTTTAAATAAATTAACGCAGTTACAATTGCTGAGATTGAAATGAGTTCGTTACTCGCGTTACTCTCTTTTGTGACGCGAAGCGGAGGGCCGGCAAATAGTAAGTAAATAGCTGCCTGTCAGCACTAAATAGTTGTGGCCCCCAAACGTTGTGTGTCAAGAATAGTCGCCGTACGTGCATGTAAACAGCATCGCGTCGCTCATGACGAAAGACCGCATGCCCGCGGATGCTGCAGGCGCCGCTCCACGCAAACAACCACGGCTCCACTTTACACGGACTGCAGTGCAGCTGATAAACTATACTATAACTGAACTATAATATTCATTACATTTAAAAAGCAGACATAAAAGTAACTTAAGTCACTTTCCAGCGTAACTAATTAATTTTGATACACAGTAACTGGGAAGTAATTCAATTACCTTTTAAAAGAAGTAACTAGTAACTGTAACTAAATACTCATTTTCAGTAACTTGCCCAACACTGGCAATGACGATCTCTTTTGGGCCTGGAGTATTATTTTACACCCTATACTCTGTGGACAACCGTTTTTGTACAGGCCACTGACACAAATGTCTCCTTTACTGTAAAGTTGCATTCTGTTTGCACAACGCTGAGCTGCCTTTTCTGTTTACTTACACGTTTGCAGGAAATGACTCTGTACCTTTTTTGACCGATTTCTGTACTTACATCAGAGTACACAGAACTTGAATTAGTGCGTGGGATTTTTCTTTGCCCTTTTTTTAATTGCACAGGCTCCTCGCCAATCTGTGTTGTTTGTTGTTATCTTATTACGAGATGTTTGAAAACGGCGTGTCTCTTTCTGTTTCCACATACAAGGTTCTTTTTGCGTTCCATATCTTTTCTACCTGCGGCCATAAGTGGCTTCTCCTCTTGACGCTCGCTGTGGGTGTTATGAAGATGAGGCATTTCACAACCTGCTTCCGTCTTCCACAGAACACGATCTGTGCTCTTGGCTGTATCGCACCATTCACTTCCTGTCACCGATACAACCGCTGTTTCCGGTTTCTTAAGTACATTTTCCTTTTGCCTACCCCTTCTGCTTGCGTCTTGTTCCTGGCCTGTGGTCTGCGAGGGGAGCTCTGCCAGTCAGCTGTACAAACACTCTGCAGGATGCGTACTTCTCTGTGAGAGGCCGCTCTCTGCTATCTGCCGGCGCTACATCTCAAACAGACTTTAACAATATTGGTTTTAACGCAGGATAGAAGTGAATAATAACGCAGGGGTTCAGGATGTTGGTATATAGGACGACAGTGCAATAATTCCTTTTTATGACATGTTGTTTTAGGACCAGGACATCTACGAGATGGGCCTCCTGATGATGAGGTTGGTGACACAGCAAACATGCATTTATAGCCTCCTGGTTTGTCGCCAACCTCATGTGAAGAAAATGTTTCTCTGCTAGCCTCAACATTCTGTCAATACCTCAAGTTGCTTTTCAGGATTGTTTGTTTCCATGTATTTTCTTTCTCCTTATTGCATTAGATTTTTACTCTCGTGCACCCCAGAGGGACCCGCACCACACTTTGGGAATCCTTAGTGCCTCCACTTTTTGAAAAAATGACTTTCTATTTCTCCATAGCTTGGGCCCCTGCACTCCTCCTCCACTGTGGTACAAGGCGTGCCTTTTCATACAATGGGCCTAAAATAGCACAAGTGATGGCAGGCACAAGGGGCCGAGTAAGCTAGCAGATAACGTAAGGCACTGGGTCAGATACATGCTTAATTAGTTAGAATGAAAGAGAATCTGGTTGGCACATTGGGGTTTCTCATTCTATGGTATATGATTGTATATAATGTATATAGAATAAGATAATCCGTACAGGATCACATCAGCAAAGTGCACACAGAGACTAGATCAAAACCGTTATCGTAATACAAAAACAAAAAAACATTACTGAAATGAAATATACAGAAATATGAAATAGTACAGACAGATATATGTAGAGAATAATATTTAAGTATGTATCCCATATGTGTATGTGCATTCAGTGTGTGCGCACTGTGAGGTACGGTAACTCCTGAGTGGCCTGGAGGGCCGAAGAGAGTAGAGAGGCCGTCTTAAGATAGAGAGGACGAGAAGAGCCCTAGATGGGATGTATGGGAGAGAAAGGATGGCAGTATGTTATTCTTTTCAGTATTTTGTTCCGTAGACACACACGCACACCTCTCTTTACCTCAGACAGCCCATACTGTGTCCAAACAGGAACAGGCGTCTTCTGCCGATAGTGAGTTATCAATCATCGTTGTTTCCCTCCACGTGCTTCTGCTCTCTTCCTGGATCTATTCATGCATGTTCCTTTCTTCTTTCTGGACCGAATTTGGCGCCGTCAAAAAGCAGCGGGGAGCTTATTGTAATCACAGCAAGCGGAGGAAGAAGAGTGGGTGTAGGTCAGAGGGAACAATGAGCCCAATATTAGGTGGCAGAATTAAGACTCTGGTTTGGAAAGTTAACTTTCTGATACTGTATACATCATAACCCTTTGGCTTTTTAATGTTAAAGGTGAAATGCTCGTGGTGTATTGCTAAGAAAAGAAAAGTGACAGGTTGAGACAGAGGTGTGAAGTTTCTCTTTCTGCAAACTACACAAAAGCGTTCAGGGAGTATCACTCGCCAACTCGTGGATCGACTTGCACCTCTCCTTTGGAAAGTACCACCAAAAATCCATACTGCTACTCTGTGTGTTTTGCTCTGTGTGAAGGAAAATATTGCATGACTTGAACCCAGTGAGCATAACTTTTAGCACATGGATAAGATATTTGTTTACTCTTGGATAAGACTGCAGTATTTTTTGACTTAAATTTGACTGTGGCCAGAGATCAAAACCTCTGTGGTGTGCTTGTGTCTGTTGGAAGTCATAATGGTTTAACAATCCAGCCAAATCTGTAAATAGGAGCAAAACCAACTTGTTAGAACTATTCCTGTTTTTTATTCAATGAACCTCAAATTTGTGTTCGGCACCATCTGCCCTATTTGAGCGATAACGGCCTGGTTAAATGCCTTGTGTTGCTCACAGCAGCTGCAGGGAAGAACCACACGGCGAGCAGGTGCACCACTTCATGGTGCTCATACATGCATAATACATGGGGACATGTTTTGCATACGGGCGTCTTCTTCATAGTTTGTCTGGCAGGTGGAATCCTGCACTAGTTTAAGTTTCTTTATCCGGCAAACAAGCAGAGGCTCGGGATGAATGGAATTCACGGCTAGAATGGAATTAGTTGTTGTTTCATTTTTTGTGTAAAATGTTCTACATACTATAGCCACAATGTTTTTTATTACATATTTCAGACGAAAATTTGCAACAAAAGAAAAGTTGCAAGGTTAAATACCAAACAAACTAAACTACCAATAGAAACTAAATGTTGTGAATGCAAAAGACCAGGAGTCAGCAAATGATTAGATTACGCTTTTTTTCTTCATCTCTGCTCATTGGCCAGCACACACTCTATTATTTATTTTTTTGTTCATATAGTCTTTGCTGTAGTAATTCGGGCAGTCCTATTTTTGGAGGGAAAACTTGCTGTTGCAACAACCATAAAAAAACAGTATGCTGCGAGTCCAGGGCTCTCAAGTGTCACGCATTTCGCTCTTTAGACACGCACTCACGCTAAACAAGTCCTTCATCAGCACTTTTGATGAGCTAATGCGTTGACTCTTTGCACCCTGACGGGTTGGATTCATGTAAACTTTGAATCCAACCCATCAGGGCGGGAAGTATCTACATTCTTGGGTATTTCTTCTCATTCTTTGTTCTCTTCTGGGAAGTTAAGACGTGGCCTGTGGATTGATCTATGTCGTTGTGCTCGACACCTACGCCCCTTTTTTCTGAGAAAGAAACCCCTGTGTGTTTTATTTTTTGTTTTTCATTTTAGTTTCATATTTGATCTCTCCATCCATTTTGTGAGGTGATGCAATTCATAATGCCGTGACTGCTCTCTACATGAGTGGTGTTTCATCATTTGCTCTATTTTTAAGGCCTTTTTTATTTTTCGCAGAATTAAAAGGGTGTGTGTGGCTAGAAAGTCAAACATTGAAATGTGCTAAGCATTAAATTGAGTGGCTGAGACGTGATTTTAGGAAAAGATGTTTTTAAGCCTGCCTCAGAGAAGAAGCACAGCCACTCGGCCCTTCCCCCCACAGCGTATGCTTCTTCAAAGGAGAATAATAAGATTGTATAAATGTACTCCAGATCTCAAGTAATTGTTTAATGCATACTTTGTTCCCATTTAGTAGCCCAGTGGCTGTAAACCAGTAGAGGAGGTTCCTCAAACTATTAGTTCATACAAAATCAATTTGCTGTTGTTAGGACTTTAATTGGGTAAAAACCAAACCCCTGCTTTCATGTCCAAGTACGTAAGGACAGAGCTCTGAACCCGGCTTGTAGGAAGGTACAGGTACTTCAAACCTCGTTGGACCTGACTGATGATGTGTAGCGTGGCGCTATCTAACGTGTGTGTGCAGGCGTCATTTCTGCCATACCTCTTTCTCTAATTTGAAATTATTTATTTATATATATATATATATATATATATATATATATATATATATTACATTATTACATGTCATTTAGCAGACGCTTTTATCCAAAGCGACTTACATTACACTTTAAACCCATGGCTTTTTCACATTTTTGCCCGGGGAGCAATTAGGGGTTAGGTGTCTTGCTCAGGGACACTTCGACATGGAACATGGGGCAGCCAGTAGATATATATATATATATATATATATATATAATTATATATAATATAGATAACAGAATTAATTCGGCTCTGGGATCGGCTTCTCTTTCGGCTTAGCTGGAAAAATGTCTACGTGTGGTACACTTTACGACCCTCACAGAAGTGTCTTGTTGCCATAACGGTACACAACACTCCTTGTGTTGTGTAGCACAATTTAGATTTCAGCTGTATATGCAAAGCGAAAAATGCAAAACACCTACAGTAAAGCTGATAAGAAACCACATTTGCGTCTTGTTTCTCTTCCTGTGGCGCTCTGCATGTTGTCTGTTTTTAGCCGAGTGGATCCGCAGGTGCGGTTACACATCAGCAGGCTGGAGTCCCACAATCAAAGGCCTGATGGAAAGATGAAAGTCTTGTTTTTATTCTGAAGCTGCCTTTTTTATACGAGCTTCGGTCCAAATGACAACATCTGTCTGTGTGTCTTAGAAATGAACATTTAGGAGGAACAAGGTGGTTCTGTGTGAGGGAGGGGCCGGGACAATCACTCAGTCAGAGAGCGAGTGATGGACAGAGGAAGATAAAGGGAGTCTGGGTTCTTTTGCCCTGTGGGTTTTTTTCTTAAAAGTGCACAATGAATCTACCCTCGAAGGAAGATCAGAGTGCCCGAACCTGCTTCACCTCCTGCCTCACACGCACACCGTCTTACCTTTTATGTATTTTGAAAGGCTGTACTACAAATACTGACAGTGAGGCAGGTTTGTCAACACCACACCTGTGCTTTGTTTGCTTTAAACCATTTCTCATTGTCTACCAAAATAATGAATAAAAACTTGCAAAGCAATACAATGCTTTTTTTAAAATGTATTTATTTTTATTTCCGGACTTTAAAAAAATTCATATCTGCAATAGTAACATCCAATCACTAAGCAGGTTAAATTGAACATTTGGCTTCCCAATCATCTACACAGAGAAGGCAACAGAGGACAACGGTCCAACAATCTCATAAGATGTTAGGGGAAACACTGTAGGCAATAAAACTGACTGACTAGAAAGTAGCTGCTCCTGAATGCTTCATTGTCGATGATCTCATCCTCTGTGGAAAAAACCTGATACCAAATTCTGATCAGGAAATTGAAAAAGGAGCTGTGTCCCTTCCCTCAGCAGCTTGTCTCAAAGTACTCTTCAGATCCAATGCACCGCTGCTTGAACTGGTAACCTGACCCAAAAAAGTCATTTTAGGGTGCAACCTCTGAAAAATGTAGTTGCAAAAAAACTAAACATGCATCCAAGTTAAATGGGTCTGTTGCTGGTGTGGGTCCACAATCAGGAAGTGTAAAAAAAGATTGTGAATTTCCTAGAGTTGCTTTAATAACAACAAGCTGATATACAGGATTGTCTGTCGCCACCAGTGTTTAGATATACAGTACAACCACATCCGTGCTATTGATATAATTAATTTGACAATTTCTGTCATTAAAATACCTCTCACCTGTGTTTTGTGGAGCCCTGGCAGAAGGGAGCGCGCCCCCTTAGACTCCCCGTGTAGTAATCCTCCGAGCGTCCGATCGGCTTGGTCCGTCTCTGTGGTTTTTCCCGAGTGGCTGAATTTTGCACCGTGTAGCTTAAACTAAAATCGAACCGTTTTTTATTTTACTTTAATTTTCTAAAACTTTTTGTAGATCCTGCTGACGCATCCTGCTTTTTGTTTTCCTCACAGAGAAGCTGACGGCATACCAGCGGGAGTTCCATGGCTTGAAAGAGCGCCTCCGCGTGGCCGAGCACAGGACGCTGCAGCGCTCGTCGGAGCTCAACAACATCCTTGATCAGTTCAAACGGGCCATCGCCGAGACCAACAGCAGCAAAGATGCGCTCGTGAACTTCTCAGGTAACGGTAATAAAACCTTGATTTTTATTAAATCCAACCAAACTTTCACACTGTCACAGGGACGTGTCTCTGCTATTAGCGCTCCTTCTTCTGCTGCCTTTCCATCACCTCTGGCATTGGTTCAAATCAAAATGATAGAGCTTCTTTTTCTTCCCAGAATCTGAGGGTTGTCTCAGTCAACCCTCAGATTTTGATTTAGATTCCGAAATTGTTTTTGAAGGCAGCTTTACAAAAACGTTCAGATGATACCTTTCTCACATATAATGCAAACACAAAGGTAAAATTAAATTTAAATGGATTATATGAATTTGGCCCTGCATGGGGGAATCCAGTAAGAACCTGTAATCCATCCAGTGCAGCATAAGTCCCACGCATAGACTGCAGCCTGCGAGGGGTGATCATTCCTGTCATCATTTAATAAAACAGAGAAGAGGAGAAAACCCCTTTTGTTCTTACCGCGTGTCTGTTTTCAGATGAGACACAGAAACTTCTGAAGGAGCTCGCGAGAAGGAAGCCTCTCCAGGTGCCCAATATCTACCACCACCTGCCCCACCTTCTTAACAATGAGGGCAGCCTGCATCCCGCGGTGCAGGTTGGACTCGGCCGCACAGGAGGTGAGACGGGTGTACAAACACGCACACACGCAGGCAGCAGATTCCGTACAACAGTAACCTCCATGATTAATGAGTCTATTTCTTCCGAATATGCAACCTATACAACAGAGTGACTCCTCTAGAGCAGTGTTTTTCAACCAGTGTGCCGCGAGAGGCTGTCAGGTGTGCCGTGAAAAACAATTTTTTTTTACATACTGTCACTTCATTGGTGAAAAAAAAAAAAGAGCCAACTTGTGTGTTAGTGTGTGTGTGTCGTCGCGCTGTTGGTGGTATTTTATCAAATCATGGTTTTTGTTGAAGACGACCTAGAGAGTCACGTTTTTTATTTATTTGTTTATTTATTTATTACCCCGTGCATCGCCACTGCTGCTTTTTATCGCGGACACATTTGTCCCGTATTTTCCTCCACAACTTTGTGCACCTCTCGACCGGCGTTTGCGGCGATCTCCCTCCGTGAATCCAACCCGCTTCTACAACCCGCCAATGGCGGCGTGTATAAGCGGTCATATTTACACATTTCTTCCGACAAAATTTCTTAAATCTGCTCCGTTCTCTTGTAAACATTCTTCGTTTTAATAATGCCGGTATCGGGCTATGAAAGCGGAAATGTGAGACTCCGTAAAGTTAGCGGACCAATCGCAGGCTGATGCGCTGCGGGAGGCTTGCGTTGCTTTTGACGCAAGCCTAGAAAATGGCTCGACGCACGCAAAGACGCAAGGAGATTTTCATATCATTTCCGGTTGTTGGTGTGCCGTGAGATTTTTTTCTGTGTCTTAAGTGTGCCTTGACGCAAAACAGGTTGAAAAACACTGCTCTAGAGAGAGTTACTGCACCGGGGGAGAGAGTCATGTCTCAACAAGTTTTCCACTGGTGACTTGTTCACAACACGTATCCCCTGTGGTCGGAGCGTCGCAATAGGGTCATTGTAGAAGATTTTGTAGGGTGTAATTTCCTTTTTCTTTAGTGAGCTATACATCCTGTCTCCTTGCTGGATCACACAGAGGCTTTCCTCCTTCTGTCACAGCTCCATCTTACTTTGTATTCAGGACGTGTGCTAGCACTTAGCGTTCAAATGCTTTTCTGTAGTTTTATTGTATCCGAGGCACAATGACCTTTTTAGAAGAAGCGCCGTACAAAGGTTTACGTTAGGAGACACTGAAAGCTGAAGTCTTTGAAATAAATATTTAGCTCTTTTTATACAAATTTGTTGTTTAAGGGTTTGCTGTTATAGGCGTCTTCCATTCCTTTGACCTCTGCCATATCAAGTTCTCTCTAAGAGGATTACTTATCTGGCCTTGGAATTGTGATAGGAGGAGTGAATTTACGCCAAGGGTTTAGGGTCTAACCCGCTCAAGTGGCGTTTCCACATTCCTAATGACAATGATCTGTGGGAAGAACGGAGGCGGCCCAGGTAAATTCAATGAATGAAAGGAAGGCGAGGCCGGTCAGGAGCAAACAGGAGTTCCTTGTCCCTGGCCCGAAGCGAGTGCGCGCTATTGTTCCCAAAGCCAACACAAAAGGAAATGCAGGGCCTGTCATTAGCAGCTCTTAGCCATTGCAAGTCCGTCTTGTTGAATAACACGTGGGCAGCCACTTGTTGCCTTTAAGACTATTTTTCCTTCTCTAGAGAGTCCAGCACTGGGAATGCGGAATTTGTTGCTTTTTTTTCCCACCAGCTTCCTGACACAAAAACTGTCAGTTGGGTTCACTTGAATGCACAATCAAGCAGGTGCTGACTGGATATCCGCCGTGGTTTAGCTTCCCTTTTTTATCCTGTTACTCATGTTTTCATTGTTGTCTACCTATGTATCTTGTGTTTCTATACGTCCCCCACACCCTTGTTTCACAACCGGTCTAAGCATATCTGACATTGGGTTATTTATAGCTGTGCAAATTAGAACATCCAATCTCTTTTAGATTGAACAAGGATTACGTGAGTAACGGTTTGGATAACCCATGGGAACGGGCGGTTGGAGGGGGGCCTGACTGAAGCCCCTTTTAGACGGAAACCCACAAAAGACCACTATTGCAAATGCAGTCTTGCTTGTTCCAAACATACGTACGGCCTTCAGCAAGCCGCCAGCTTGCTAACACAGGCCATTTTGCACACAGGGGGTACTTATGCTGTTGCCAAGCAGCTGCAGCATTTTGTTTTTTACACAAGCCAGTTATTTAACATGTCACAAGCTACAGTTGAAGATCTCTCTTTTTATTTGGAATCCGTCGTGCTGCTGGTTCTTGTGTGGTGCCTTAAGCAAAATGAAGACCAGGGTTGAGCAACCACATTAGTGCATATGCTGTTTATAAAGTGTCTGGTTAGTAATTTTGCCATGTTAATGTTGCCTATACGTTACATTATGATACCCATTGAAGTTAAGTATGATCTCCATTTACATTAAAATGTCACAGATCTGACATTTCATATACACTCACGGGCCACTTTATTAGGTACAACTTGCTAGTGAAAAGTTGGACCGGCCTTTTGCCTACACAACGTCTTTGTGGCTTACTTTCAACTTTACAAATCAATGTTTCCTGTGTCTGAAAAATCTTGCATCTTTTTGTACAACCTATATAAGGGGAAGTGAGAGCGCACTTCTACCACGCCCCGGGTGTTTGAGATTCCCTTTATCAAACAAACCTCTTTCTTTGTTCGATAGATAAGAGACTATAAATTTAGCATGTACTAACAATTTTCGCAAAAAGGAAAGGATTTTTATTTGATTTTGACCCACTCTGGGATCATGTTTACACGCACACAGTGTGCGTCGGGCTTTGTAAGAGCACGACAGTAAAAACCATCTATCTTAAAATACAGCACCCAAAGTATTCTGGAAGCGGCCAGAAAGTTTCAGTGATCGTAAGTCTGACTAACGGATGAAGTAGGAGAATTTAGCAGAGCTTCTGGCTCCGAGGCCAGCGCTTAGTGTCAGCTAGAGGAGAGGCAGAGAAAACACACAAACATCCCAATGACAGTAAAAATAAATACAGGTAGGGTTGGGTCTCTGTAAACACAGATGCTTTCTTTGGGTGATGATTTAGAGGGATTCTTTTTATATGACTATATACACACTGTTTGCGAGAAAACCTTTTAACCGATAGTTCAAAAGAGAACGCTTCAGCTTAAGCGGATTCATTTAATCTCAAAAGCAAACATGTTACATTAAATTCAATAAATGAAATGAATAGAATTTTTTTTAAATACTTTTATAGGTTAATTGTGGGTGTTATTTGATGGCATCCTTCCCACTTCAGAGCAATGACCTTGTATCGTCAGTGGCTTCTTCCTTTGATACAAACTGGAGCCCTAAATATCAGGAAAACCATCACATGCTAGTTTAAGCAAACAATCAAGCACCTTAAATGTTTTTGCTGATAAGATGGAGACTCAACAGAAATGCAGATTGCTGTTTTGTTTCCTCTGAAGGACATAAAAAGGTCGTCTGAGTGCAGCGACAAGGCCGATCGAGGGACACGGGAAGGGGCCGTGTTTGAGTTGGCCCTTCCCTTCTCTGCATTTTCACGCATTGCCGCTCTTTCACTGTCTGCCATCTTCCCTTATTCTGTCGCTCTCCGTCTCTCTTCCTTCCTCCCACACGGCCCTTTCATCCCCGACCTACTTTTTTGCTCGCTATACGACACGGAGCTTAGCGCTAGAAACACAAAGCAAAACTGGGACAGATTCTCCACGCCGCACCGATCACTCTGCCCCCTTGCTCGAGTCCACTGCGCTGCTCACCCATTCTGCACCTCGGGTTTGTGCCCCCACATCAGCTCAGTCAGCATGTTCCCACTTTGTAAACTCTGAAACACACACATATGAACGCATTGACCTGGATCCATAAACTTTACAACTATAACTATTCCTATAAAGCAAGATGTCTGTGAACGCCATTGCACATTCATGCAAAATTAGATTCAGAATCACCACCTGTTTTGAAAGCAGAACTGGGCAAAGTAAAACACACACACACACACATACCGAGGAAGAGAAAGCACACAGGCTCGTAGTCAAACAATCTGAACAATCTTTATACCGTTGAAGAAACCCCACACTCATTGCATTGTAGTTGCTCGGCTCGCTCATCCCCTCACTTTCCCTGGTGAAAGTGATCCTTGTATCCTAGTGAATAAAAGGAAGTCCTTTTGTGTCTGCAACAGTCTGTGACTCTCTCTACCCCAAAGAGGCTGTCTGTTTGTCCTCTACCAGGGATGACAATAGTCACTCTTTCCAAGTCCTATTGTTGTCTCCTAGGCTCCATGTATGAAATGAGTTGGTTTTGCGTCTCACAGAGTAACAATATAATCTTGATTAGAGATCAATTCTCTCCTCTAGTTTCTCCTTGCGCTTGTGCTGTTTGCTCTGCTGGTAGAACAAGCTCATGAAGTAATTTAGCAATGTGTTGCAGATCTATAGATCTGAAGTCCAAATATTATTGGCTTTTTGTAATGATCCATTGACTCTTTTTTTTCACATAGATGGTGTATTATTGTAGCTTAAAGACACTTCTTTAATAACACGCCCCATGTTTGTGCATATTCATATCACTATCTGTCAGTGGGAAAGATGACCGATAGGCATGGATTTCTGCTCTTATGGATTTTGTCAGACTTATAACGAGCAACAATTATTTGGTTTTTAAATCGGCACCTTTTGCAGCCTTTGTATTTTCTGTTCTAACCTCAGACTTCCTCCTCAGTTACCATGGTGATGGGGATCCCCACAGTGAGGCGGAAAGTGAAGTCTTATCTGTCAGAGACGCTGCGTTCGCTCATAGACAAGCTGTCACCAGAGGAGAAACTTGACTGCGTCATTATAGTCTACGTTGGGGAGGTGAGACCGCACGATGCTTCTGCACAAGGACGTAAGAACTGCTGGGAAAAGGTCTGACGAGTTTTCCTTGTTTTGTCTCCGCAGACTGACGTGGACTACGTTCACAGCGTGGTTGCTGGTCTGGAGAAAGAGTGAGTTCATGCGTTTCCTTCCGTACAGAAAGGCAATCCTCAGCAGTGCGAACGCACAAACCTGGTCTTAAAGCGTGTGCTCATCCCATTTTTTTTGCCTAAATTTGTTTGTACTTTACAAACAAGCTTGTCTCACACTGTGCATACACAAATGAGGCCCACCTGTCTTAGCATGGTCTATCTGTCCTATCTGGTCTCTAAGGAGCTTCTACCCACACCACCAATTTCTAGGGCCACGGAATGTTGGATGTTTAGCTAAGGTTAATCAGTAACCAACCGGTTAGTTGGTATCCTATAAACAGGCATCCAGGGCATTTCTCTGATTCCAGCTGAGCTCCAAGCAGGTGTTAACGTGGCATATCTAGCCAAACTGGATGATGTACAAGGCTCATCTTTTGTTTTGCCATCATCACAAATGAGGAAGCCCCCAGGGAGAGTGACCCACATTAGCACAGCGGTAACAATAGCATCGAAATGACCTGTAATGAATTTTATGGTGACATTAAATGCAGAAAACCTTTTTTGGGCGCAATTTGAGAACATTTCTACACACTGTATCTGTGACTGAGTGAGAGTGGAAGGATGTGGTTGTGTGCTTCACCATATCAACATGACACTCTATCCTCAGGTTTTCTACGGAGCTGACTTCAGGCCTGCTGGAGGTGATCTCCCCGCCAGCTGCCTATTACCCCGAACTCGCCAACCTCAAAGAGACTTTTGGAGACTCCAAAGAGCGAGTCAAGTAAGCGTGATGTAGCTAAGCCATCTGTATGTTTACTGCTCTGACGTCCATTCGGATTCAAATGCGATAAAACATCATTATGGTTATGGAGGTGAAACTACTCCGGAGAGAAAATAAATGCAGGAGCGCTGTGCAGAAGGATGAGTCAGGGGGGAAGTGGGAGGCGGTGAGCAGGCAAGAGCTTTTAGGTAGGCTGACTAGGTACTTAGTATTCCACAGGCATTTCTCAAAGTCAGATCAAGGTCATCAGCAGCAGCCTGTATCTCTTTCTCTCTGTAGTGCTCCCTCCAGTTATCCTCTGTACTAACTACTCGTTAGAAGTAGCTGACTGCTGGCTTCATTAGAAATCAGTTGATGTTGTATTTTTTGCTTCCTACTTTCAGTACGTGCTGTGCTAACACCCTTTAGACACAGAGGATTCTATTACTGTTTGTGGGTGTTTGGGAGTGTAGATGTTTGTCCATGATCATATCTGTATTATAATCATCTCACGCACACACACACACACACACACAACCCCCAGGCTGAGTGTAAGTGCATTTGTTTGCACACCTGTTGAGTTTCCAAAAGCATCTGATGCTCAGTGTACCTGGCAATTCCTCATTTGCACAATTTACCTTTCCACGTGTGAAGCTGTGTGTCTTCATCAAAGAGGGAAACTTTTAAGTTGGGGGATTTGACTTTTCCTTACTCTGTAGTTTCATGTGTGTCAATGGCTTCTTTCTCTTTTAGATGGCGAACCAAGCAGAATCTGGACTATTCCTTCCTGATGATGTATGCTGTGAGCAAAGGAGTTTATTATGTCCAGGTATGCCCTCAGATAGATGAGTGAATTGATTCCATAGCAACTTGTTGGGGTACATTTTAGGAATGCCTCAGTGTCTGTTACAAAGCTGGTCAGGTGCAAAACCTATTAAGTGTTTGCTTTTAGGCTCTGTCATAAGACATGTCTGTCGTAAGACTTCCTCTGCTCTTATCGGTCTTCTTATCTAAACTAGGCTTCCAATTTGAGAATGTTTCTATAAAAGCCTTCATTACTTTCACTGTATTTTTAATCACCATCATTCGGTCATGTCATTTCCATTTGTTGCTCTCACCTGCAGGGAAGAGGTACTGTCTGTCTTGCATGTACTCTGAGCTAGTTTGGCGACATAGAAGTGCTTCTTAGCTCGGTTCTGAATGCAGTCCCTGAGTGAACGTAGAGGAGTCTCCCATCCGCCCCTCACCCGCTCATTCCTCAACTCTTAAGGCATTTTTCATGTCTGTCTGTGCCCTTGTTCCTTCAGCTGGAGGATGACATTGTGGCCAAGCCCAACTACTTTGCCACGATGAAGAACTTTGCCTTGCAGCTCTCGTCGGAGGACTGGATGATCCTGGAGTTCTCTCAGCTGGGCTTCATTGGTACAATACATAAAGCATGTGATTATTACTTTGTATTCGGGCTGTCAAAATTAACGCGTTAATGTATGCAATTATTGTGGCCGAGATTAATGAAAAAAAACAACCTTCATTTTAACACCTTTGACGCAGTCAATGAGATCAGAGAGACCGAGACGGTAGTTGAGAATGGAGAGCGCTTTTTGCATTTGAAGTAAAACAAACCGAGGCGAGACATACAGCAGAGAACTGTGCAGAGGAATTCCTCCACGTGTCAAACAGAAGGGGGGGGGAGTGGCCAACGGACCACTTTAGGCACCGCTAGGCTAACTAGCTGCTAGGCTACTTCCATGTCAAGGTCTACCCTAAAACTGCATGATGAAAAATAGAGGGAGAAAACTGTGGTCCTCCACGACACAGTCTGCAGAGGACCACCACTGTTTCCCTAAAAGACGGGGGCTTGGACAAAGGTCCTGGCTAAATGTTGGGAGTGTTGGCGCTTCAAACACAGCCGGTCAAATAATGGAGAGTTGAGAGCAAAGTGCACGAGGACGGCAGGAAGAGTAGCTAGTTGAACATGTTCCACCCGGTGGGATTCTGCTTTGGAGATAAACAAATGTGTGTAGTTTTGTGTTTAAAAAAAAATACAATTCAACAACCGTGTCTAAAATACCCGTTACTCATTACTTATAAAATGTTGTCTTCAGAAGAAAAAATAACTTTTAATCACAATTATTTTCAAAATGGGAGATTAGTTTATTTTTGTACTCTTACTTACTTAATTGCCCTTCTCTGTATCCACTGGAGGTCTGTCAAATGATACAAAAACTGCAAAGTCACCCGCTTGGCAAAGCATTCACACGCTGTGACATGTTGGATTTCTGATAAACAGTAAATTGCACCATTGATTTGCAGCAGCGAGTACAGATAGCCATTATATTGATGGACCTAGAGTCATTGAAAAGTAACAGTTTAAGCACATCACTACACCATGAAAATGAGGAATGAGTACAATTTTAGTGCAAGCTAAACGATAGAACAAAAAAAGCTGTTTTTGTTGAGTGTAATGGTTTAATCATCTCTCTGTCGAACCAACGAATGTCTGTAAATCCCCTGATTCTCTTTCCCACAGGAAAAATGTTCCAGGCTCCGGACTTGAACCTCATTGTTGAGTTCATTTTCATGTTCTACAAGGAGAAGCCCATTGATTGGCTGCTGGACCATATTCTCTGGGTCAAAGTCTGCAATCCTGAGAAAGATGCGGTACACATGCAAGGCGATGACTGTAGACTTGGGTGTCATTGTTAGGGGAACGAGGGTCATCATTCCTCCCTTGACTTTTTTCTTTTTCCCCTTTAAAGAAACACTGCGAGCGGCAGAAGTCCGGCCTACGGGTGCGTTTCCGACCCTCCCTGTTTCAACACGTGGGACTCCATTCTTCTCTTGCCGGAAAGATCCAAAAACTCACAGTCAGTCTCAAGGCCTCACAGTTGGTTATTCGCCACAAGGTTTTTCCTGTGTAGAAATGTTGGTTTCCCTTTCTGTTGCTGTCTGTAGGACAAGGACTTCCTGAAGCCGCTGCTCCATAAGATGCACGTCAACCCCCCGGCTGAGGTGTCCACTTCAGTGAAGGTATCCTGCCACTGAAATATATTTGATCTGGATCTTTACAGTTGGTTATCATTTCAATCTGCTGACTGGTGGGATTGTATGCACAAATTAGAGTGTATGTGTGTGTGTGTATGTATGTATGTATGTATGTATGTATGTATATGTATATATATATATATATATATATATATACACTAAGTGTATAATGCGAATTGCCTAAACATAAAGTGACACAAAGGTATGCCTGCATGTTTTAATGAGACGTGTGTCGTTGTCGTCCTTGTAGTGTATATATTAATTATTATTCCTGTCTAGAATCTAATTCACTAAAATAATAATAAGAAGCACCAATCAATTTATAAGCCCTAAAAGCAATGATAAAGGTGGAAACAAAGATGTGTTCTATGTTCCACAGGTGTATCAGGGTCACACGCTAGAGAAGACATACCTAGGAGAGGACTTCTTCTGGGCCGTCACTCCTACTGCCGGAGACTACGTCCTCTTCAAATTTGACCGACCTGTTAGCATAGAGAAGTACGTACTAAGGGCATAATGGGACTGAAGCGTCGTATTGCTTGTATTCAAATCATTTATTACATTACATTACATGTCATTTAGCGGACGCTTTTATCCAAAGCGACGTACAATAAGTGCATTCAACCATAGGGTACAAACTCAGGAGAACAAGAAACAAGAAAGTGCAACTTCCTCAAATAAGCCAATTTACAATTTGCTATAGATGAGTGACGTTACAAGTACAATTTAACTGCTACAATTTGTTAGTCTTTTAGTCGAGGTAGAGTCTGAAGAGGTGTGTCTTTAGTTTGTGGCGGAAGATGTGAAGGCTCTCTGCGGTCCTGGTGTCTTCAGAGAGCTCGTTCCACCATTTCGGTGCAAGGACAGCGAAGATGAGCATTACATTTCCACATACGGGCACATGCAAAAATTGCTTCACTTTTCATCTGCTTGTGGTGAATCAGGTTTAGCTTCAGTGCGTGTGCGTCTTCAGGGATCAGGCTGCGCTAATGAGAGTGCTCTAAAATAAGCATTCTCAGGGCCAGCCTCCTACCCTCGGTGGGGCCGGGGTAGAGTGGGAGAAAGACAGCGACTATAAAGCAAGCTGATAGCGAAATTCACAGTGTGAATCAGAGCAGACCTGAAAGGGATGCTGATATTTGGCTATAGGGATATTCATTTTATGACGAGGAATGTATCCACTGCTCTCTTAAGGATAATGTACAGTCAGCGAGAAAAGTGTGCGAGACTGTCAGTCACTCTTCTGTCTGCATTTGCATTGCACCTATTTGAACCAGTGTAATGGCGTGTTTGAGATCTTATCTCATCAGCAGTTGGTCGGGGGAGACAAAAGGCTTTATAATCTGTCACTGTCTTTGTCTCCGGCTGGCATTCTTCCCCCGTCGCCTACTCTCCGGCTGGTTAACATTTAACACAAATCCGGTAAATCCAGTGCACAGCGGTATGAAAAACCTAGTTTAGCGATAAAGTAAAGGATACACGTTCATATCTTCTTTAAACCTCGCCAGCAAAGTCCAAGCAAGACTCTGTTTAAAAAAAGACTCAAATTGGTGATTCTCAACAGGTACTGTGACGAAGAGAGAAGGTGATTGGTTTAACTACTCAGCACTATATATATGTTATATTGCATTTAGTATATATAATGTATATGGTATATCATTGTTATTATTAAATAAATATTATTATTCTTAGTATGTGTATATGTATATAAATATATATATATATACATGTTATAGGTATGTTTGCAGGGATATGCATGTGGTCTATGTTTGTTTTTGTGATTGGATATTTGTGAAGTGTATGCGTGGTATGTGGGTGTATTATGTAGTATTCTGTGTGGGTACAGGCTGAAGAGCAGTTGAAAAGGGGTGGGACATCAAATAAGTGTCATGCTTCTTCCCACTCCTTTTTTTCCGAACAGTTTTCTTTTTTCTGTTGTGTCTTAGCTCTTTGTTCTATTTTTATTTTTTTTTATAATTTGTATTTTCTTTGTGTGTACAAGTAGTAACATTTTTTCCCCTTTTTATACATGTTCGAAGAAAAAAAAAAAAAAAAAAAAAAAAAACTTGAATCCAAATCGTGACCCAAAGGAGAAAAAATAAACCTGCATGGCATTAACTGACATTCCTCAGCCGGTTAAAGCAGATTATGCACTGGAATTTGTGTTCAAAGCTTGTAGCCATAACATAAATATGAGATCTGAGATATAATAATATATATCCCACTAACTGTTAACCCCTGATATTAATGACGTTCCTGAACAAGTACACAAGAGATCAATCGCCAAACAGTAAATTGATCGTTTACATTCAACCCCATTGCATGGTCTCTATTGCACAATGCAAGAATGGGCCGCGTGCACCTGAGTGGCAGCTACAATATGGCAAAGTGCAAAAATACTTATCCATGCTCTTAAATGTTTAAATGAATGCTTGACTTGATTGGCAGGTTCCTGTTTCGTAGTGGTAATCAAGAGCACCCAGGGGACAAGATCCAGAACACCTCAGTGGAAATACTGCCTGTTTCGGTAGGGACACACACACATTCTGTCACAGGCTGTGCAAACGGTTTTGATCCAATTACATTGAGTGGTAGCTCGTAGTGACGTAGCATATTGATTTATTGACAAGAATGTGAGGGTGACAGAGTTGCTCGCTGCGCCAGAGGGGATACATTTTGACATTGTGATTTACGCTGCTAGTCGAGGCCCAGATGTTGGCGTCTGCTCATTTGAAAAATTATTCACTTCTCCCCTTTTCAATGTGTTCATATCTTAGGAACCTGGACCGCAGACCAAAGAGAAGTATAAGCGAACTGAAGACCGCTTTTACAGGATTGGTAAGTGAATTTAACTGTGTGTGCACTGAAAAGTGCATTGTGAAAAAACCCTAAGCAGCTTATACAACACGCTTCAGTCAATATTTGCATTGTTCTTCTGTTTCTGAGCTTTTTAAAAAAAATGTACCCAAATTAATTACTGGCTCTTTATTAACACACAGGTCAGTTTGAAAAGGGTGTGGCCGAAGGTGCTGTAGATCCTTCATTCAATCCCATCATAGCCCTTCGGCTTTCAGTTCTCAAAGACTCAGCGGTGTGGGCCATCCTCAGTGAAGTAAGCCAATCGCACACCATGCCCGTTCTTCTCCCCTCCAATCCAAAAAAACAAGCCAGTATCTCCAGATGCATACTGCCTCTGTTTTCATCCAGTAACCCACGTGGTGCTTCGCTTTCCTCCTGCAGATACATATAAAACGGCTAGCTGGCTGACTGTTCCGGAGCAGGCACATGGATCGTGGCCCCCGGGGGACCAAAATGTCATAGATTGATTGCGCGAGGCCTCTGGACAGCCACCAATCAGCAGTGAAGCCAGGAGAGCCCACAAGAGTTGCCCGTCTAAGGAACGCCACCTCACTGTCCCTCGCTAATGTACTTTGTTTTGCTTTTCATCGATAGATTTCTCCATTTTTCTTTTTTTGTCTGCATCACTCTTGTGCTCTTAATCTTTTGTAAGAATGTGAGTACTACTGTCCTAAAGAACAACCGTGGGGTGTGTGTGACGACATCTGTTCCGCACTTCGCTTCTCAAAGTGACTTGTTCAGCAGCTTTGAACTCAATCGGGTTTGAGTTGACTGGGACGAAGGACCATCACATCAGGGGAGGCCCAGTAACCTGGCCACTGGTGCAGATCCTCTTCCTGTTACTCAATGTTGCCATCTCCGGGCAAGCTGGGGCCATTGCACTGTCACTATTGCCTCTACGAAAGCCCACAATGGTCGAGCATGTTGTGCTCACTAATGGCCATTTGTCCTCGGTTCTCGACTGAGGTATCGGCACACCGGCCGAAACCACAATGTTTCCCCCACTCGCAGTATTGTCTGCAGCTACACTCAAATACTCCACTTGTCCTTGAAAATCAGGATGAGCTCACTGCAGCCAGTCAATAACAACTTGTACACACAACACCGTAGGCCAGATTCCATGGTAACTACCCCAATCCATCAAGAGAAATACCATGACACTTGATCTATCTCACCTCCTGTCGGACAGGCCGTGTAAGACCTCTGTGTCCGTTTCTAGTAAACCAATCAGATATTGCCTTGGCGTCATTTTCCTCAAGCAATATATTGTTATATTGATATATTATTATTATTAACAGCTTTGACGATCGATGAAGGTGACTTAATTTATTTGAAATAAATCTTTAATTTGTACAAGAGGTAAAATATATTTTTATTCTATTAAGATGTTTATGCTAGTTCAGAGTCTGTTTTATTTGCTGATTCTTTTTTCTGATATGCTATTATACTTTATTCCAGCTACTTGCTGTCTGAAGGGTGCAGGTAGCTTGGTTCAACCTGTAACAGTTTATTCTCACTTGAGGCTAAAAGTTACAATCCATTTGGACTTGGTAGAGTCCGAATGGAAGGAGATTTGTGAATAGACGAAAGGTTCTCTTGAAGTTAGAAATTAGAAAGAATGTGCCTTATATCCAGGTCCCTTGAACTTGTCTCTGCAACATTATTCCAATCTCTCACTCTTGCCTAGACTTTGATTGAGGGATATTCTAATATTTTTTTAAATGACACTGTCCAAATATTGACTGGTGTTACCCTAAGTCAAAATGATAATAGAGACTGGGATTTTGTACCAGATTAACCATCTGAAACGGCATGTTTTGCACTGCTTTTTCACTATTTTTGTTATCACCACATGCTTCACCATTGTACTTAAACTTTCCATCCCAGAAAAGATGCCCATTTCACAGACTCATCCAAATCTACATAACAATCTTTTGTTTAATTGAGTATCTGTTTTTTGCGATTGGACAAAATACAATGACTTCTGATTATTGCCAAGTGAGCCTTTTGTTGTGTGATTTGGCCTTTGTAATGTAGTACTTTAACTGATTGCCAATATTTAAAAAATCAATGAACATTTGTCTTATTTCCTCCAGTCTTTCTCTCCTCGTTAAGTAGTTTATTGAAATTCACTTGACATGTTTAGTACTTTGTGTGTGTGTGTGTGTGTGTGTGTGCGTGCGTGTGCGTGTGCGTGTGTGTGTGTGTGTGTGTGTGTGTGGCTAATGGTTTGAGCAGAAGCCACATCGCCCAAGTGTATCAAAGGTGGCAGGGAAGTGCCTTTTGGTTGAATAGATTTTTTGCTAATCATGTTCACATGCATGATTATTATTTGCAGTTATCAATGTATTTCAGGCTGACTGGCTGATCAAAATCAGCCATGTCAGAGCTGTACTCAAGAAAACGACCTTGAAGTTGAAAGCTGGATTTCTGCCTCTTCATTAGATCATTTTGCTTTTTTGGTAGAAGATGCGAGTAAGCCGCCTCCAATATTTTGAAAGGGGAAATACATTTCCAGTGCCGCTAGCAGGATTGGCTTCTCCCGCTGTTTTGGTGTCCACATACAAAGTGAATGCATGAAAACGGCATGAACTGTGATGCGTCTCTCTCTCCTTCCCATTGTATTATTGGAAAGTGGACTATTTGGGAGAGAAAAAGGAACTCTTCACTTAATTGACAGACAAATGCACCCATCAGTTCATGTGCCTTCATCATGTACATGCGTATGTCTGCCATTGATGTTTTTGAATTCATTTTTCATGGACATCCTTGAAATAAATGATACAAGTTATAGCCATTTTCCTTGTTTTTATTTTGTTCTACTTTTACCTTTACTCATGCCATCTGCATTGTCAGGTTTTTATTTAATAGCTGTAAGGTAATTCTATAGCCAACCGGATTTGGCATAGTTTTATTTTACTCTTCACAACTGGATGATGGAATCCGTGGGAAAAAATACACACCTACCCAGCATGCACTGCGCCGATATACTTTTCCCATCATGCAGTTTCAGAAACATGGCGGCTGACAGCTTTCATAACGTCGATGACACCGCTAACTAGCACATTCTTTCTGAGCAGTTTTGAATAACTTAACATTGGTGTTAAAGATTCTGCACAATGCCGAAATATTACGAAGATAAAGAGGAGGACACCAGAGCGTGCGCGGGGATCAGAGAGGACTTCCGGGCGTGTCTCCTCGAGCACGACTGCGTAGTAAAGGTAAAGAAACGTCCTCTGGTCATAACATCTGAATATGTAACATAAGTCACGTTACATCAATGAAACGGTTCTTTGTTGGATCATACTACAAACGCCTGGAAACTTAAATTCCTCATGGAGCTACCTAACGCTAAATTGAACAGTAGCAACCAGTCTAATAACCAGCTAGCTGCTAGCTAGCGTTGACATTAGCTCACTTAACCACTAACAGTTTGACGTTCAGCGGAACGCAACATTATATAGAAGCTAACCATTTAATAAAGAGTAGTACATATCAGCAACTGTTCGTCGAATTTTTGTGAGACGCTGTTTACCTCAACATTACTGCTCACAGAATATGTGGTTCTTTGATGGCTTGCTAACCAGCTAACACGCTAGCACCGTGCAACTAACGTTACTTCCGATAAGGTGCTGTCACTGTATCTCACACCACCTGAAACATCAGATACATTACAGCCTTAGGTGAACATGTTGTTCAGTGTTAAACCCTAACAGAAGTCAATTGATTTAGATATCATCTAATAATATATTTGAGAGAATTCTGCTTTTGGGAGCTGCCCATGTAACCGGTTTCTTAATTAATGTGCCAGGAGGGGAAGATGCCCAGTGAGTGTCTGAAGGAAGGCCACTGCAAAGCCCTTCAAACATCCTTCTTTGAGTGCAAAAGGTCAATGGTAAGTCAGTCGTAATCTCCTTGTGCAACAAGGAACCGGTAGAAGGTGAAAGAGTAAAAGGAATATTTGACCTGCCTCTTTCCTTTTGTGTCTAAGCTGTTTTCCCAAAAGCCAAATAGAAAATGAAAGCCTGACATGTTCACTCACACAATATTTGTTGCATAAAGATAACTTTTTAGCTGTGCTGCACACTAACCAACTATCCGTGTTCTTTCAACAGCTGGACACGCGGTCGAGATTCCGAGGAAGGAAAGGATACTGAGTAACCGTCTGATGAGCAAGTGCTAATACTTCTAATAAATCATCCATGAGCACTGCGCACGGGTCAGTGCAGCTTCAGGACATCCTCTGCAGCACATATTCCAAGACATTGGGAATCAAAGGACAACCATATGAACAATGTACTGTAGATACAAAGGTGATCAGCTCAGCAGCATGTATTGCTGCAAAACCCATGGTCAGCTTTCTCTGCGTGTTTGCTATGAAACACTCAATGTAATCAAATAATTAAAATGTGAAGAAAGTTTATTACAAGGAGAGGCTTTTATCAAACCCAATTTTTGGTGTAAAAAGCTATTCCACACTTAAGGTACACTATGGCGCTTACATTCTTCATGAAATTGGAGATTAGTCATTCCTGCAACAGACCACAGAAACCCTGCTCACTATTGCTTAATTAGCGCGTTCAAAGCGGTCATTTCAAAGCAGCCATCATCATCTGCTTGAACTTCTCCAAATCCACCTTCTTCATGATATGAGCCTTGTGAGCCTTCTTCAGGAAGCCCACGGTGTCGACGACCATCATGCCCCTGGTGTGCGTGCCCGTCAGCTCCACGGTGACGGGATAATGGTCGCTTTCTGTGATGAACGACTCGTCGACGGCAGCAGCCATGGCGTACGAGTCACAGGAAATGAAACCCGTGCCGGCGACCAACTCCTTCTGGAGGCGCTCGCTTTGCGACGCGTTGATGCTGTGCTGGAAGATCCGCGCCATGAAGCGAGCCTTGTCTGTGTCCTGCGCCAACCAGGTGTGGCAAAACTCCTGTCAACCCCAGTGAAAATGTAAACACAGCGCAGGGTCGTTGATGCATTATCTAATTGAAAAAAGGTGATGTGCTGTAATTAGGTGAATTATTATGTTAGTAGAATGTAAAAAAGCCTTGCCCAGGATAGCTTGCTGTAGCAGGTAAACTCCCAGCAGGCCAAGTAGGTGGGACACTGGTAGTCGTTCAGCACAATGTGCGCAGCTTCTGGATCGGCGGCGAAGTTGAACTCGCCACACACTGTAGTGTTTCCTCGAGCTGAAGGAGCGAACCACAGAAAGACTCCGATCACTCACTGAACTCAACCGTAACAGGATGTGGACACAAGTGTTGGGCTACAGATGACAGGGGTTCTCCTTTTGAATAATCTTATCTCGATCACTTGTCTTGTGCTTTTGTTAGGATAATACCAGACATCAATGAAAATGACGGCCACTTGCAGTCATAGCCGTGACAATCAGAGGGGCTTTTCCTCAAAGTACATTATGTAGTCTGAAACTCGGTCACCTTCACCACCGTTTGGTTAAAGTTCATGATTTCACTGACATTCAGTGTTTCCTCCCATGATGTAGAGCCCTCGGAGTTTGTTCGGTAGAGACGGGTCCATCTTCACAGCCAGAGCCAGGTTGGTGAGCGGTGCCGTGGCAACCAAGGTCACCTGGGGAATAAACATGGGCTGAAAGACCTGAGAGGGGCAACCCCCCCATCCCCCCTCTCCCCTCCTCCTCCCCCCTGTGAAACACCCCTCTCACCTCTCCTGGGTTCTCATTGACAATCCTGATTATGGCCGACACGGCGCCCTCCTTCTGAAGCAGGTCCAGAACGGGGGCGTTGGGGTCAGGAGCGTCTCCCAGCCCGTCCTTCCCGTGGAAGTCTCCCGCATCAATGCATTCCCCAAGGATCGGCTTGGCCGAACCTTTAAACACTGGAATCTGAAAAAAGAAGAGCATCTACATTTGTACTGCTGTTATCGCTACACACATGAGATATATATAATACGACACATGGACACCTTTTAACCGTCAGCGCAACATTTGTACTAGTGTAGTTCACTTTTCTCAGCTATTCGGCTGGAGTAATTTTAGAGAAGGTTTGGTTTACAACATTGTTAAATGATGTTACTTTCCCTGACAAAATGAGTCAAAAACATATTTTGAGTGAAATTATCTCTTTACAGTTGATTCATTTAAATTTCAGAAAATGTGTAAAACACTGAATATATTTATGCAATAATTATTTTATAATTGTATAGTTAATTTATTACTCAATAAGAAATATATACATATTTATTTCCTACATTTTAAAGAGATACTAATCTAATTCAACTGAACATTTAAATTAAAACTATCAGTTAAAATAAGTCTGCACCGTTTCCTTGCAAATATGTAGTAGGCTTATATCCAGTTTTTTCCTTTAAATACAGTAAAAACAAATACACTAGTTGATCAACAGATCTGGACCATATGATACTTGTAAAGTTCTTTTTTGAAATATGCAATACCCTAAATAGATACAGAAGTTGAAAAAAAAGTATCTTTTTAGGCACTGGGATGAGATTGATGACCGTCTTATCGATTAATTTCAAATCTAATTAGGTTTTCCATTGAGTGAGAAACAAAGCACTTTATGTGTTAAACTAAGTCAGAAGCAGTGCCAATGACGTTGAGCTTATGGAGCTTTGTGTACTTTGGCCCGGGTCCCTGCCCCGAAGTTGTAAATCAACCACACATTGTCGGGCAGTTGCATAAACAGCCCCTGTGACGCCAGCTACTTCCTCCCACACTCTTGTCCAAAAAGACTGAAGATGGTCAACAAGAAAGGACATTAATCACAAGTAAATCGTGCCAGGATCATGAAACATCTACACTGCGCCAAAAGCACCCGCTGCACGCACCTCCAGTCTGCTGCAGGCCTGCAGAACTCGCAGGGTGTTCTTACACACATTCTCCAACGAGGTGTTCCCGTGCACACAGGTGACGCCCAGGAGCTCCACGTTGGGGGCGGCCAGCGCCAACATGATGGCCTGAGCATCGTCCACCCCGCAGTCCACGTCCACCAGCAGCTTCCTGCTCATCATGGACCCTGACGAGCAAAGGGCAATAGTCAGAAAACACTGCTGCCCTGATACGCTTTGGTTTTACTCCTCCAGCACGCACACCATCTGCCACAAACCACTGGTGCAGAGAGATGTGGGGCGACCTGTCGTTTGACTCACACCTACTTGTAGCTGAGTGGGGAAGAAATGAACTCTGTTGTTGGAAGAATCTTGATCTCCTTGAAGGGAACCAACAACGGTCAGCAGCAAACAAACCTTTGAGCAGCAAGGAGCAAATCACGAAGTGAGTGGACTGGATGTTATGCAACAGGGAGGAAAAAACGCCCAATAACTCTGTTAATCATTGTCTTTCAACAGGTGTACAATAAACACACCAACTTGTTGCGAGTAGCACATGCAAAACCAATTAAAATGACATATAAATCAATAGATTACAGTGATAGGTAAAGTGCCTTTACTTTATCAATATCAGTATTAGCCTAAGTACTTTCGCACAGCTCTCATGACGTGAATATAGTTTAAATACAGTTTAATTTCTGTAATTCCATCGCTCATGAGCACGCGAACGTCTTCGGCTCTCTCATTAATCTGTTAATCGAGCCAACGCGACAGCTGAAGCACGGATGCGTCGCAAGTTCGGTGCCCGTGTCGACTGCCTCATGCACGGCTCCAGCTTCCAGGTGTCCGTGTAACGGTGGAGCCTCGTCTCACCTCCACGCAGAGCTGCTGTGAACATGGGAGTGTGACCGAGGCCGCGCGGACGAACCCGAGAGGAACAGGGAGGTCTCACTCCGCCCGGGGGAGGGAAGCACTCGCTCACTTGTTGGGGTAATGGTGGAAACTCGCATACAAACACAAAACTACAAACACGTGTGCGCTGAAACCCCTTCAATGTTTCGTAATTGGCCGTGAACTGTGATGACGTGGGTCGACGCGCGCATGCGTGGGTGAGTGTATAGATTTCTATTTTGACCTTCGGTCAGTGTTTAAACGGTGAAGGGATTGTCTTTAAACGATGCGATCTATGTCGATGACATCACTTCCGGGAGCTTTGTGAAAGGGAAATCTTGATTCGTTGTGGTGCGACATCGTTGTCCTCCAAAGAGTCCGCGTAGGCCTCAACTTCCCCGTTCGTCTCCTCTGGGGGGGCGATACTGTACGACCATAGGCTTATATTGTTTATAATACCATCGTTCAGTTGTAAATAATTCAATCGATAAAGGATAAATTGCATTAATGTGCTTCTGTTTCGGTGTCCCGGTATTGTGCATTGTAATATTTGTTACTATGCATTGAGCCACTGTGATCGCGGAGCGATTGAACCTTGCTTGTCTGGTAAATTAGGCCTTGATGAGGAGCCCATTTCAAGAAATAGTGATGCTAATGTCATTTATTTTAAGTCTCCGTGGAGGTACTTTATGAAGAGTTTTTTTTTTACTTTGCCATTTTAGAAGATAAATTATTTTCTGCTTAATTCACTAATCATACTGTTGGAAGTTACTTCACAGACACAGGCACATGGCATGGACAAGCCTTTATTCAGTATTCACTTTATACCTCTGTGGGGGTGCAGGCCTCTCCAAAAACTTGCAGGTCCGACCCGTGTGCATGTACAACCGATCAAATCAAGGCTCCTTCTGCCTCAATAACAACGGAGAAAACTCAAATAGCATTTGGCAACAACAGCCGGACATGAATAACTGTAAGAAAATAAAATCCACTGTTCTTATATGTTTTATACAATTAAGTACATCAAGTGTTAAACTGGTGGTGGGAGAAAAACGCATCTTTCAAGTATTCATGAGTAATTCATTGGTAATAAACAGTCTACAATCGCAATGAAATAAAATAAAATAGTAGAATAGTTTTTTCTTCATGCAGGTAAAATTATTACTCTAAGTTTTCATCCAATGTCATAAAGACATACAAATTCTGCATAATTCAACTGAGTGCTGCAAAATTGAGAACACACACTGTAATAAATAGTTAAAAGAGGCTTAAAGTTTGAAGGGAAAACCAACTGCTAGTGCTGCATTTAACCTTAATACGGCTTAAATGTCTAGAAATGTTCGTAGAGTAATGTGATGCACCACATTTGATGCCGACAATTTGTGAACAAGTTCCCATTGACGCTGCCGGCGAAGCGGCAGAAGAACCTCAGAAGTCACATCATTGTGATACAAATGCCAGGAAGTGGTGTGACATGTGTATTTTCTGAAGAAGAGCTGTGTCTTTCTAGAGAGTGATAGAGTTGGATAATAGTGTGATTGAAGAAGAAAGACAAGAAGGAGACACAGTGCAACGTAAATAAGTACTTTCGTAATTTGTTAACAGGCAAAGACATCGGTTTTAAGAAACCTAAAGGTCTAATCAAAGCCCCGCCAGGCATCTTCTCATGTAGCTTCAAGTGGCATTTTCCTTACAAACACAATCTCAAGACATTTGCAATAACTAGACAATCACTCGCTAAATTTAGATTTTCCTAAATTTGTCACCTCTTGTCTTGTCATGGGCTCTCAACTTTTCAATTCACACAATCTCAATTTACTTGTACCTTTAAAGAAGAAAAGTGGTATTATTCTTTATTTATCTCAATAAATCCCATTGTTGGTTTTTCCCATTGACCAAAACCAACAATGCAATTTTTGTGTTTCTAAAAACAGCTCCACTACTTTCTTACCCTGAATGTGGCCCATTTATACCTCCTAAACACAAAGAAAACAGAAACAGATGTAGTTTACTCTCTCGTTAAATCAAATGTTACAGCAGGAATCAGCTTCTGGGCAATCAGGAAACAAGCTGTGTCAGCCGCCAGCTGGATCAATTCATTGGAAAAATGCAGAATATCGACAGCCTCATCCTCTGAATTACTGATGAACGGACCAAATAACAGCAGTGAGGACCATAAAATAAATGCTTCCTGATGCTACGACCGGTGCAGCAGCCAACACAGTGCTCTGCACACTGCTACGATGCAACGGCTGTGAGAGGTGTGTGTGTGATCACTACTGGAGGAGAGGGGAGACCACTATCAATCAATCTACAGTAGCACTGGAACGTGGACATTTATCATCTTAACGGTGACTAATCACAAAACGAGGGGCTGCTGCTCCGGTTGGTGTTCGGTATTTGGGTTTGCGTGGTTGCTCTCATCGTTATCCTCCTCAGTCTTTTTTCTTTTTTTTTCCCCAACCAGTGAGAAGAGTCCTCTTAGGTCTCAACCTTCCCGTAGGTGCCCTCTGGAGGGCGATACTGTTTGGGGAAGGCTTTGAGCTGCAGGGAGTTGAAGGCGTATTTACGACAGCCCACGTTCTTCATGGTGTTCTCTCTCCTACAGCCCTCACTGCGGAGAAACAGAACCTATGCATTATTTACACCTCTCGTTATTTTACCTGCACTTTTGTGTGACTTTCAACGTCATCGGCTGACCTGCGCATGCAGTCCAGGGCCTGGTAGAAGACCTGCGGGGCGAGGGCGTGCTCCTGCTGCAGGATCTGACACTGCTCCAGCGTCACAGACATGGCTGTGCGGTCCTTGGCGCTTTTACAGCTGGTGAAACGCACCCCGTTCAGGCGGCGGCACACCTTTAGGGTCGGGACAAAGAGATCAGAGGAAGACGCAGCTCTTAAATGAGCACCGAGGAGACGTGAGGGGGAAGTCTACCTCGGCTGCTTGCCACAAAATCTCCACGTTCTTGCTTTTCTTGGCGTTCACGTTCTGGCTGAGTTGTTTGAGCAGCTCGGGCAGATTGGTGGTACTGCGAGAGCGGGGCAGACCTGAGGAGAGAACAAAGAGGTTATGACGGGAGTTGAATATGAAAAAGAAGATAAAGAGAAGTGTTTTGAGTGTGTGTGTAAACTCACAGTCCTCTGACAGGACCTCTTTAAATTGGTCGTAGTACAAGCTGAGGCGAGTCACGTTCTCCTTGTTGATCACGTCTTGTAGTGACGTGTCTCCAAACCTGGACACACATTTTGGATATTAGAGTTGAGATCTTTAATGACGAACACACTCGTCTTTCCCTAAGAAGTAATGTCTAAATATTCCATCTTTCTACTCCAAACCCTCTGCAGGTTCAATGTGTTATTCAGGCTACTGATGTTTTTAAACGTCACATTCTCAACCCAGTTCCATTATCTTTAAACCAGGAGCCTTAATCACTTCATCCATTCAAACCATTTTTTGTACTTGTTGTTGATGTTCTCCATGACAAATGACGTTAGGAAGCTCCGGGTGAATAAGGAGGAGAAAAATCCCCGTTTGACTATGATAAAACTCCAGGTCATGAATCTGTGGTGTTGATACTGTATCGTTTCTCACTTCTCAGCCAGCGTCTGCTGCTCGTTGATCCCCACGTTGAAGAGGACGGGCTGCACGCGCAGCAGCATCCCGTTCTGGATGTCTCGCGGCAGCGTGTCGAACATCGGCCCGGACATGGGAACCCTGACGTTGAAGCCGTTGCGGTTTCCCGTGATCACCGGCAGCATGTCCGGAGCGAAGCCCGAAGCGGCCTGGGTGACTTTGAATGTGACGTTTCTCAGGTCCATCACTCCGACGCTCATATCCTCCAACATGGCCAGCTCCTCGCCTTCAAGACACAAAGAATGGACACTGACATCATCACCTCCGCCCGGGGTGTGATCATTTGGTCACGTATGTTATGATACCACAAACTGAAATGTGGCGATGACACGTTTGCTCCGGTCCAGGTTACCGTAAGTGCTGAGCAGGCCCTCGTACTGCACCAGCAGGCCGATGGTGTGGAGCTGCCTGAGGAAGCCCGAGTCACAGAGAGAGTTCCTCAGCTTGATGACGAAGCCGCAGATCAGCGCCGTCAGCTGCGAGAAGCGTAACCCGATATGAAGGAGACAATATGCAGGTATGAAGAAGACAGAAGGGCTGTGAAGACGCAACCTGACGGACCGTCTGACAGAAGACAACGTCGCGGCGGTACTGCAGCGGGAGGCTGGTGGCGATGGTGGGGGCGCTGTCCTGCATCAGCACAAACACCATGGCCTTCTTGGCCTTGTCGCTCATCAGAGAGGCACAGTCCGTCAGCGTGGTGAGGAGAGGGTACAGGGCGTCGCTCCACTCGCCTGCAGACACGCCGCACATCACTACACACAGGGAGGGGCCCGACTCAAAAGTCTCATTTACTGTTATTTCTCATTCGATAAGTTAATGATTAAGCAAGATCTTTCTGATTTTTTAGAAATATAACATAAAGCCTTATTTCAAATGGCAGGAATACTTCACATCATATGTCATCATATCAATTGTAGAGGAAATATTGCTCTCACCTGGAGACTTTTTTTCCACCACCTCTGGAGCGATATCTACAAATGAGAGAAAGTTTGTTGAAAAAAGGACCCAATTGCTTTTCTTTGCAACATTAAGCTTCAGATTTTAAACATCCAGCGACAGGAAGTTAGCGTGACTGAGAGGAGGAACCTGGAGACGTGAACGGAGCGTACGAGTCTGGTGAGGGCGTGACGGTGGTGAGGATGACGGGTGTTCCTGGTTACTATGGATACCTACAGCAGAGTGTGTCTGGGTACCTTTCTTGGTGTTACCCGTTTCCTCGCTGGCGAGCAGGAAGACATCCTCCGAGCTGCTGTCGCTCTGCAGCTTGTCTCGCTGCAGCAGACTGTCCACCCTCTGGATCACACACTCCAGGCTCTTGTTCACGTTTAGCCAAACTTTGTCCTGCAGACAAACACATTACGAATGAACATAGAAAATAAAAAATGAACACATCAAAGAGGTAGATGGATTTTCTCTCACCCAGTCATCCTCATGTAAATCCGCCTGCAAGGAGAAGCGCTTGTTTTTACTCCCTTCGCTGCCTTCCGGAGGAGCCGCGTGGCGAAACGGCGAGGTGGAGCCGCGAGACGGGGAGACGGGGTGGCGGGAGGGGGAGGTCGGCTGGCGGGAGGGGGAGCGAGACGGGGAGCAAGAGGAGGGTGAAAGGGAGGAGGAGGAGGGGGACGGGGTGCCTTGCAGAGTGGCCTCCGGGCGGGCGGACGCCAGCGCGAGGATGGCCGAGGAGAGCAGCTTGGAGTCACACACGTTCACCAACTGACGGGTCTGCGGGAGGAGAGGAGAGGTCAGGAGGTCAGGGGTCAGGGGTTAGGGTTAGGGCAAGAAGGCAGAAGCAGAGGGAGATGAAAAAGTAACAGCAAAGAGAAAATAATCGACACTCTCGGTTAACGGGATGCAGTTGTGCTCAGAGCGCCGTACCTTCTCCGACAGGATGGCCAGCGTTCTCTCCAGAGCGTTGGCTGAGCGCTCCTTGGCGGCTCGCGACAGACGTTCGGCGTAGTAACACACTTGTGTCTTCAGAGTGTTTATTTGACCAATGATCTCTTTCGCTTTCACCACATCCTGAGGCTGGTATGCCGTTCCTTTAGAGCCGGCAGCAGCAGAGCTTCGGGTGTGCGATAAAGCGAAGGTGTGAAAGACAAAGACAGACAAAGGAGATGAATACTGAAACACGGCAACAACAAAAGAAACACACACGAGAATGTTGCAGTGCACTACTTGTAACCTCACCTTTCCTCCTCGTGTTTGCTGATTGAGGCAAAACAAATGACAAAGGAAGTTGAATGAACGACTCATCGAATCAAACGCCACTCTTCAAGCTTCTGTGTTTTCGTTCTTTTGCTCCACTCACCGTTTCCGGGCTTCTTCGAGCCGATGCAGCAGTTTCCGGAGGCCGCAGCCTTTAAAGCCTTGATGATGCGCTGCAGGTGCACCAATAGTCACAACATCGTACGTCCGGTCTGATCAGAGGACACGATGAAGAAGATGCAGTAAGATACTGGACAAATAATGTCATAAAAACCTGGGGGCCCCGTATGTTTGCAGTGTGTACCGTAGCCAGACTCTCCCTGCACTCGTATCCTCTGGATGTGCAGATTAGTGGGAATAAACTCCAACTTCCTCTCAGCTTTCAAGGTACTGGACTTAAAAGAAGGACCTGAGAGGGAGCAGAAAGCAAAAAGAAAATATTAACTTTGTATGTATAAATACAGTAACAAGCTCTAGATACGTCAATGGTATATTTAACATGGAAATACAACTATGTAACTTTCACATATTTGTAATAGAAGGGGAACAAAAATTTAGTTTTGCCCTTTTGTAAAATGATTGCGTCTGTAAAAAAAAAAAAGTTCAAACTTCAAAACACTGGATTCTAAACTGTATATGATGACACTTAAAGCTTCAGTGTATAAAAGATTGCGGCACAAATGTAATATAATGCCCTGCAATGAGTGTATAAGCACCTGAAACTAACAATCATTTTCTTTAAAAAAGGCAACGTAAAATCAGAACGTAAGCTCAATAACGCGCTGGTGTTCCTGAGGTGCTGAGAAAAGGATCTCCTCTCAGCGAGGACAACGGCGCACAACTCTCTGTTATGAATGTATGTCTATGGGTAGTACTTGCTGACCTTTGTATTCGTGCAGGTCACTTATGGTCTCCTGGTAGGTGAGGATGATGGTCTGATACTGAGTGATGATCTGCCTCCTGAGGTTCTCCCAACATGGGGACAGCTCTCCTAGTTCCTCTAGCTCACACACCCTGCACCACACACACACACACACACACACACACGCCTTTACGGGACACCCAGCGCTGACAATGTCACGGCTGTTTGATGTTAGTACTGCTTGTTCAGTGAAGGCTCGTTCAGCAGGATTAACTTCTCAAATCACCCACATAACAATAAACCACTGGTGCGAATGACAGCGTAATGTTCTCGTGTGAATTTGAATATACTGTTTCTCTTTTCGAACGACATACGCCACAACTGTGTGTTTATTTTTACAAGACAATTAATGGCAAACTAGAAAATGATATGCATGATACATGAAAATGGACATTGCTTTGCATTGAAGGGTCACTGCGCTGCAACAACCTGCTGCTCCTCTGCAAAGACGTTAACGCCTCTGATGGATAACACAGCGGATAGTTTACCTGACGGCATCTTCCTCCAGCAGCAGCTTGACAAACTGGCGAGGAACATGCAGGGAGAGAACGCTCTCCGCCATCTGCTCCAGGATGCGAAGGTGGTTGCCGTCGGTGGTGGGGAGCCGGTACATTCGAGACATGACGCCCCCGAACACTGAAGCGGACCGAAATAAAACCAGGGGAGCCGCGTGTCACCACCGCGCGGCAGCAGACGGTCACAGGACGTCTACAAGATAAATAGACGCACACTCACCAGCCTTCAGCAACGGGTCTCTACACAGGGACAAAGACTTGGATTTGATGCCCATGGATTCAGTCAGGCTTTCGTCAACAGGGAGAACCATCTGACACACATAAAAAAAACAACTGCAATGTTTGCCTGAAGAAAACCTTTGTTTGTCGTTCGTCTTGTTTGTCGTTCGTCTCATTTTGTGACCTGTTATCAACCTGTGATTCAACTAGAAAGAGGTTGAGGGTGGTACTGAGACGGGCAGATTAGAGAGAGGATAAATTCATTTTCTGGGTTAGTTTTATGTTAAGAACAAACAGCAGACTACTCAATGGAACAAGGGAATAATTGGCATTTTGATTATGGTTCCAGTTCTTCCACTCACCCTTCCATTGACCGTGTCTCCTCTCTGTAATCTTGCAACAGGAGCTCTCTGCTCTCGCTTCTCCTCTATCTGCCAGGCGATGACGGTGATGTTCCCCACGCGGTTGCTCTCCGCCGACCTGACCCACAGCGACGTTGACCCAAATGAAACTTCCCCGAAGCCGAGTAGCATCTCTTCTGTTCTGCGTGTGTGGTGCCGGCCTCTTACCTGAGAGTCAGGTGCAGTCTGTGGTGCTGGTCCTGCAGTAGCTCTTCCACAGAAAACATGGCTGAACGGAGCATGTACATCTGCCCCCCCCCCCAACACACACACACACACACACACACACACAGGCAAAGGATTCATAGGATTTCCATTAACATAAGCTTGAGCTATTTAACATTTGTTAGAATTGTATTGACATCCTAACAGGAGTCAAGGGGGACGCGCTTACCGTGCCCTGCGTGCGGTCCTTCACATCGTAGACAGAGAGCTTGACCTGAGTCTGCTGAGTGATCAGAGAGTCCTGAAAGAAGGCCACGCTGCTCAGAAAGATGGGGTTACTGGTGCCCTGAAGACAGAGAGAAGGAGGGAGGGAGGGAGACAATTTGGTTTTGAGGTCTCCTGCAGCAGCTAGGAAGCACGGGGGAAGCAAACGGCAGTGTACCTCTATGATTTCGGTCTGCGCGTGCTTGGTCCAGAAGGCCTGCGGCGGAGTGGTGCAGCTGACGGCCACGAAGCTGGTTGGCTTGCGGTCCAGAGAGGGCGTGACCAGCTCGCTGCAGGCTGCAGCCACGCGGAGACACGGGAAGAGATTACAGGCGGTGGGATTTAATGGTGGGGTGGTCACTTAGTTGTGTGAGGAGCGTGATGCTATGATTGATTGTGAGTCGCTGTTTACAGTAGTGCTTTTAGGTTCAACGATGGATGAAATAAATACATCTTTGCGCACAAAGGATGTTGTCACTTCGGCCAATAAAGGATCATGTGTTAAGATCATCCGAAGCAGCGTAACATCATGTTTTTGCCTGATTATGGGCAACTGTAAACATGATGTATTACCAATTCAAACTAATTTGGTGAGAGCAAAAAACATGGAACAACATGATCTTTATTTGGAGTTGAGTATAGAGTTGAATGTAAATCAAATATTTGCTCTCTGTTTAGGTGTCCGCCAAATACTTCAAATTTGGTTCCTTTAGCTTTAGATATTAATTTCTCCGCCGGTTAACAAAGGTTTAAGTATTATTTTTTTATTGTCATTCAACGGACCAGTGTTTGCGCGTGTTACCTCGTACTCATCTCCTTGAACTTACCCACACTGAACTCCAGCACAGGCTCGTCCGGATCCTGACTGTTGCCTGTTGGATAGAATGAAAAGAGGAGGCAGCGCTCTTTACAGATCCCGGTCCTTTCATGGCCAATGAGGTAAACAGGTTACCATGGCAGCAGTTACTTAGTTACCCGAGAGAGCCAGCCCCATCATCTCGGCCGAGAGATCAAACGTGTTGGCCCGGTAGACCGACCACGGCCGATGGCGAGGGCTGCGCTCCTTGCCGGACATGTTGGGTTGGCGGCGGCGGCGGCGACGGCGAGGACGGATTCGAGGAGAAAAGCCTGGAACGGCGTCCAAAGCAAAGCTCTGTCCGTCGCGTCACTTCTTTGAGATGTGACTTGGTTTGCCTCGTGGGTCGGTGGCGCTCACGCGTTTGTCAACGATAGATCTGTAAGAAGAAAACCACAGAGGGATCATCTGCTGCCCCACAGACGGACCGGGCAGCTGCAACTATTTCATACTGATGTCCCCCTCTCATCGAGAATAAAACAGAATTATAAAAGCTGCTGCAATTACCAAAGAAGTTACACATAACGTCACAACACAGTCTCCATTGCAGAAGGTTGAAGCCAAGAATAACTACGACGAACAACGAAGTTGGATGTGTTGGCACGATGCTCCGTTCTGATTGAGGGTAGAAGAGTTTACTTCTGCGTTGCGTTAATACGAGCAGCCCAGTGGGGGCAAAGTGTGACTTTTCACACAGCTATAGGGATTGAGTGTTGCAGCACACTGAATCTTCACCTTCTTTCTTCTGTTGCTATTCGTGCTGGTGTCTTTTTCACCTTTCTGACTGTCTAATTAAAAAGGAAAACACAGTAAAACAGTAAAAGACACATAAACATAAATATACATGTCATTCAGCTGACGCTTTTATCCAAATCGCCTTAAATTGCATTTTTAACCGATGGTTTAGGTCTTAACTTATAGTCTCTGTTCATCTCTGATGATTTTAGTTTGTGTCCAAGAGATTGACACATAATGTATATGTTGTTTTCTTCTGTGAAAAATAACAGGAAGTCATTCAAATCAAGAGGATTCATCCGGAGGAGAAGCAATTATCTCTGACGTTCTTCATTATAAGTAATCTACGAAACTTGAAAATGTCACATAAATGACCCATAATATTCTGTTAGGGACTGCTGATCACACAGCGGGTCACTGAAATCACCCGCCATGAATATTAATACCAAACTGAAACAGGGAGTGAATGTTACATAAACAGAATGCTTAAAATCCCTCCATATCTATCTATTTATTGTGTAAACAGAGCTACGGTCACAGCCTTTCCAGGTAAAAACACCTCACTTTACCCACACAGGCTTGAGCCTTACGTAACAATAATTATTCACCACATCCAGTAAACGATTTTTTATCTCATGGTGACACTTTGAAGTCCGATGCTCATTTTGACGCCTCTGCCAAGCCGCGGCGTAACGATCTGCTCGTGTCGTTGCCCGATCAACACGGCTCTTGCCAAATTTATGCGCAACAGCGGGAGAAGAGGAGACGGAGACCGTGCCAAGTGTGATACACTGTGAACACACACCGTGCAGTGAGGGCATATGGATCTTACCTTCCTCAACTAATCAGAGGAGGGGTAACACGCACACGGAAGTGGGGGAACATTGGCGTGTGAAGAAAAGGTGAAAGGTTGCAGAACGATGCAGCAGGTTTTATGGTGACTAACTTGAGCTGAAAAGTTCCTCTAATTGAACAGTTTTCGGTTCTCAGTTGATATTTCCTCCCTCGGAGCTTTTGTCTGTGTGCCACACAAATACACACTTTGCTCGGAGTAATCAAGCGGCATACATTTCTCCTCCTCTGCGCTGTAACAGACATATTCCTGGTGGATTGGGAGCATATATCTGGTGCAGTGTCCGTCTAGCTTGTGCGTTTCTCTCGGTTCATTCGTCATTGCACCGACAAAAGGGGAAAAAATGCGTGTGCACCACTGGGCGTTCACGTGCGAGGACTATTTTTAAACGTTGTGGATGGGTTTTAACGTCACATGCCGCGCGCAGGCGAACTCAAAGTCATCTGCGTAGTCACACACACACACACACACACACAGAGACACACTAATATCTACGGTATGAGCGCGAGGCCGTCTGCCAGTTCCATCTCTGTTTCGGCGCCTCCGTGGGAGACCATAACAGATCACAATTACGGGGCTGACGCTCTGCCTCATTACGCTGTGTGGGCCTCATTGTCAATGGGAGCTGCCTTTTGAAATGCTGCGATCAGCCGGGGGCGCCTTAAGCTCTCTAGGAAACCCACGGAGGATCTAATGGAAAGCCACACGGAGCCTCAGATCACCACTGCTATCACATCTGTCCGCTGCGTCATCACATGCCTTGCAAAAATCCAAATTGCATTGCAGCCTATTTTATTTGAGAAACATTTCCAAAGTTGATGATGTTCCAATGATTAAGATCTAATGCAGTAAAGAACAGCCCATCTTCATGCATGGAAAACTGGAACCACAGAGTGTGTTCTTGCTTGATAAAAAGACTAAAATGATTAACGGGGACGGTGTGCAGAGGATTCTGCTCTTGTTGACAGATTCTGGTTCGCTGATGTAGATTTCTGGATAAGGGCGTCAGGCAGCCACACTGACCAGTTCCACAGCTGCTGCTCTGTGGGTGACCTTTGACCACAAATAGGCAAAACAGTTTGACTACTCTAGTTTTCCAGCTTCAATGAAAGAAGAAGAAGAGATGAAATACACGCAGAAAAGATGCGAGTTATGTAGTAAAAGTAGAGAAGACAGAGACAAAACTGACCCAGTTAGTGAGGCTGGCGGCACACAGCTGGCGCCCGGCAGATGCTGTCAGCACCGGCTACACTGCAGTGCTCCTCTCTCAGACGTCCCTAACTCACCCCCCCCCCCCCATCGCCCCTTTACATCTCTCCTGAATGTGCCCCTTCATCTGCTCCGTCATCATCGCCCCCGTTTTTCTGTCTTTTTGTTCTCCAGCCGTCTCCCTCTCCTGTGCCATGGCTCCCCTCTCAGTTTCACTCTATTGATCCAGTTCCGGTCCAGAGCTCGGCTGACCTGCCTCTGATCTACAATTGTCTCCTTGATGTAGTAACCATGCAGACAACCAACTACGTCCACACATATATGAATTGCTTGGATTTGTGGTGCGGAATACGCAAACGTGTTTACTCCCAAAGGAAAGAATGTATCCACGCGGTGAAACATGCGAACGAAAGCGCGAGGAGGAAACATCACTGTTGTTACCAAGACAACAGCATGCTGAGAAACCTCTGATGGTGATGATGATGAATGGTGAATGAATTGCAGGATGATGCTGTATAGGATCCCATGCGCATGGTTGTACAGTAGATGGGTCTTTACTCAAGGTATCGGGAGAAACACACAGAAAAACAGCTCACACACACACACACACACACACACACACACACACACACACACGCACACACACACACACACACACACACACACAGCTCACACAGAGGTAAGAGATAGACAGGAGAAGAGAAAGCTATAAGAGGTGATCCCAAATCTCCATTTAGTTCCCTCTCTGTTATGAAAAGGTTGAAACAATGAGCTAACAGATCAAATATAATCCTTTCCGCTCTGGGAACAGCTGGGAGGCCTCTAATAGCGCGATGCTGCTTCATGAGCAACACATCCGGTTTAAGATGAAACGTGTATGTCCAATAAAACTAACACACACACACACACACATATATATATATACATGTGGCATTATGTATATGTGACATTATTCCCCATAATCCTACATCAACATACACGTGAAACAGGGCGTCATCCGGACATCTCAGGAGCCCGTTTGTGCAGTGGAGATTCTGTCCGAGTGCGAATCTATTTATGGCAGCTTTGGCCAATAATACATTTCTAACGTGGATGCAAAATGACCCTCTGACACTAGGACAATAACAGCTATTGCGTCATGATATCTGCTGATGCTCGTTCGGTGCGGCCGCCGCATGGAGCTGCAGATCCCGCAGCACAATAAACAGTATGCCATGAACAGGGATGGAAACAGTTAGATGGACGCAGGCGCGCTCGCCTTGGTCTGTGAACATTATTCCGCTCCGCTGACGTTCCCTCTTTATCGCAGCGTCTATACAACCTCTAAACAACCACGCGTCACATACAACATGTCATACCGTTCATATTGATGCGCATCCTGGTCGCTGCTCGACGATGGCTGCAGTCAAGACTCGCCCCGACTCCCTGTGACACATCGAGGCGTAACGTCTCCGCCGCGTGCGCGTCCCGCTGCTGCCCGCGGGGGGGCGCCGTCGCTCCTCCGATGGACTCGCGTGGGACTCATCGGTATTTTCACACTCAGCCAAATAGAAATGCACGTGTCAGTTGAACACCAGGGTAATACTAGATAAAGACTTACTGCGAGCCCCCGTGGATCTGGCATAATAATAATAATTATTAGTTGTTTTGTAAAGTAGCATTGTTTGTCATAATGATACAAAGGAGATTCAACACCAGTCCACATATTAGTAATTGTATTTTTGATACTGACTCTGAGTAAAAAATGTAATTAGTAAAATATTCCTAATTGAATATCTGATACACAAAACGCATTGAAAAGTGTAGACCACAAATGGTTTAGATACATATTTCTGTATTTCTATATTATTCTATATATCTGTATTCTATATTACTCCGTATGCTGCACACATTTTAATCTCTGATCGCTGATTTATTCTATGTTGTATTGATCATTGAACTCAAGATAGATACGTTTAGTTGTTCGCGTTGTAGGGACGCGGGTGCATGCGATGCGGTCTGAACCACTTCAAAGTTGAAACTTCAGGATTTTGGTGTCACCGAAACTCAAAAGTGGTCCCTGAATGAAACACCGCGCCTCACCCTTTTTATCTGCCGCAAGGTGACACCCAATCAGCGCACAGCTCGTGGCCGCGCCCGGCCTGTGTCGGAAGTCGAGAACGCGCCGCAGGTAAACCACAGGTGTGTTGTAGCGCAGTTTGAAGGAGACGTACCCGGACCACGCCACCTTGAGTTCCGAAGTTCATCAAGACTTCACTTCGTTGAAGATGGAGTGAGAGCAGGAACACAAGTCATCAAGTCTAAAAGGAGAAGCTCCGTTTCTTCACACTAGTTTTTTCCCCTCTCTTATCAACTCCAAATGCGGATGGATTGATTGATATCCAGTTGGACTGCTGTGTATTGGCTATGGATTTGTGCACCATGGATTTAAGGATTACAAGACAAAGAGGATTTTTACTCTTCATTTTCACATGTTCAAGTCTCCTGCATGGCTCCAGGGGGGAAATCCCAAGCAAACCCACCGGCGGGGTCACAATTCTGCCACCGATTAAGCCCGACAATGGCCCCCAGGCATTTCCCGATGCCGAAAAGGAGAATATGCCAGTGTTTACAATGAATTACTCAAGAATACAGATACCATTTGAGATCACTCTTTGGGTGCTTCTGGCTTCATTCGCAAAAATTGGTGAATAACAGTAACATTTGCTGGTGATTGATTAAAATACAACATAATTTTTTTACCTTTTCAGGAGAGATGCCATGTTCTTGTTTTTTTTTAATTTTTTAACTATATCTCATTTTTTCAGGTTTCCATGTGTACAAAAAGATCACTGTCTGGGTGCCAGAGTCCTGCCTCCTGATCACCATTGGTCTGATCGTGGGGGGCATCATGCACTCTGTCCACGAGGAGCCACCTGCTGTGCTCCGCAGCAACGTCTTCTTCCTCTACATGCTTCCCCCGATTGTCCTCGACTCGGCCTACTTTATGCCCACCAGGCCATTTTTCGAGAATATTGGCACGGTCCGTTACCATTCAGCCACGTCTTTTCAATGTTTCCTTCTCCTCTAAAGCCATTTGTCTCTCCCCCTGCATGTGTCTGCAGGTGCTGTGGTTTGCAGTGGTTGGGACTCTGTGGAACAGCATCGGCATCGGCATGTCCCTGTATGCCATATGCCAGATCGAGGCGTTCGGTGTGCAGGACATCAACCTCCAGGAGAACCTGCTGTTTGCCACCATCATCTCGGCCGTGGACCCCGTGGCCGTGCTGAGCGTGTTTGAGGACGTGTCGGTGAACGAGCAGCTCTACATCGTGGTGTTCGGGGAATGCCTCTTCAACGATGCCGTCACTGTGGTGAGTGGGTAAAAACAATACAAAGCAAACACATTTGTTGTCTAACTCTGAGCTGAGACTTTCTGCAACACGTTGACTCACTGTCCTCAGGACGTTATGAAAACACAGAGCGAGGAGCAAGTTGTTGTTCTTTCTCTAGAATGAATAAGATTGCAGATAACAGATAAATAACAAACTGGAAGTGATGTAAGGGACAAGGGAATCTGGAGCAGTGTCATGTTGGGTGCCTGTTTGCTCAGATGCGGACAAACCAGTTTTTGAGGTCAGTCACATTTGGCTGTGAGGGAGGAGTTAACGCTCACATACTTTTTTTCATTGTCTGAAACTTCAATGAAGTGACTTCATGCTCAAATGTCCCCCTCCACTCTCTTGCTGTTGCGTTCAAACGGAAACGCACACACATCCACACTTCGCTTTGGCGTGGCTCTGCTTTTGTTAAATACACAGTAGCAGATTTGATGCGGGTAGTGAAGACACACACTTGCAGAGGCACCTTTTTGAAGAATTGTACCCATGAATCAATATGTATTGTTTGCCAAAAGTACAAATACTTACAGGGTGTGAAGGACAGCATGGAGATGCCAATAGGTTCCTCTGGCTCGTCCCAAGTGTGTCTGATATTCTGTATTTCTCTTCATTCTCATTCACTGAGCCAAATTGTTGCATGCTGCTCCACTGGTACTTTAATAAATGGATTAATATTATTTATAGAGACTGTCCTAAATACATCATTTTCTTTCCCTTTTTTTTTTTTAAAGAAAAAGTTTTTACAATTCCATAGCCTTTAGCATTATCAATGTCCACAAGTATCTTTTTTTCCCTCAAACTCTGTACTGCATATTTAAAAAAGCCACACTAGCATGAAAAAGCAGCGAGTCCCCCTTGTTCTTTTTTATCAACAGTAGGAAAGGGAACGAGGCCCTGAGTCATCCGGTGTGCGTGGTGAAACAAGGTTATCAAAATGTAAACAGCGCAGAGTAAATATTCCAACAAATCACTGTTATCTGCAAACTGCGTCGTTAAGAAGCCGCAGCCCCCGCAACCCCTCGCATTAGTGCGCGTGCACGCACACGCAAAGCTGCACATGAAACATCGCCGTGTGTGCATGAGTGTTTCAGCATGCCCCGTGTGCACATCTTTTTATCAGGTGTTGTACAACATGTTCAACTTCGTGGCGGAGATGCCGGTGGTGGAGCCAGTGGACGTTTTCCTCGGGGTGGCGCGGTTCTTTGTGGTCGGGTTTGGCGGGATGGGCTTCGGCATCTTGTTTGGCTTCACGGCCGCCTTCACCACAAGGTTCACCTCCAGGGTCCGAGAAATCGAGCCGCTGTTCATATTCATGTACAGCTACCTGGCCTATCTGGTGGCAGAACTTTTCTCCATCTCGTCCATCATGGCGTGAGTAGGAATAAACGGTTCCCCCCCGTTGAACTGTTTCAGTGGGCAGAGCGCTCCAATGCTGCAAGTATTCTGCACAAACCTCAGCTTAATGTTTTTCTGCAGCATTGTGACATGCGCGCTCACCATGAAGTACTACGTGGAAGAAAACGTCTCCCAGCGTTCCTGCACTACCATTCGCCATGTGGTCAAGATGCTCGGCTCCATCGCCGAGACCCTCATCTTCTTCTTCCTGGGGGTCGTCACCATAACAACAGATCATGAATGGAACTGGGGCTACATCCTGTTCACGCTGCTGTTTGCTTTCGTGTGGAGGGGTCTGGGTAAGGAGAGGGCCGGGGTTGTTTTTGCTTTTCTTGGGGTCTGTCTCTTAGCATGATTAAAAGGGCCACGAGTCAATGTTCTTACGAGTGGGTCCCTGTGAGTTTCACCCTCAAGGACACGCATTCACACACTTTGATTGGTTGAATGCTGTCCTACTGTACTAAGAACCTGGTATAATAATTAAAATAGTCGATCTCAGTCTCAGTCAATACCACTGAATGTAGACTCGACTTATGTTTGTGTATATTAAAACTTCACAAAGCCTCTGTTTGTCCTCTGCAGTATAAAATACAAAAACACTGAATTAATTCATTTAAAAACCTTTGGCTGAACATCGCGTCACTGTGCTGCAACAAAGCACCCTGAATCCGGCTTGAAGCAATAGACTGCAGCAAAATGTTTTTACAGCTATAAGTTGCTCTTGTGAAGCTGCATTAATAGACTTGTATGTGGCTTTATGTCTTATGTGTTTTGTGAAAAAAACCCACAGCATTGTTATATAGTCTAATCAGTAAATGCAGATTACACATGAAAATAACATCCCCAAATTGCTTTTCTTCTCATCACAGGTGTCTTGGTGCTGACTCAGATCATCAACCCTTTCCGCACCATTCCATTTAACTTTAAGGATCAATTTGGTTTGGCCTACGGTGGTCTACGAGGTGCAATTTCCTTCGCCTTGGTCTTCACTCTTCCCGATAGCATCGGCCGCAAGCAGCTGTTTGTCACTGCCACCATCGCTGTCATCCTCTTCACCGTCTTTCTCCAGGTGAGTAGCTGCCCACGAAGCATTTTACAATTTAAGTATCAAATAAGAATTTATTTCACTATTTATTAACTTTAGTGGGATTGTGATACAATGCTTTTATAGGCAACTCAATTCCAGACTCAATTCCAAACCATAAATATTAAAGTCTTTTTCCCTCAAAAGAACCAGAACAGTCTTTCCCTCTATTAGCGACTGTATACATCTTTTGGACAACGTCCTCTAATTTATTTTTTCCCGTCTTATGCTGAATCTTTTTTCTCCTTCCTCCTCCACAGGGCATCAGTATCCGACCTTTGATCGAGTTCATCAACGTCCGCAGGACCAACCGCAATCTTGACACCATCAATGTGGAGATTCACTGCAGAGTACGCTGCGGATAGTGATCGTTGTAACTGCGGCGTGCTGTCTATTATTCAGTGCACAGCGTTGACTGCTCTCATTTTGCTCTCAGATCATGGACCACACCATAGCCGGCATAGAGGACCTCTGTGGGCAGTGGAGCCACTTCTACTGGAAGGACAAGTGAGAGCTTTCCCTCCTCATAAGTGTGCTCATTCTGCTACAAGAACAAGACGCTTTTATTACCACATACCCTATTTAGTGTTCCAGTAGTGATCGCTTCATATCATGACGCTCAAAGAAAATAATCTGCAGTGAAACTGGCAGAGAGGTGGCGGTTATGTTTACCTGCTCTTAGTTTCCTCCTTGAGTGTTTTGTTTGACAATGCTATTGTTTACTGTGTGGGAATGTTTTCAGCCAATCCCACTTTGGCGTCGGGTCAAGCGTCCGTCATTAGCAGTGCCGGCCTTTTTTTCTTCCTTAAATACTACAATGAGGGTTTCAGGGCATAGTTTTCTTTTGGTTTATGGTTTTCTGTAAAAAAAAACAACCTCACTTTGTATTTTAAATGAGTTTACCGTCACACTTTAGTCTCACAAAGACTGTCTGAGTGAGAATGTTTTTATTTTGACCTTAATTTAACTTAAAAGTAGCTTCCTCAAAACTCCACTAATGAGATCTATGTGAATGTTCTTGATCGATCTGGTCAGTCACATGGCCTCAATCCCAATCGATCGTCCCATTACTGAAGATCAGAGGCCAAAAAACCCTCCGAAACAAGCAAGAAGTGGAGATTGCTGCAGCACGGACATGACCGAGCATTAACAGGAGGGAGAACAGGGAAACATAATTCCATGCTGTGTCACAGCAGCACGATGACGAAAACAGACTCATAGTATTGCAGAGTAACTAATTAAAGGCTGGATTATTATGAAAATGTTAACATAACAACAACAACACAAATACAAGATGCAATACAGGTTTTCTTGCTATTGGACGTATATTTTAAAACCTTTTAGTTACGTCCTGTTGCTTTGTCTCTTCTAGAGTTTGCGGTGTAAAACCCAAACCTTATATTTAAGCATCATACTGCGAGAGGGCCTGTCCATCCTGACCAACGTCACCCCCTCTCTCTCCGTATCAGGTTTATGAAGTTCAACAACCAAATACTGCGGAAGATCCTGATCAGAGACAACCGCGCTGAGTCCAGTATTGTGGCGCTGTACAAGAAGCTGGAACTGCAGAACGCCATGGAGATCCTGGACGATGTGTCCGGGGACATCAGCGCCGCTCCGTCCGTTGTCTCTCCCTAGTATGAAGCCTTCTTCACGCCTCTCTGTTGCTCTGGTGATAACGCCGCTGGCTTGTACCGCCGTTACAGATCAAAGGGGAAAGAAAATGTCTCTTTTTCTTTCCACGTGTCTTTTAGCGAGGCTAAACCGAAGAGGAAGTTCCTGGCTCCTGACCTGAAGAACATGCATGACATCCTGTCCAAGAACATGTACAAAATCAGGCAACGCGTGAGTTTTTGAATAATCTTTAATAGTGTGCACCGCCATGTGCACTTCTTCTTCTTCTACTTTACTTGACAATCTCTATTTTGTACTTCGCTATGTTTCATATTTATTTTATTACTCCATGCATCTGTGAGGTAACTAGTTGTATAATAGAGCACATTGTTAGAGAGTAATCCAGTGGTTACTTTGACTGCATTTGGGGTCTGATTTGATTCCAGTTCCATCAAAGAGACATTCATCTATTTTTATTCAAATGGATTCAGTAACAGCTTTAGGTTGTTTCAAAGAGGTAAAATGATCCAATGTTTCATAGCAATTAATTGAAAAATCCAATTTCTTCTGTTTTGAAACCACTAGGCTAAAGTACGGAAAAGTAATTCCATCAGCTGATTACACTTTTTAAATGTATTTATTTTTTCAGCTGTATTGAAGGGATTGTAAGGGATTGTATTCTGTCGATCCTTTACCTCAGGTAAACTTCTGGCCACATCCACCCTCACTAATGCAGCAGTTACCACTACAGGGAACACAAACAACACGCACAAATTAGAAGCACTTTGCTCGATTGGGCTCCGTTAGATAAAGTAAAGGCCACCAGCCTCCCATTTGCTGTTATTGTGTGTTGAGCTTCCAGCTGCTCACACAGTGGATGCAGCCGGCATGGATCAACGTGCTCAAAATGTTCCATGTTCAGTAGTTGAATCCTTTGTTCTTTTTCTTTACGTGAATATCAAGTTTCTGGCATGAAAGTTGTCAAGAACATCGCATCAAACTATTTGACCTAAAACGCAGTGAGCACTGTTGGTTCGACATGTTTGTCAGTTATCAGGTGAACACATTTTTGCAAACTGACAAACCGGAACATTGGACATTCCGTGACGCCTTCACAGCGCTCAATGCGTCTATCCTGACAGTCAACGCTGTTTTGCATAACCACATACTGTGGCCTCCAGTACTTTTCCATCAGTGAAATGACCCACGGAGACGCCTTGATGTGTACACAAACATAAGGGACCATGTGCTTCTGATCTTGTCCGAATAACCCGTTTGTCTCATGTTCTCGATCTAACTAATAGCTGCAGCTCCAAAAGATCTCTGTTGACAGAGAAGTTTACAAAGCTTGAGTTGCAAAAATACCAAACAAAGACACGGACCTTTTTAGTTCAGGTGTAGCCGGTTTTGGTTGAGTAATCCGAGCTTTTAGGGAAGGCCTACCCCTCTGAAGGAATTTTAACACTCCTTTTGTCTGTTAGTTGATGTTACTTTTACGGGAAATCCTGCCTGCTTGTAAATCACCTTGATAAAGATCTGCCAGCGGAGAGGTTTAAATCTGCTGTGTAATAATGTCGGATGTTGTGCTTTTTTGTTTTCTTCAACCAGACGGTGGCGTACACTACCAAGCATGCGCTGCCCAACGAAAGCCAGAGCAAGGAGATATTGATAAGACGCCACGCCAGCATCCGCCGCAGCCTCCGACCGGGCAGCTTTCAGTCCTCGGTAAGCAGCTCTGTGACATTGGCTGGCCTTGACTTTGTGCAGTTTGTGTGTTTTCAGCCCTTTAGTTGAAGTAAGGAAGAGAGGCCAGGGAGGGCAGTATTTAACCTGGTGAGGTTGTTTATCTCTCAGCCACCCTGCAATGATACAAGTTTTTAAAATTCTTCTGTTTGATTCCCATGTTATCAGGTGGTACCAAAATCCCATAAATACTTCTCTCTTCCTGCTGGGAAAAGCCTGGACTCAAAATTCCCACCTGGGATGACCAGCTATGCAGGTGAGCTAAGGTTCAGTTTTCCCTGTTAAACACCTCCTGCTTTGATTTATTCATCTTTTTAAATGCAAGATTCCCTTGTTTGGCTTTTCTCAGTCTCTCAGAAAATTAAGCTTGATCATGTATTTTTGGTTTATCAGCTTGGTTGAGCTTTTCATTCAAGCCACTGTATACGTTAAGACTAAAATTATAGAACGTGAGGCTCAGCCCATCTAGATGTGTGGTTAACAGGATGCCAGTGACATTTCAGCGAGTCTCGTCCGTCCACAGGATCACTAATTATCAGCAAAATTAACGACATTCACGTTTAGCTTTTCAATGGCCGCACAACATGCGTTGGTGATGACTGTCCAGGCTGCATCTTAATGAGCTTTATTATTGAGGTAAATCTCTATTTCCGGTGACCTGAGGTTCTTTTATAATTTGGCTATGATCTTCCCCCGTCGCAGACGATGAGGAAACGATGTCAGAGGCGGCATACCCATCCAGGCGCTCTCGCCTGGTGCAGCCCGCTCGCTCCTCCTCCTCCCGAGCCATGATGCCCCTACGCAGGCTGGACACCCTAACAGAGGTGCACTCTGTCGACGTGGTGGACGAGAAAGTGGGGGACAGACGCAGGGCGGCGCGGGGCACGTCCAGAACAAACTCCTCCTCCTCCAGGGATCCCCGCATTCCTGCTCCCCAGCGCCACCACTCCTCCGCCGACAACGGAAGAGGCTCCGCTGATAACTTTAGAAACGGGCATCATGAAGAGGAAGAGGAGGAGCCGCAGCCTTTGTCTCCAGCTCCTAGCTGGACTGCTGAACCCCGAGAAGACGCAGCACAAAACCCTCTGCTGAGGCGGCCTCAGTGGAAGCCGAAGAAGTAGAAGCCTCTGGACTGCCACAGACTCCGGCTCTGAAGCAGCTCCTGGGTCTCCACGTGATTTCTAAATAGATGATGACTGGAGGTCTGTTCCTTCTTTGTTAGAAGTGACCCGGCCTCTTAAGTAGATAGTGATGTCTCAAAGTCAGGTGTCCACCAAACAAGAAGCACAATTTCATCTGTGCAGTTATTTCACCTATTCACATATATGTGATTTTCAAAACTTTAACTTCTTGTAGGATTTTATAGACTACGTCATTTAAACTATTTTTATTTGTAGTAATTATATATCTATGTAAATATTATACTGTATGAATGTAATACTAAGTGACAGTTGTATGGTGGGGGATACACGTTTTTGTATTTAGGCCATGAGGAACTATTGCTGTGCAGTACAAAGTACTCTTGGGACAAACTGGAGGCCTTCTTCTGTCCATTACATTGATGCACCTCACGAGTCTGGGCCCACTTTATTATTATTTTTCTGTAATAAATATGATGTTGTTGGAAGCTGATATCAAGTATTCTTAAACAAACCATAGACACAATGCAAGTTAAAATATGTGGCACTGAAGGCGCTGCCCAGAGAGGAAGAGGGAAGTAAGTACGGCCTGTTACAGAGTTGTATGAAGCACTTATATCAGTTTAATTTACAACTCAAGACTCTCGTACAAAAAGTTTAGTACTTGTACTTCATGGATTCACTGACAGCTTTACAGAAATGTGTAGAGTTCTCCCTCTTAACAAGGGGGCTCATAAACAACAGCGGGTCCAGTACAGTTGTAATTGAACTTAAAGGGGACAGATTAAACCAACTGTAAAATAAGACAACCCAGTCAATGTGTCTGGGCTGCTTACACCAGAAACCAAATACAAATATCCATTCAGATTTTGATCCCCTTCCTATGTCAAATGCACTTAATACACTGCCACCCATCGGAGTATCTCCAACAGCCTTTTGGTTTTTTTGGGGGGGGGGTTAGAGGGGGACTACAGGTATATTAAGACATTCGAACATAGGCACAGGGAAAAATATGCTCCAGTAGAAACCAGTATGAGCCGGCATGTTAGCATATGTCCCATTTAAAAAAATATCCTAAGAGTGAACAAATCTATGGAACAGAGACTTGGCCACATACCACCGTAGGAACCATTTGGAAGCAGTGCATTCATCGAAACGACTGGCATTGAGGTAAAATGTTTCCAACAAATCACTAACTGACTTGCGTACTTCTAAACAACAGTGTGATCTACCGCTACGGGTAACTCCGAGTACTTTGTACCAGGTATTGCTTAGAGAATTACATTCAAAATAAAGTGTGCATTGTTTCAAAGCGGTCCGCGGCACTATGTGCCGGCGCAAGGCCCTAATGTTTCTTTGGGGTCAAACTTTAGCACAGTGGGAAGCAGGTTAAACTTCTCATCTATGACTTCACTTCAATTGAACTACTTGAGTTTTGAAACTGCTTTTCCTGAGAGATGTGCAGCAGTGCTGGTGGTGACGAGCCGTTTACAGAGTGATGCGGTCGCAGGTCCATCCGGGCAGGACATTCCCACTGTGACTCTGCTATTTATCCCCACACAACTCGCCTCGCGAATACGAGCACATCTCTCGTGGGATGGATCTGCCATGATTTTAAATAAATTCAGTCAGTTCGGCTTTCTTTTGTCATCCCTTTCCTGTCCCATTTGGGGATCCGAATGAGCATTAAACCTACAGCTGCAAGAGCTAAGATCACCCCCAGGCTGGGGGGGCCACAAGGGCTGAACTCCTGGGCCAGGCCAGAGAGGAGAGGGGCGAGGACTCGGCCAACGGCTGTCACAGACTGCCCCGCTCCGATCAGAGTCCCGCTGGCCTGGACCCCTCCCCTGTGCAGTTCCAGGTCTGTGATGCACGTCCGTCCGATAGTGGTGGAAATGGCGAAGAAGGTGGACGTGAGAACCACCTGCGACACACTGGGCGCCGCGGCGTACAGGAAAATGAGTGAACAGGTGAGAACTGTGGAGTGAAGAAGCAGAGCAGGCATGTTGTTCCCATACAGCTGGGTGACGGGCCCCACCAGGAAACCCGCCAGGGCCCCCAAGGTGCTGCTGTAGCTGATCAGATAACCTGTCACCTTGGGTTTGAGTGAGAAACGCTCCTCCATCGCCAGAGAGAAGTTGCTGTGGTAAAGCATGATGGCTAAGGCCATCAGAAGACGCATGAGGAAGAGGTCCCACATGTCAGAGGAGGCCACCATGTGGATCTTGGAGCCCACTGAGGACAGCTGTCTCCAGGCACGCTGGAGCGGGGACGCCTTCCTCCCCCCCAGAACAACTGGGCGTGTCTGTGGAGCTCCGGCGTCCGGGCCCGTCTCCGGTGCCGACGCTCGGCCGTGACTATTTGCATGAGAGCCGTTGCAGACCGACTTACTGCAGTTGTTGTCATGACAACCTTTACTTGCGTTGTTCCTGGAGTCATTGCCATTCAGGTGAATGAGAGTCTCGCTCCATGGTAGCATCCATACAAGCCCTGCAAGGGTAAACACGTAATCGGAGATAAAGACTTACTTAAAACACAAGAAATCGGTTATTTCTCTCCTAAAATCTACTCACCTGCATTAGCGAGGAAGATGATTGCACAGGTAAAGGAGGAAGTATAGAAGCCGCCCTCGTGCTCCGTGAGGTAGCCGCCCACCACGGGACCCAGAATGAAGCCAACACTGGAGGCTGCATTGAAGTGTCCCATCACCAGAGGACGCTCTGACTCGGAGACCAGGTCGGACAGCAGAGCTCTGCAGATGGACAGGGAGTGCTTAAACAGCCCTGAGACAGAAAACAGTCAAAGCACAGTGAGTGACTAATCTCGCCTTACAGATGGAGGTGGGGGCCTTGTGAAAATGATGGGAATGCGGTTATTTCGGATACAGTACATTCTCATAACACAAACTAAGATTGTATTGTTACCAGGAGCCAAGAAAGAGGACACCTGTAACAATGTTGTTTTTTTCCCTCCTATAACGTGAATGAAGAATTAGCAACAAAATGAATATTATTTAAAGGTCTATTTATAAACTCAAATTACGAACTGTTGCACTTGTTGAAGTGTCAAATAAATATCCTAATTTGGATTTATGTGACATTTTTTGGGAAAAACCCTCGGTTGAGGCAGCACAAACTGTTAATCACAGATCAACTTATGTCAACAGAACATTTACACAGAACCCATTTTGTCATGTCAAAGTATTGGGAAAAAGCCCAGGAATTACTAATAACTAAAAAAAGCTAAATGGAAACCAACCATTGTTCATTTCATTACTTAAACCTGTGATTTTCCCAACTGCGACACGACAAAACGCCTTCACTAGTCTGAGACTCACCCACGGGAATCCGCGCCAGGACGAACAAAGCGATGCTGGTGGACATGCCGAGCAGCCCGTAGCCCAGAGCGCTCAGCAGCAGGCAGGTGAGCAGAGAGTACTGCCGGCCCACCACGTCGCTCCAGCTCCCCTGACAGTCACACGGGAAACCAACATTGGAGCTTTTGCATCAGAGGACGCTAGTTCAAGGCTTTTCTCCGTCAGACAAAACATTGGTAAAAGGAACTTTGTATACTGCATAACATTTTTCATTGTATTCTGAAATTCCAATTTTCATTAAATTGTAATTTGCTCAACACTGCTGTTGGGGATTTTACGTCAGTCAAAGAAATCACAGCGTCGTCTCACTTGTGCGCAGTTTATTGGTACTGACAGGGAGGTTTAATAAAACCAGAACCCTCACACAGAATCAAATATAATCGCCACCGGAAATGACACACAAAGACAAATCCAACTCAATTTTTCATTCGGTAAAAGAAACAACTAGTGGAAGGATGCACCCTGCATCTGTCTCTTCGTCAAACACACACACACACACACGCACGTACACACACGCACACGTACACACACGCACGCACACGCACGTGATGAAATAATGAAATCAGGACCAATTGAGTTTGCTGTGTTCTGGGTGTAGCCTGATGGGATTATCATAGAGTCCCTGCTGTTCATGTATCGCTACGTTTATCAAGATTCAGCCGGTCTGCACGTGGGAACCAACAGTTGACTCCCTATCTGTCTAATTCGTCGCATGACCCCGAACATTAAACCAATTTTAGGCTGCAGGAGAAAGACGTGGAAAGCTGAGAGTCTTGTGTCAGATGCCGTGCTTGTTGTAAAGTACATAGACTGCATTTTCTAGTACGTCTTAACAGTTTGGACAAGGTTTCAATCATCAAGGCTTGGACTTCATGCAACAGTTAAAAAACGGATAGACACACCGAGAGAACGAATCCGCCGTGTCCTTCAGAGGAAGGATAAGAACCTATATTCCTGTGATAGAGGGATGCTCTTTTTGTCTCCAGCTAACTGGTTTTAGCTACTGTGTGTGTGAATGTGCAGAGACCAGTTTGTTAACAGCCAGTGTTTATTGTTTTCACAAAATGCCAGAGATGACATGGAATGCAACCACTTTGGCAACTGACAGTGAGCATGCCTTGTCCATGAGGAGAGGCTGGATGGAGGTTAGAGACATTTACAGAAAAAAAGTCAATACTTACAACTATTGTGCTTGAGAAGAGCTGTAAGATCCCATATGTAGCTCCTGCAAACAGTTCCAGAATTAGTTTGGATTCCCACTTGAAGACAACGTGCAACAATTAAATATCTACAGTTACAAAACAGGAAAAAAAGGACATTATCGGTTATTACAAGCACGGACACAGACACACACACCCACACACACACACACATACCTGACTAAAGCTCAGGGACACAATGTTTTTAACATTTCATCTAAAACTAATTACTATTTTCCATCATCAAATAATATCATAAATCACCTCCCCATCATCTTCCTACTAATCTAATACTCATTTCATGTGTAAGCAGTACGAAGCCCTGGTGTCTGAAATAACTGCAGCTATGACATCACCTCTCGCATTTGGGATCCTTCTGCTGTTCTTCTCCCTGAGGTTTCTTCATACTTTTTTCACTTCAATGAGACTTTTTTGTGAAACATTTTGACCAAACCTTTGATTATTTTTCAGCCTGTCTATTTTCTGCCTAATTATGCATGACCCCGGAGTACATTTGCTTGGGTGTTACTTAATAAATGACACTTTACCTACAATACCAGCCACAGTGGGGCTTGCTCCAAGGGCCTTCACGTGATGGCTCAGCAGAGGTATGATCATGCTCACGCCAAACAAGTCCTAAAGCAAACAAGGAAGTTAAAGACAAAAGAGCAGGAATGAGCCCGTCGCTATCAGGACTGCATCACACCACACGCCTCTGAACAGAAGAAGAAAAACATGTAAAACTGCTATGCAGAATATAGTTCAACAATATTTACTCGGAGTCTCATTCCGTTGCTGAGACGAGTGCAGCTCTTGCCAAACTCTTTATTGAAGTCCCACAGCAGTTCATACAGTGTTCTGGAACTGTTCATTAACCAATTGCCTAACTGTCAGAGGCCTTATTGTTAACTCGTCGCCAGCCAAAGACTGGAGCCGCCTGGATTCTCTTAGTCACCTTTAATTAGATAATAATAATAATAATAATAAATAGATAATAATTTAATTTAACCGTAAAAAAACGGCTTCAAAGAATGACTGCAGATCTGATTTTACCCTTCCTTTAGAATATCATACAGTTACAGTTTTTAAACTCAAGGAAGTGCCCGTCCTTTTGCAGCACATTTTATTGGCAGCGACCAATAAAGAGGCCAACCTTAACACACTCAAAGGTCTTTCCACAGCCTGCCATGATACATAAAAGTTACCTCATTTAGTAGCTGCCCACCTGATGAGGTGATATCTTTATATGTGCAAACCGAATGGTGATGAATAACATAAATAACATTTATTGTAATTCAGAGTCCCCTAAAAGTATGTTTGATGCATCTTTAAAGGACAAAACAATTTAAAATATGCCACAATCACAGCACATGTGATTTCATGTGAGTCAGTGCTGGATTTAGAGCCACCACTGCACTTTTAAAATATATTACATTATTATTACAAATCTAAAATGTCTTCCTCCAGTTAACAAAAACTGCAAAGACAAGCATACGTTTTCACAAGCCATGCATGAAGATTTGAAATAGGACTGCAGGTATGTATGACAGGTGGGTGTTTGGGGATTCAGCCATCTGTGCAAGCGTAAGAATACGGTTAAAGGGAATAGTACACAGCCTTTAAGACATCAATACATCCTTAATACCCTGAAAACACCTAGAAGAAACCTTGATATAATCATTCGTATAGTTTGAACAAGAAGCATATTTCCAATAACGGAATAGTGAAACGTGTTTGTTTTTGTTTTACATCACGCCTCTGAGTTATGAAAACATGAAGCCTGAAATCCCCCGATGACGACATCTCCACCAGCTACTCACCATGAAGCCCACCACATAGATGCATTGTATGATCCGCGTCCGTCCTCTGGGTTTCTGGAAGGAGGCGCATCTGTGGTCGTTCATCCTCCCGATGTGACAGCACGGCTGGAGCCGGAAGGGAAGCTCGACCCTGATTTATCCAGACACAGCAGCGAGCTCCTGTCCGCTCCGGGCGGAGGTGTCCGGGGCAGGAAGTGAGGAGATACGGCTCGGTGCTAAACGTGTGCCGGGATGTTGCACGTGTGAAACACGGCGGGTCTTAGAGAGATAGTGAACATTTTGGAATGATACCGACAATTCGACTCGTAGTTAATCTCTCAGGTGTTGAACTGCCGTGTTGTTTTTTATGATCCCCCCCCGCGGCCGCTCTGACAGCTGGTATCGCCCACTGACGTCACACTACTGAATCGGTTAATACGTGTGTGCGCGCGCGCGTGTGTTTGATAAGCACGAAACAAATGACCAATGTTACGTTAATTACAATTATTATTTTATTTTTTATTGTTGACATATACAATATATTTATACATTTTCTGACCAATACCTATTTTTAACTGTCGTCTAAATATAGTTTTTATTTTAGTTTTGAGCTGTAACATTTAGGACTGACCTAAACTCAGATTAGACACTTTTCTACCATCTACTGGACAATGTAGGAAGTCCAACGCATTATAAACTGCACCAGTAAAGATGGTGTTGAAGAAACTTACTGGCATTCCTGTTTCACAGCAAAATTACACATTCTAGCGTAAAGTAATACAAGTTAAGTATTTAGTACTTGCAGTACTTTACTGTAGTTTATGAAGCACTTCAAATAAATAAAATCGATTCCACACCACTAGTTTCACATTTTTACAGCTATACAGTAAATGAGTGCAACAGAGTTAAAACTAGGAACCGCTATAATACTATGATTTGATAAGGATTTTTATTTACAAGATTGTTATTTGTTGTTTTACAATATACAATATATCTTTTCCTTTATGGCAAAAAGATCCATTCAGTCTGAGTAACAGACACACACACACACACACACACACACACACACACACACACACACACACACACACACACACACACACACACACTACAGAGCACCAAATGTGGGTGCAATGCCTCGGTCACATCAGTGTGAATTTGCCTGCTATGTGGGTCCACTGCTAAACGATGACAGCTTCATGACCGCACAGAACTTGTCCAAATGGTTTTCGCTGTCAACGCCAATAAAGTCAAAGTGTTTACTGTTAAGTTACTTTCTAAATTAGTTTTTCTGTTCTTCATCCAAGTTATTTCTTCTAGAAATACGTATAGTCTTTTTCTGTTTTTTTAAATATTGGCGTTATATCTAAAATGATCAATTTAACTGTTTATAAAGTACCAAATGATGATAACCTCTGTTTTCTTAGAGTGCGATGCAACTGAAAATAAGTAAGGGAACATTTACAGTAATGGTCACACTCCCCCATTTACTGGAAATTAAACTGATGTGTGCGTTCACATGTGTGTCTTTTTCCGTCCTTTCAGTCTCGCCCTGCCCTCACATTCCCGTGCAGACGATGGGTGTCCAGTTGCCACCGGTTATTTCTGCGTGGATCCCCTCCCCTCACAGTCACCCCAACTGCTTCACACACTCAGCACCACAGTGGGGTTGTTGAAGCAGCCGCCTTCAGTCAGACCCCAGAAATAGCCGCCTGGGTGTGGGTGGGAGTGGGTGGAGGTGGGTGGAGGGGAGTGTGGGGGGGGGTTGAGGAGCAGCCTGCAGACCCTGGCAGGGTCCTGAGGAGTCATGTGCTCAGCCTTGTCCTCCCATAACACAGACAGAGAGACAGGAGAAGAGTCGAGTATCCAGTATCAACATAAACGGGCACCTCGGTGGATGAGCTTGGAGCTTCCACCTCTGCTTTTCTCACGTTCGCATTGTAGCTGAAGAAGAAGAAAGTCAGCCCCAGCGTGTGCATCCAGTAGCCGGGTGGCTGCTCCTCCCCGGACCATGAAGCTCAGCGTTGCCTTGTTCTTTGCAGGGCTCTTTGGGGCGTTGGCAGCCGTGTTCATCCTGCTCTCGTTTGGAACCGATTACTGGCTGCTTGCCTCAGAGACTTGCCCCCCGAATCTGGACGGATCTGTGCAGGTGGGTGTTGGACTTCAAACAGCAGCAGAGGAAGATCAGTTGTAATTTGTTCCATGTCTTGAAGATTAGTTTCCATGAGGATGTTTGAAACCCCACTAACTAATATTAGGTGACAGACAGTGCTATTTTGTGTAGTACATAAACATTAGTGTACGTTATGAAGTCACATTATTAAACGTTTATATCAAAGTCACTTCTTCTCATAGAAACAAGCAGTTGCTCCGATTGTTGTCTTCATGTAATCAGACACTGTTAAATGTAACGTGTGTGCTGCTCTGCAGTGATTGGGCAATAACTTGTGCCCCTGAGATAGAAATGCAAATTCCAGTAGTCCCAGTGGTATGATACTGTATTAAATGTCACAGACTAAAACATACCTAGGAACTGAAACTGGAAAAGAGACATGATATCACCACAATAAAACCAGAGTGATGGCACGTACACACTTTTATTACAATATGAAGATCTGCTATATATGTTTAGCCAATTATAAGAAACAAAAGTATTATTTTTAGTGCATGAAACGGAGAGAGAGTTAGTATAATTCTTAGCATCACACAGTACTGGTCCTCAACTTCAATTTAATTTACAGTTAAATTATGTGAAGTGAGTTTCTCTTAAATTATTTTGCTCAGATATCTATAACCAAAAAACTAAAATTATTCAGTATATCATAAGAAATATACACGTGTATGGATGTCAAAATATCTCAAAAATATAAAGATAACATATATTTGTGATTTGTTACAAAGTCATACATTTTTTGACCCCTCTGGTTTGTCTTCACACTGTCCTCGTTCAACTGGGCTGATACCAAAATAAGACAAACTCTGATTGTGATTGATAACCTTGACTAGTGAAACTTTAGGGTACAATGTCATCATAGCTCGGAGCCTCTGCTTTTACTACTCTGAGAGGTGTTGTGTGGAAGCCATAACCGTCACTTTGGGCTTCTGTGCAAAAAGGTTTACCACCAGTGACCCTTTACACGCTCGCTATGCACCAAACCTACATGAGGCTGGAGGAGCTCGCTCAGCGCGACCCTTGACCTCACTAAGCAGCTGCTCTTTGCCACTGTGGTGACACACTCTACACCTGGTATGGAGACATCTCCCGGGCTTTGATCACCTCCACAGATGAGTTAGAGGTCCATTCATGAATCTGCATATACAAATCCTGTCCTATCCTGCACACCTTTAAACTCTGAATTTATTACGTAATACATGATTATTCTATCTTTTACTCCTTCTTTCAGCGTGGAGATGGAGATGCAGTGTTGCAGGAAGGCAGTAGTGCTGCTCTGTACCATGAAGGCTTTTTCTGGAGGTGTTCTTTTGTAGGTAACGCGGGTGACGACAACCTGATGTGGCATCTCTGGTTCAGTAAGTGACGCGCGTTGTTCAGACGGTTAACCCTTGTACGTGTCGTTGGCCTGCCGTTGTCTCAACAAGTATTGAAGTGGTATAGCACGCTGCTACAGTCTTTTTACTATTATGAAACAGAATAACAACATGATCATTGATACATTATTAAGAAGCATTTTATGTTTTATGGGTTGTATGTTATCTTGTCACATTAATGTGACCTTACAAGTGTTTATGTAGTTAAATAAATGCTCCAATTCCTCCTAAATTGTCCTAATCTCTCTCACTATTCAGATTGAATGTCAGTTTTTTTATTATAAAACTTTCATGACACCATGATGTCCTGGTAGTCGGTCAGGTGATAATGGCTCGTCTGTTTTCTGATGGGGACTTTGAATGGGGGCTCATAGTCACAGCACCCTTCACTTAGGGGTCCTCGTGAGGGTTTTGCGTAATTATGACCCAGTGGAGGCAAATAACCGGTGTGTGCTCGCTATTAACATTCAATTTGATTTATTTTCCTTTTCTCTCCAGCCAATCAGCCTCACTCAAAAGTTTGCATGCAGGCCTACCTCTTCCCGTTCCCCGTGTCTCCTCAGACCCACAATGCCACGGAGCACGATTCGGCAATCAGTAAGTGTCTGTTCATCTACACAGATGTGCCTCTGTGAACAGATTGAGCTGTGTATCCTCAGCGATACAATTGACTAACATTGCGGTTGTCCAGTCTACAGAGGCTTCTGGAGCATTTTTATGCTTATTGGTGTGGCAGCTGTAGTGCTGGCTGGGTTCTTCATCATCTGTGCGGCTCCGTTCGCCAGCGCCCGCTTGTACAAAGCTGGAGGCGGCCTCTTCCTGGCGTCTGGTAAGCCTCTTAAATTCTTTCATTTCAGTTCTTCATGTATTTCCAACATAAAAATGTTATATATAATAAACAATGACATATAGTGGCACTTAGCAGCAGTACATTGAATAAAACTCCTGTATTTTGTTATATTTTTCAGACGGTTACTTGTAATTGTATATGTGTTGGTAGTCCTACTTACATAAAGGATCCAAGTTCCTCTCCCACCACTGGTGAATAATAATTGCTGCCTGTTTGTGATCAAATCCGCCTCTCTGCCACCCTTCTGTGCACTAGGTCTTTTCCTGCTCTGCGTGGTGGTGATGTACGTGCTGTGGGTGCAGGTGTTGGATGTGGTCGATGACTACGTTCGCCACCAGCGCTCCACTCTGTGTGACGACTTCCAGCTGTCTCTCAACTATGGTTTGTCCTTCATGTTCGCCCCCATCGGCATCTTCTTCTGCCTCTTGGCCGGCCTTCTTTTCCTCCTCATTGGCCGGAGCATCCAGATCCATTGCCACTGACATCGAGCGGCAGCAGGGTGGAGCAAGGTGGAGCAGGGTGGGGGCTTGAGGTGGTTGGAGTGTTTTTAGTTTGTTCCAGGGTGAAATCATTGAGACCACTGCTGAGTAATGTCATCACGACAGCCTGAATCGCGTGTCACAGTACACACGGTTCTCTGCTATTCTCAAAATGTCTGCACCAACAGCATAAATATCTGTGCGTAACACCGTTGCTTTAATTTGTGTGTTGGTGGTTGTGAGTTTATGCTCAGAAAAATGTAAATTAAGCAAATGTTGTTATTTGGAGCATTTATTGTCAGCTTGAGAACAAATTATTCTGTTATTTCTTGTATGTTCGTACAGTGTAAAAGAAGTGCAGAATAAAATCGCTTGTGAGGTGGCATGATCTTTTTTGTATATCCTGAAATAGCAATTTTTTTTGTTGGCCACAGTGTTTGCAAAAGATTTAAATGTTTGATATTTTTGTTTTTGTCCTCAAATCCTGGGAAGAGACAAAATCCAAAGGTTTTGTTACTGATTTATATTGGTCACCAACTTAAAAAGCAGAAAAAATAACCTTAAATAAGCATTAAAAAGTCCTTCAAAGGTCTGGGCGCTATAGTTGTTGTTCACACAGCATAGTGTATTTGTTGGGGCACTATTTTTAGCCGCGGCCTTATCCTCCTTTCATATTCTGGTGACTATTTACTACAGTAGGACAGCACATTTGTCTCAACTCAGTATGTTCTGCACAAGGCGGTGTCAGACTCCACACATCATCTTTTGTATTTACCTTTCTTTGTATTTTGTTTCAATAATCGGAGTCATCATGGCAACGTGGCGGCCGTTGGCACTAAACACTTTTTATCAGGTGAGTAACTGAATATGAAGTACGAAGGTTTACTCTGCTACGGTCATTAGAGTTTCTCCATATCTATATTTTAAATCTCTTTTTTATTGTTTAACCAGTTTGTGTACCGCACAGCTTATTCTGTTTATAAATTGAGTTACAGGCGTTCAATGTATTTTCACGTTGAGTGTATGTAGCTGCTGTTTATGTTGCCTGATTTAGTCTTTTGTCTTTTCTACGTGTGCTGTTAGGTGTGTTATGAGGTTCCGACATAATGTCTGTCCACCTAAATGTTTCTTTCAGTTTTCTGTTTGCTAATAAAAAGGCTTTGACTTTTCAAAGCTTCTAACTTTTGTTACTTGTCCTATTCCAGAGACGAGGCTCAAGAGGACAAAATAACGAATGTATTTCTCTGTGCAACAGTTGAGTCACAGGATCATTGGTTTTTAAACCGTTAAATTCTATTGACGATCAAAGGGACGCATTGTAGACATGGGATAGATTAATTATTGTTGGCAATTATCCAACGTAATGGAATCACTGTAATAAAGGTCTGGAATCACAAAACATTCAGCAGAAACACCACAAGAGGGCAGTGCTGTCTCACTTAGGGTTCAGTTTAGAGGCAGAATTCCTATTCTGCTCATCCAGTCTGTGAGTGGAGTATGTGGCGTTCTGCATTTAATCACAATTTCAGAGTTAGGTTCTGTAGATGAAATAATTCACACCTTGGTTGACAGACGCACGGTAATTTCACTCATGAATGGAGCATTTGATCAGGATCTGAATGGACTCCCGTGTCGATTCTCATGTGTCTGTATCAACTCTGTGCCTTTCCAGCTTTATAATATGCTTATCATACGTAAGGAAATGCATCTGTGCTTTGCCACAGAATGCAGGGGGGGAGACACAATGTAAGGCATTACTTTGTGAGATTGACTTTGCCCTCACAGAGGACACTTAGGAACAAGATTCACACTTCCAACTTCCTGAAAATTCAAATATCCGTCTGCACTCTGAGCAAGAGAAGCTCCCTCACATTTCATTTCAGTCACATGGGAAGCTACAGCGAAGAAAACAACTACAGGTCACAAGGCCGGCCCAAAGGGGCGTGCTGACATCGACAAATCATGAGATAAGGATTTAGATTTGTCTCGGGCCTGATTAGAGTCGTCCTTTCAACCAATTGTCCCGGTGAACAGAAATTTTGTCTGATGGACGTCCTGGTTTAAATGAAGCCCTAATAAGATAACAAAAATCTCAATCCAATATACAAGTAAGAGACTGTGAGAGATGTGAAGAGAGAGGGATGGAGCACCGGAGAGAGAGAGAGAGAGAGAGAGAGAGAGAGAGAGAGGGAGAGGCATGGGGAGGTTTAATGCAGGTGTGGTGCAGAGTACCTCCAGAAGAAGACGGGCCTTGCAGTCAGTAATGTCATCAGACTCCCAGCTGAATTCAGCGCTGTTCTGCATGATTGCCCATGATAATTGTGTGTTGATAGGGAGCGCCCGAGATGGAGCATAATTTCCACTGAGAGATTCCTAAACAAATACCTGTGCTCAGCAGCCGGAGGTGAGGAGGAGAATAGCGGATGAGGGAAGATGGAGGATGAGAGGGTCGTACTTCCAGAGGAGGAGAGGCAGGAAGCGTCAGTCTCACTCGTAGTCTGTTCATCAGGCAACCAAAGCAAGGACATGCAAGACACTGAACTCAGGACACATAATAAGATCTCATTTGGATGGGCATAACATAGCAGAACATACCATAACACAATACAGAAAACTACATTATACATGATAATATAACAACAAGCGTTTATCTATATTACATCAAATGATTACACTTAATACGGCAACACACGTACATGATACTATTGTTTCATTTACCTGTATTCAATAAAAATATGAAATTCATTGTCAGAGCAGTTTCTTTTTACTGTAAATCACTTAACATTATTGATAAGCTGTCAGATTTCTGCGTTACATGTTGCATAGTAGAAAAGTAAACATAATTGTTGTATTAGCTAAATTAAATGAGCGATGATGAATAATCCCTGATACGTGTACTTTGGTTCAACGTGTGTAAAACATACTTACAAATATTATAGGATTTACAAAAATATAGGAAGGCCTAGTTGGGGAGAAAACACAAGATACACACAAGATACACACAACACAAAACCGCAGCTCAAGTTTTCTAAATCTACTATTCAGCATGGAACATTTTGCAACACATACACAGTTCTCTACATAAGAAACATGAGTTGTTACGTCACTTTTTTGCCATTTAAATTTTCTCAGCCATGGAAAAACTGACCAAAACATTTTCCCGTGGGAACAACCATCGGGTTGCTTGATTGTCAACTCATCGATCGGAATTTAAGTTCTATAAAAGGAAACGCTGGCTGGTGACAGATTTCACCTGGAAGCCACCAGAGCAGCAAAGGTCTTGTTTAAAAAGAACAGGGAGTGTATTAGCAATTTTAATAAAATTGTAATCCACACATTATTTTCTATCCACAATTGATTTGTGCTGTGTTTATCTATATAGAATATGCTCTGCTCTGATATTCACTTCACTTCCTTTGGAAATGCATTGTTGCTGCGTTGATCGATCCTAATAAATATTTCCCCCAGTGTGCAGTGCAACCTAATCTTGTCTTTTGCATTTTGTTAATATGTACATGAAACTCATTGTATATCGAGGAAAAATCAAACCAAAGCTACAAAGTACAATTGTGATCAAAGTTTTAACCATATGGGGACAAGATTGGGTTTATTGTTATTATTAAGTGTTAATTTATCAAAATATCCATATTCCACCACTTGTGTGTGTGACCAAACCAAACTTACTATGAATAGTGCGTTATGTAAAAACAAACAAAATATAAGGGATTTTTAAAATGAAGATTCCCTTTAGACACATAAGATAAAAATACTCCAACACTACCTTGTGTCCAATATGTTTTGTACCAAAAAAGAATATTTGAATATGTTAATAATGTTTTTTTCAGGATTTTTGCGGTTGTAGTTCATAGAAAAGCCCGTTCCCGTGCAAAAGTACACACGAGTTAGAGGATCAAGTTTCCACTTCGCTCTTGTACAATTTGCATATTATACCGAGATCGGTGATCGAACTAGTTGTGATGTCATAGGACATTGCTTGCTCGCACGCACACGTGCTGAACAGATGAAATTGAAATCAGACTCCCATGTGGAACTGCACACAGATCATTCGAGTCAAACATCTACAGTTCATATAAGCAAAACACATTTTTAAGAGGCGTTCTTCATAAGTGACACGGTGCAAAAAAAGATCACCAAATAATGAAAATCCAACCCATAAAAAGAAGATTATATTAGAGATTTGAGACAAAGTCACTGAGGGAGCAAAAACTAAATTTCAGCCAACTTTCAGCACTTCCAGAGGCCTCTGGCAATGAATACGCCTTTATATTAGTTTGGAGTCTAGACTAGTTGGTACAGTTTTGTTGAAGGGTCTGAATTTGGGGGAGTATCTGCTCTAAAGATAAAGAAAGTCCTCAGAGATCCTGTGTGACATGTTTGAGTCCTCCTCTTGTCTGCTTGAGATAAAAACACAAGTTTGACTCTCAGTCAACACTTGTATATTTAACCTTGAAGGAAGTTTGAGTTAATTGGAAAACACTCTTTGCCTGAGTGCGCTTACCTCACGGCACGTAGTTATCATAGCTTATCTTCCAAATGTATCATAATCCCACATGACATGCAAGTCAGATTTCATCCAAATCTGATTACTTTTATCTCCCTGAAAAAGCTAAGTATTTGAATTGCATGAACAATATGGCAAGTCATATTACACGCTGCTTTCCTCTTTAGAGATAGTTTAACATAATTTCCCGTTCGTTTTGAAATAATGAATAGACAATGGGCTGTATAATTGTGAGAATTTACAATTCAGAGGACTGCGTTGTATAATCACCATGCATAATTCAGAGAGTTGAGCGCATAGGTCACCGGTGGCAGTGGCACAAAAAGTAACTCAGGTCATCAAACAAACAGTTGAAAATCAACATTTTGCATTGGTCCTCGGCATGAGCCACCAAAATAAAACATCATTCTTCCAGATGGTTGAGGATTTTTAAGAAAATAAAAGCACAGCATCCAATTAGCCGTGTACCTCATATATTATCTGTTCAGTTCCGAGGGAGGCTGTAAGTTCAGAGGAACCCACTGATGTGCAAAGAGGCACCGGGGGTATAAAAACAGGTACTACTTAGTTGGCCAGTGAAAGCTACACCTGTGCTGAGTGGATCCTTTCTGCCCCTCCAACATCCTCTGGCCTCACACCCCAGTTTGTGCATATAAATTGCATTCCAAAGTGCGTATGTATAGCCCTTGTTCATACTCAAGGTCTCTTGTTTCAAAGGCATGCTAATGTCTTTCACAGTGAAACTCCTCTCAGCGGCCCTCTTTTAACTGCCAGAGCAACTGTGTAGGAGATGATTGGGACTCTCCAACCATCTTCCCCTTGAATATTCATACATTGAAATGAGACGTATATATACTAAAATCCTAAACAAAGAGATTTCATACAAACACTGGATTACAGGCTGTTTTACTTCAGAGAGGTTTTTTTTTTTCACTCAAATTATTACTGTGTTAAGTGTAACATCCCATGCTGTTTGAAAGATCTGCACCGTGTTAGCACCCTCTATGGAGATGTCTCAGCTTTAAATTCTTTCTTTGGGATTGCTTTGTTGCAGCTCCTTATTTGGCCATGGCTTCCCCTCCAGCAATTAATTAATGCTTTGGTACACACAGCCGATGGATTCGGTCATGAATATTCAAAAGTACCTTTTGCATATGATTTTTTATGCAGTGTTGTAGCACATCAGTTGGAGTTTCTTTATACTTTTCCTCTCTGTCCCCATCTCAACAGTAAGTCAGGCCCTATATTTATTTCACACAGTAAAATTTCATGCTGAAATGTGATATTATATGTAACATGTGTCAAATGTCTCTTATTCTATTGTATAATGAGGTTTTCCAACTACTTTCTACCATTAGAATCCCCTCTCAGTGTAATGTAGTACACCCCCTTTAACGTAAACGTTTACATTAATTTACACGTTACTCACAGTGTCAAAACCTTTCTTATAATTTCAACAGAAAAAGGGACATTATAAATGTGTCAAGAAGGGATTCACACTATGTTTTTCATCCCAAAGGGCTCGGGCACACACACACACACACACACACACACACACACACACACACACACACACACACACACACACACACACACACAAAAACACACACTCACTAATTTATCGTTTCCATTTTGTTATGTCGTTGTATCGTTCCTTAA